GCTGAGGTCGCCAATCTTCTCGCGCTTGAGGCCGAGATCGATCACCGCGTAGGGCCGGTTGGAGATGTCGACGACGGCGCGCGACAGCGCCTCGTCGAGGGGCGCGTAGGCCGAGCCGAATCGGGCGATGCCGGCGGCGCTGCCCAGGGCCTTGTTGAAGGCGTAGCCGAGGGCAATGCAGACGTCCTCGGCAGTGTGGTGGTCGTCGACTGCAACGGCTTGTTAGCGAGACACACAAAAGACAGATGCCGTTGTGTTATTTGGTGTTGTCTTTGCAGGACAACGTACTATGCAAATCACCCTTGCAGGTAATCACAAGCGACCAGCCGGCGTGCTTGGACAGGGCGTGCAGCATGTGGTCCAGAAAGCCGATGCCTGTCTGCAGCAGGATGGTCTGCGACTTGCTGGTCTGCGCGGCATGGCCGTCGCCGCCGCTGCCCTCGACCAGCTTGAGCACCCGCTCGTCCGTGTCCGGCGGAAAGGCGCCGCCGTCGAGGTTGAGGGCGAGCTGGATCGACGTCTCGTTGGTGTCGCGCGCGAGGGCCGCCCACCGGGGGGCAGACGATGTTGACGAGGCCATTGTAACGTGTGCGGTGTCGCGGCGTGTGCACAAAGTGTCAATGGGAGAGTGTGTGGTGCAAATCGTGGAAACGTCAAGATGGGCGCCGAAGTGGTTCTCGTCTGCGTCGCCCGTTGCCGTTCTTGCGCCGTTTTCCAAGCGCACTTTTAGCGGGCGAGTCACAGCGCTGTCATTTGCCATGCCGTGGCCACGCTTTTCAGCTTTCTGGGGGCCCGCCAGGGTGATCCTGGCCTGTATTTACACCCTCTGCGCTAGCCAATAGGCATGTTTCAGCCGCTAAAGAAGGACCCACTGAAATTTTCCAGGCCTCGTTCAACTTTTTTCTTATCGATAACGCTCCGGCCTCTCTCACCTGCGAAATTTCTCTGCAGATTCTGCCGCCTACCTTCATCTCCAGCCATTTCGACTTTCGACCACGAGAGCATCAAACCACCGCAACAGCTGGGCGACGACAACAACAACGACGACATTGTCAAACCTTCACAGTTCCGTCACAATGGCACCCACACGGACAATAAAAAACAAGCATGCGACCAACAAGTCCGGCATCAAGAACAGCAAGTCGTCCAAGTCGGGCGGCGGCCGCAGCTCGGGCGCCGAGGGCGTCGTCAAGACCAAACGCGACAAGGGCAAGATCCCGGCCTCGCAGCTCAACAGCGGCCGGTCCAAGATGCTCGAACTGCTGCAGCGCCGGCGCAAGACCCGCACATACTCCGAGAAGGAGCTCGACATTCCCAAGTTGAACACCATCACGCCGGTCGGCGTCCAGAAGCCCAAGGGCAAGAAGAAGGGCAAGGTGTTTGTCGATGACAAGGTGTGTTGCATCCTCCCCTGGCATGCCACCATTTTTCTGTGAGATTCTGTGGGATTCTGTGAACTGACTGACCCCTCCCCCTTCACCAGGAGAGCATGACGACCATCCTGGCCATGGTGCAGGCGGAAAAGGACGGCCAGATCGAGTCGAAAATCATGAAGTCGCGGCAGATGGAGGAGATCCGCCAGGCACGTCTCGCCGAGGCCGAGAAGAAGGAGTCGGATCGGCAGGCCAAGCTGGACCAGAAGAAGCAGTCGCTGCGCAAGAAGCGGAAGCGGCCGGGCAAGGAGGGCAGCGGCGGCGACGACGACGAGAGTGTCGGCCACCTGGCTTCGGCCGGCACCAAGGCCGGCAAGCCCAAAAAGAAGCGCGTGTCCTTTGCCGGCGCCGCCTCGGAATGAGCAGCCTTATGCAGCCGGGGACATGGCCGACAATGCCCTTTTTCCATCTCGAATATGCCCTTACGCTCTGATGATCTGATGCTCCCCGGACCCGACACCAAACATGAAGCGCCGCGCCGAATCACCGACATCCAGCGACGCACAACCAGCGACAGTGCCTTAGACAGACCAATTTGCAAGTTGGGACACACGCGAAACCCACGTTCAGCCATTCCGTGTTCATACTCGCAAATTGCGGGCTGCTCGCATAGCGGGCGAGATCAGACTGCATTCTTTGGACCGGCATCCAAATGCGTATGCAGCATACAACAAGCAGAAATTGCACTTGGGGTGCACCCTCTTCAGCCACACAACTCTCCTGCTGTGGGCAAGAGACCTATCCTCAAATTCATCATGTATATAGATACCCAGTAACTCTAGCTTTCATAGCAGTCTATCAGTGTATATTATTTACTCCAAACGCAAGCCTTGTCGTCTTTATGTATCGTCGCTATAGTGAAATGCAATGCAAGTGTACGTTTAAATGCAGCGGGAGTATATAGAAGACATCACTCCTTGTCCAGATTAATCTGCATCCTCCGACGCAGAGGCTCAAAGTTGACACCCTTGCGCTGCTTGGCGTTGACATCCAGCAGGTCGCGCGGGATGGCGGCGAGGTCGACGTTCTTGGCCATGGTATGCAGGAACTGGGTGACCGGCTTCGCGTGCCAGCGTCCGCCGCCCGGCTCGAACCAGGACAGGTGGCCGCCGAGGGACGTGGTGCAGAGGACGGTATAGGGATTGTGTCTGAACTCGCCGTACGGAATGGCCTCTTCGACGGCGATCTAAGGTTGGTTAGCACGACCACGGCGATGGGCGTAGTTCAACAGATCAACGGCTATGCCCCGGTAGGACGACATACTGGATCATCCTTGGCCTGGAGAGCCAGGAAAGGAATGCGAATGTTGAGCAACGAATCGCATGATGAGGCATCGCGGTAGTAGGCTTCTTCCGTCGGATAGCCCCACGTTGGGCATCTTTGGAGAGAAAGGGAAAAGGAGCAGTTAGCACCGTACACCAGGGCAAACATCCAGTCTTTGGTCGACCGCCAGTACAGGGGGGAAATCGTTGTGAACGTACTGCACTTCACGGTCAAATTCGTAGAGCGTCGTAATCTTGTTGATACGGTCCAAGTCGAGCTCCGTGTGCTTGAGGATCGCGTCGCGGTGCAGATTAATCAGCTTCTTCATGTTGCCTGCACAGATGTCAGCTTTCGGTTCAACGCCATTCGCAGTGTCTCCGACTGTCACACTTGCAACGTCACCACTGCTGCTGCTACATGCCATCCGCCACCACCACTTACTGCCCATAACCGTTTCGTAGACGTGGCGTCCCATGAACGAGCGCTGCAGGATCTTGTTGGACACCTGCAGATCAAACGGGTTGCCGACCACCACCGCCGCCTGCAGCGGACACGCCGCGCCCTCCTCGCCAACGTAGTTGGTGAGGATGTTGGCGCCCAGCGAGAAACCTAGACCAAACAGCGGGCGGTTGGGAAACGTCTTCCGCGCCCACAGCGCCACCTGCCGCACGTCCCACGTCGCCCGCGCGTTGAACAGCACGCCGCTCGTGATGCTGCTGCCCGCACAGCCGCGCGCGTTCACCACGGCAATCTCCCACGGCAGGTCGTCGGCGTCGAGGAGCGGCGCCAGGCAGTGTCGCAGATACACCTCGTACGAGCCGCCCGACAGCCCGTGCAGCACCAGCAGCATGGGCCGCGTGTCGTCAGAGGCCATGCCGGCAAAGGCGGCGTCGTCGGCAAAGTACGACGTGCGCGGCGGCAGAGCAGCGTCTCGCTCGAGATGCTCGTCGGCATACGGCGGCACGGCAAAATCGACGGCAAAGGTGCCCGTGTACAGCGCGTGGTCGGCGTTGAAGATGCGGCGCTTGTAGTGGATCGCGGGCGCTCCCTTCGCCACGGCCGTCCACATGGTCTGCAGGTGGCCGTTGAAGAGCAGCGGGTTGAGCTGGCAGGCCGGCGTGCTGTCGCGGCAGATCTGGGCCAAGTCCGTGGTGGCTTGTGTTGCGGTGCCATTGCTGCTGCCTTCGGCCGGGCTCGCTCCTGCTCCTGCCTTTAACGGTAGCTGCAGCGGCGAGGCTGCATGGGTGAACTCGACGCTGGCACGGCCGAACCACTCCATGACGAAACGACGAGACGAGAATCGGGCGTGAGAGTGAGAGAGTCTAGACGTAGGACGTCGAAGTAGTTTGTAAATGGGCCGCTGGAAACAGAGTAAACAAGCAAATTGTCACCAGATGATGCAGCGCAAGCCACCGCGATGGATAAAGCAAGTTGTCGACAGACGAGACAGCTCCAGGCCGTTCTTTTTTTCCCGTATTTCTCGTGTCCGTATATTTTTCTCCTTGAGCTCCATTCCAACGTGGCAAACCTCGCCGTTGTGGGACGGCCGCGGATGTCCAAAGAGTCCGACTCCGTGGTGGGTGCAACTGAACCTCGGCACACTTAGTAGCGAATAGCTCCTATCAATCAGTTAGTGGCCTGTACTTACGCTGTAGGCAGTGTTGCAGTATCCCGTGTTGCAGCCCGTCGCACTGCACTAAAGTTTAATCCGATCTGCCAGGTCCCGCGCCTACCCCACCCAAAATACAAAATCGCTCGAAGACCCACTTTTGTCGAGGTCCTCCATCGTCAAAAACCATCTTAGTCATCCCGCGCCACATTCTGCCCAGCCACAGCGCATTGGCCGCGCCTGTGACCCTTGTTCCTTCTGATTCTGGCGCAGCACCGCCTAGAGAATAGCCCAAAGGCTCCTTCCCCCGGGTGGAGTCCTCCCCCCGTCCGTCCCATCGTCCATTCCCAGTCCGGGCGCCTAAACAAGACACAACCACCAAACACACACACGACCTCCGTCGTCCCTCGTCTGCCCTGTCCGCGATACAACCCCGAGCGCATCCGCTTTCTCTTGTCAATCAATCCGCTCGCTTCGCGCAGACACCGTGTTCCTCGCCCTCGCGCACGGTCGCGCCGCAGTGCCTCGTCCTCTGCAGCCACCTGGCCGCCTTCGCCCATATCACAATATCACACTATCATCACCACCTCACCCCCTCCACCACCCCATCACCACGCCCCCGTGCCACGCGCCCGGCTCGTCATCGACAGGACCCTGCGGACATCGATTGCCGCCGTCAATTGCCATTGCAGCTGTGCGCGCATCCCGTCGGGCCAGCGTCCGATCCTGATCGCGTCGAATCTGCGCGTCTACTTTGCGCGTCGTCTCTGCGCGTCGAACTTTTGCGCGGCACGACTGCGTCTTCCTACACACCCGCCCTCCTTTCTTCTCCTCGACCGCCGTCCTCTCTATATGCAACGACCATGAGCGGCTCACTGCCCCCCGGGCAGCAGGCCTACGGCGGCCAGCACATGGTTCCCGGCGCTGTCCCCATGGGCTACTCGCTCAACGGCCCGCAAATGGCAACGAATTTGGGCAGTCCGATGGGCATGGCCAACGGCGGCGGCCTCGGCAACGGCGGTCTCGGAAGCCCCATGGGTGGGCTCGGCGGCGTCAATGGCGTCAGCGGAGTGAACGGCATGGCTGGTCTGGGCAGCCTGAACGGCATGGGCGGCCTCGGCGGCGCGGGCCAATATCAGAATCAGAATCAGCACCAGCCGCACCAGCAGCACCAGCAGCACCAGCAACATCAGCTGCATCAGCCGCATCAGCAGGCACGCCCGCTGCCATCGCCGCAATTCTACAACCAGGGCCTGCCGCATCCGTCACAGTACTCGAGCCCCAACCTGCTGCAGTCGCCGCTCGGCCAGCTGCCGCAGCAGCACCACCACCACCAACCGCACCAACCGCACCAACCGCACCAACTGCACCAACAACAACAACAACATCAGCAGCCGCAGCACCAGCGCTTCCAGCCGTCGCCCCAACAGAACCACATGCAGTTCCCGGTCCCCGTCCAGCGTACGCCCTCCATGACTTCGAGCAACGGCGGCTCGTTTTCCTTCCCGCACAACGGCATGTCGGTCTCGCCGAACCTGTCCGCGCCCATGTCCATCCCGGTGCCTGCGACCATGCCGTCCCCGACCGCCAACCAACTGGCGAGCCCGCTGCAGTTCCTCCCACAACAACTGCCGCAACTGGGCCAGCAGCCGCCGCAACCACCGCCGCCGCAGCAGCAGCACCAGTCACCTCGCTATACCACCCAGCCGCAGTCGGTGCCGCCCATGCAGTTGCAAATGCCCATGTTCACGGGCGCGTCGCCAGGACAGCAGTCACAACACCTGCCAAAGCAACGGCAGCAATCGCAGCCCCACCAGCAGCCGCCCAAACAACCAGATTCACAACCTTTGTCACAACCTTTGTCACAACCACTGTCACAATCCATCTCACAACCCTCCATGCCACACTTTTCTCCACTCCCGCAACACATCCAGCCGTCACAGCTGCTCCAGCACCAGCCGCTCCAGTCGCCACAGATGCACCAGGTACCGCACGCCCACAATCAACTCCAGCAGCAGCTCCAACGACCGCAGCCGTCGCCTCAGCAGCAGCACACGCCAAAACCGACGAAGCCGCCCAAGGCACCGAAACCGCCCAAGCCGTCCCAGCAGGCCAAGAAGCCCATCTCGCTGCCCGACCCGTCGTCCGAGCCGATGCACACCACTCTGCCGCCACCGCCAGCAGCTGCATCGTCTGCACAGCAGCAGCGGAAACAGTCCTCCATCACACCGTCGCCCATGCCGAGTCCATTGCCGACAAATAGCCCCCGCGTGTCGCCCAAGGGTGCCGTACAGAAACCGCCCAAGTCGTCTGCTGCGGCCGGTGCTGCAGCTGGTGCTGGCAAAGCGGCGGGTGTTGCCGGTGGGAAAGCCGGTGCAGGCGTCAAGGCGCCACGCAAGTCGAGTGTTGGTGGTGTGGGACCGACCATGACCAGCGTGAAGCCGACTCCCAAGCGGACGCCGGGGGAGGCAGCCGCGCTACTCGTGTGCGTGGCCGACGAGTGCCTGGCCAAGGCGCAAGCTGCGGCGCCTGCACTGGCCAAGTCACGAAACGAGGCCCGCCTTCGAGAGTACTACAAACTGCTGGCGACCGGCCTGGGCTGCCTGGACACGGCCGTCCGCACCTTCAAGTTCCCGCCGCGCATCGAGGTCAAGATCAAGATTCGGTACGCGTCCATTCTCAGCACCGAGACGGAGAATCTGATGGAGGCCGAGACGGCGCTGCAGAGCGCCATTGCGACCTGCGAGAAGCACCGCCTGGCCGACCTCAAGATCTACGTGCAGTTCCTCTTCATGAAGGTGCTCTTCCGCCGGAAGCCCAAGGCCGCCCTCATCTCGATACAGACGCACATTGCCGACTGCTCCGACCGCCGCCAAGCCTACTGGACCTACGCCTTCCGCTTCCTCAAGGCATCCTTCTACTTGCAGAGCGGTAGCCCAGCCGACAACCACGCCCTCGAGAACCTCCATGACATTGCGGTTCTGGCCGAGCAGCGGGGCGACCACGCCGTCTACGTGCTCGCTTCGCTGCTTCAGGCCCTGTCCCTCTTCCGCACCACCGAACCCGACGTCGTCGAGCGTGTCCAGACCTGCATCGCCGCCGCCTCCAAGTACCAGCTCGACGCGTCTGTGCGCATTCCGCAGCTCGAGGTGCTGTGGCTGTTGTTGGACCTGACGTGCAGTCTCTACCAAAAGGAAAAGGCCCTGACCAACAAGCTCAACAACCTGCAGACACGGCTCGAGGAGCTGAAGGAGTCTCCACAGTGGACGTCTGATGCCAGCGAGCTGCTGCTGCCCCTGCACAAAGACTCGCCGAATGCTCACACCATCAGCGCTGACACGAGCGCCGTGCTGCAGCCGGGCGAACCGAACGACTTTTTGGTGCTGACCAGTTTTAGTAAAGTGAAGGCATTCGTCTTGGGGTGAGTCTGCAACGGCACTGTGGCTTTTTCTTCCCTCTACGTTTATGCACGACGACAACTAACCTTTCTAGATTCGCATACTCTGGCTTGACGCTCTCACCAAAGCAGCAGACCAGCGATCGGAAGAGCATGGACTACTGGACGGAAGCGCTGAAGATGCTGGCACAAAGTGAGTGTACCACTCTTGTCCTCTGTTCTCTTCTTACAGTGACCACCTCTAACAGTCTCTCTAGGCGCCTCGAGCAAACCACCTGCACCCGTCTTCTTGCACGAGGCCATTGACGAGTCCCGCTGGCGCGCCAACACATCGTCGTACGTGCTGGTCCTGATGGGCCTCCATGCAGCCACGCACTGCGATTGGACCAAGGTCGAGGACTGCATCAAGAAGCTCGAGACGCCGACGGCCGAAGCGAACGACGGGCCGCTCGACGTGCTGGCGCTCTACCTCAAGGGTGTCTTGAAGCAGGGCCAGGGCGAGCTCAACGACGCGCTGCATCTCTTTGAGGATGCACGGCTGGCTCTGCCGGACGTGACGGACGGATCGCCGTCCAACCATCTCTCGAGTGCCGGCCCGGCTGCCGCCGCGGCTGCTGCCGCGTCCGCTGCCGCGGCCGACGAGGGCCACATGCGCCAAGAAGTCCAGCTGTTGGCGGCCATGAACCGTCTCCTGATCATGCAGCTGCACCGCCTGCGCGACGAAGGCAAGATCAACATGCTCGTCGAGCAGCTCAAGCAGACGTGTGTCGCCCACCCCAACCCGGAAATCAAGACGGCGTACTCGCTGGTCATGGCCGCCATCACGACGGAGCCGCCGCTGTCCATGCACGACGTCAAGTCGCACATCCAGCAGGGGCTCAACGGCTCCACCGTCAGCGGCAACGCCCAGTGCCTCAACATTGCGCTCAACACCATGCGCTACCGCCTCTTTGAGGGGGTCGTCGGCGAGCAGGCCCTCAAGAGCGCCAAGGCCGGGTCGACCCAGGCGAAAAAGAGCGGCAACATTCTGTGGATGAGCGTCGCGGACGGCATGCTGGCGGACACGTACGAGGTGCAGGGGCAGACGGCGCAGGCCCAGCTGGCGCGCCAGGCGGGCGTGCAGTACGCCAACGAGTCGTGGGAGCGGACGCAAATATAGGCGTGAAGCGTGAAGCGTGAAGCATGAAGCGTTGAAGCGTGACCGGCGTGTGTGTGTGGGCAACGACCTGAGAGATTGCTTTTTATTGTTCTTGTTCTTATTGTTGTTTTACAAAATTTTCCGGGCGGGCAATGCCTTCAACGTTTGGCTCGATAGGCAGAAGCGAGGCGACGGAAGTCATGATTACGAGGCGCAAATTATTATACACACACTATTTTTTTTTCGGGAGAGGACAAAAGAAAAGACGCAAGGCGAAGGCAAAAACCGCAGTCTGCTTGTACAGCCGAAGAGACGACAAGCGAGAGGAGACGCATGATACCACAGGAGGTACATGGGCGTGGGATCTGTATATTTTATTCGCGGGCTACTTCGGTTTTCGGGCCTTTAGTTTTGATTTTGTCGAATACCATCGTTTTCTTTCATCCATGCTCCAAAGCCCGATTTTATTTTCGTTTCTTTACGAATATGGCTTTCTTCTGTTCTATTTGCTAAAGAAAATGTTTTCTTTTGTTTCGTTTAGGTCGAATTTCAAACTAACAAAAAGTAAAGAAAGTCGTTGGACGTCATCATATCGTTTATTTGCAAATGGAAAGAACCCAAATGGAACGAACCCAAAACAAAAGAAACAAAATGATACTTCTCAACATGCAACGGTGTACTTTGTACCGGATAATTATATCGTAAGTTAAATTTACGTCGTAAGACGTGAACGAGGTTCGTCACTAGCGCCGTAGTTATTCCTTACTTTATATGACCACTTAAGATCGTCCTTTCTTTAACGGACCAGTGGCGCAATGGTAACGCGTCGGATTCCAGTAAAATGGTGCTTCCCGAAGATTGTCCGTTCAATTCGGGCCTGGTTCAAAATGTGTTCTTTTTTTTGGCCTCTCGACTTTGTTTTATATTTTTATTTACGCGTTCATGAGAGTTACCATTTTACTCTTACTATTTTTTCTTTTTCTTTTCTTTTCTCTTTTCAAATTTTTCTTGCATTCGCAACTTCGTACCTATTCACTTCATTCTCTGACCATCCCGCAATGTCCACGTCAGTGCCTGAAACAAGAAACCCTGGAGCCTCGGAACGCTGGAACGCTGGAACCCTGCTCCCTGTCCATGATTCTTGTGACAGTTATGCGGTCGTAATGGACAACGCACACTGAAGCATTCCCGGCGGACCCTGAGTTTATGCTCCTCCTCTAGGGCGCACCTGATCTGGTCTTGTGCCTCGTCACGCGCACTTGTGGCGGATGCACCCTATAAGCACGCTGTGAAGCAATGGAGAGATCGTTGAAAAGCTATTGGCCATAGCTTCGTGGTATGTTGCAGGTCTTACTTCCTGCTGCACATGGCGTTATCGGTGGCGCCTTTGATACACCTTCCGTTTAGGCCTGGCGCGGAAGCCAAGAGACGCGGGAGAGCGCCAAAGGCCCCATTGTTGCGCCCTAAAGCGCCCTAAAGCGCCCTAGACTGGAATATTACAGGGGACCCTCCTTCGCTCTACTCTTCGAACATGATAACGACGGTGACACTCTGCGCACCTCACATGCTCACATGCCCTCTTTCAACCGACGGTGAACCGGCTGGACTGCAGGTCTCCGTAACGTCGTCCGAACCCTTCTTTCTGCCATCCTAATCTGTTGTCGCGTGCCATTTGTCGACGCCCTTGTCCTCTTCCTCCTGATCATGAAGCCTTGAACACGCAGTAGTCGAGATCCCCGACACAGAGGCTGCGTCCATTTAATGGTCTTTGAACCGTCTCCCGCATGCCGTCGCGTCATTGTCTGCCAGCAGCGTTCGCCCTGATTTACCCGGCGCCCACGTCCTCAGCATATACGTTGACGGGCGTCTACTGCTATTCATCTCACTTGCCTCCTTCCTGATTAATCTCGGCAGGGCGCTCTTGCTGGAACGGTTTGTCTCATACTTCGCACAAGGCAGCAGCGATCGACCTGCAACGGCTCTCGTTCTTCCTTCGCCCATCACAATAGCGACCACATCTACATCCTACAACTCTCCTTTGCCGACTCGCTGTACACACGATACACAACGGCGAGATGACATCCGACACGCCACACGGCGCCGGCGTCGGCCACAGCCGGGTCCAGAGCGACTCGCCGCTGTTGGGCGGCAGCCCTGCTGCAACACCTGTCGCTTCAGCAGGATTCCGTGCCCGCATCGGCTTGGCCGGCGTGGCGCGTCGGACTCTCGGCATCAGCATGCTCATGGTCACTGTTTTTCTCTGGACTGCCTCCAACTTTTTGGCAAGCGTACGTCTTCTGTTGTCTGGCGTCGGCTTGTCGTCCCTGCGCTAAGATGACGTTCCTGCTGACAAAACCCGCTGCAGTTCATCTTCTCCGACAGTACATATAGCAAGCCGTTCTTCATGGTCTACCTCAACACGTCCGTCTTTGCCCTCTCGCTCATCCCCATGGGCCTCTCCTTTTTGCGGACACACGGCGCCCGCCACACGAGGTGGGCCCTCTACAATCTGTTGGCCGAGCTGCGGGAGGACGTGCGCGACCAGGTGTCATCTCTAGCGCGGCGGGGCTGGACGTCTGGGCGCCGAGGGGAGGAGGATGACGCCGCGAACAAGCTGCTCGAGGACGGCGAGGGCGTCGACGGCAGCGTGCGCCGACGGCACCGGGGCGCGTCCAATGCGGGCCTGCTCCGTGGCGAGGGCGAAGGCGAAGGCGAGGGCGGCTACGACAGCGGCTGTGAGAACGACTCCGACTCCGACCTCGAGGCCGCGGCCGGTGCGGAGCCCGAGGCCCCGCCACCGGGCATGACCGCCAGCATGATTCTGGCCGCCGGCGGCCGCTACGACAAGCTGACCGTCCGCCAGACCACCTGGCTCAGCCTCGAGTTCAGCATGCTGTGGTTCTCCGCCAACTACCTTGCCGTCGCCTGCCTCGAGCACACGAGCGTCGCCAGCGCCACCATCTTCACCTCCCTCAGCAGCATGTTCACGCTGCTCTTTTGCGCCGTCTCGGGCGTCGAGGCCTTCACGCTGCGCAAGCTCGTTGGCGTCGTCGCGTCCGTCGTCGGCATCGCGCTCGTGTCGTCCATCGATCTGTCGGGCAAGAGCGACGAGAACCGCGGCCAGTTCCCGCACAAGTCGCCCGCCGAGATCGCCGCCGGCGACGCCATGGCCCTGCTGAGCGCCGTCGTCTACGGCGCCTACGTGACCGTCATGAAGCAGCGCGTCGGCCACGAAGACCGCGTCAGCATGCCGCTCTTTTTCGGCCTCGTGGGCCTGTTCAATGTCGTGCTCCTGTGGCCCGGCTTCGTCCTCCTGCATCTGACCGGTGTCGAGCCGTTCGAGCCGCCTCCGACCAACCAGGTCTGGGCCATCATCCTGCTCAACTCGCTGTCATCCTTTGCCAGCGACCTGTCCTGGGCGTACGCCATGCTGCTGACGACGCCGCTCGTCGTGACGGTCGGCCTGTCGCTGACCATCCCGCTGTCCCTGGTCGGCGAGATGATCCAGTACAGCAAGTACTCGAGCGGCCTGTACTGGGTGGGCGCCTTCGTTGTCGTGCTCTCCTTTTTGTTTGTCAACCACGAGAGCCACGAGCCGGACGAGAGCCTTCTCGAGGAGGATCCAGCCACACGTTAAGTCGACGACCTCACGTTGATTTATTTCTGATACGATTTGCTTTTTTGGGTTTCTAGTCTTCCGTTTCTTCAAGACTTGGACATTGCGGGCGTTATTTTGGATGTTTTCGCCTTTTTTATTTTCGATACTCATGATAGCCATAGATATCTTTGCGTTTGATAAATTTTCAAAGCTTCTAAAAATGTTGGTCTACCATTGTACGGACGGCATGCTATATGTTAAAAACAAATGCGCGCTCAACCCTGTGCGGAAGCCGCTATGATGCAATGAATGCGAAGTGACATGTGGACGGGGAATATAAAATGCAACCGTATGAAATGGCAACGATGGCGGAAGACAAAATGCCGGAAGCCGCGATCTCTCTTGCTTGGGAACCGAGTAATAAAACGGCTTCCATATGAGAACCAAAACGCCAGTGACGCAAAACACATAAATGGTATAACCAAATGACAAAAGGAAAAAACGAAAACAGAAAAAGCAGGGGCCGGTCACTCTTCCTCGCACCATTCGTCCACATCGTCCTCCCAGTTCTCCCCCATGTCGGCCCAGCCTGACGCCCACCGGCGGCCCTCGCCCTCGCCACCACTGCGGAGAGCCGCCGCCTTCTCCTGGTCCTCGCGCCAGCAGCGAATGGCATGGTCGTCACCGACCGACACGAGACTGCCGTCGTGCGTCCAGCACACGGCACCGACCTCCTTGTTTTCATGGCCACGTACCAAGGCGGTGCCGTTGCGCACAATCGGAATCGTGTCGACGAGCCGGCCTGGCACACTGGACATGCTGTTGGTGCGGAAAAGGCCACCAGGTCGTCGGGGCGGGCCTGGCATGCTGGTGGTGGCTGAGGCGGCAGCAGCACCACCGCCATTGTTGCTGGTATCGCTGTCCGCCGCCACTGGACGCGGCAGCGAGCTTGCTCTGGAAAAGGGCGACGTGAAGATCGGCACCGGTGCGCTGTTGTCCAGACCGAAGACGGGGCCGCGGTCGTCGCACTGCTCGCCGTTGCCCAGAAAGTACCGCTCATCCGTCGGGAACAAAAGGGCACAGCCATCGCTGCTGCCCACGGCCAAGAGTTCGGGGCGGCCGTCCTTGGCGGGCCGCACGGCCGTCTTGACGTAAAACGACGTGGCGTGGAACTTGTCGTGCCGGAAACCGTAGAGCGGTCCGAGGCCCTCTTGCACGATGCCATTTCGGCGCCTGGGATGGTCGTTGCCCTTGGACGAGAGCTCGGGTGCGGAACCCAGGACAAGATGCGAGGTCGAGTAGGCGTAGACCGTATTGTCTTTGCAGAGGCCGTACAGCCGAGCACCGTCGGTGCTCAGACTCATGGAGGACATGCCAAACGGCCGCCACTGCGAGTGGCTCTCCGGCGGTGCGGTGGCCGAGATCGGGTTGCTCGCCTTTTGCCGCGACGTGTGCACGCTGCGGATGTCCCAGAGCTTGATGGACGCGTCGGCCTCGCAGGCCGACAGAAGTAGGTGCTCTTTGCCCGGTGGTAGGAACTGAATGGCGGTCACAGACACTTCGCCGACGCGGCCAGGCTCTTCCCACCGGGTCGTGACATCGGCTGCCACGGCGGCCTGCATGGCCTTGCGCATCTGGCGTGTCGGGCGTGTCGTCCGCGCATGGGCATCAAAGATGCTGTTGACCACACAGCCCTGGCTGATCTTCTTCGGAAGGCTGAACTGAAGACCGTGTGCTCGTTCTTCGACTGTAAATTCCTGCGCCGGGCCGCCTCTGCACCGCAGATCCCAGATCTTGACGCTGCCATCCCGGCCCGATGTTGCCAGGACGTTGCCCTCGCCTCGGCCCGGCTGGAAGCGCACCTGCTTGAGCGAGGCCGTGTGGTGGTCGAGGATGGAGATGGGCGTCTGTGTCATCATATCAATGACCTTGCCGGTTTGATCGCCCGATGCAGTGGCTAGGAGATAGTCGTCACCCGAAAATGCAAGATCGATGACTGCGTTGCCGTGTGCTAGGAAGGATATGTAGATGTCGCCGAAACTGGTGGATTCCTTGCCGTAGTTTTCCGTGCTGGTGTCGAGAAGCCGAACTCGTCCTTCCTCGTCGCCGACTGCAACAAGTCCATTTGCTAGAGTGTATGTTAGTCACCTGAAATAGAGAGAGAGGAGAACGCTGAGCATAAAATAAGAGAGGTGCATACTGTTGCAAGCTGCAGCACAGAATGGAATGCACCGGCCGTTCGGGACATCGTTGCTGGAACAATAGTGAAGGTCGTCGTGGGAGCTATAGAAGCTGGCGGTCTCAACTCTCCAGTCTAGAATACCATGTTAGTATACGCCTACTTGCTAACAACGCAGCAAAATATATACTCATAAACAGCGTACCTGCCACAGGCCGGGGAAGATGGTGGTTGCCAGCCCCGGATGGCATTCCATACTCCCGCTGGAGAAGCTGGCCAGCAAAGCCACGCCCAGACAGTGGCATCGTCCTCTTGAAAGATGGTCCAGAGAACGGCAGATCCGGCTCGCCGTCGTCAGACATGCTGAACTTGTCCTCGTCACATCCCGACTCGGGCTCGTCGACAAGGGCGGGCAGCGGTGACGAAGCCAGAGGGCTCAGCAGCATGGAAGCCACGGCTGTGTGCGATACGGGCTCTGGCGTGGCGGCATCGTGAAACACAGACGCGGGTCGAAGAGGCGACGTCTCGGGCGTTTGATGGCCCGTCTTGCGTCTTTTCGTTGTGCGAGGCAGGGGACTAGCCTCATCGACACAGCGATTGCTCTTGTCGCGGGCTGCCAGCGGGCTCGAACCAAAGTGCAATGGGCTGCTGGACGGATTCAGGTTCCGGTTCAGAGACCGGGCGGTGAGATCTCGGAGCGCCCGTCGAGCGGCACTGGGATCGGCTGAGACGCGAGACCGAGGGGTGAAGAAGCGGCGGAACTTGCGAGGGGTGATGGACGGCTGGCGGCGTTCTTTTCCACTTGCATCGGCAAAGGACGGGGCCGCCAGCCGGGGTGGCGAGGACATCAGCGCGGCATCATCACGAGATGTCAGGACAGGGTCGATGGCAGACGGAGATTTGTTTTCTGCCATGATCCTGCCCTGCCACAGCAGCACCACGTTGCATAAAGCTGAGGATGGAGGTAGCTGAGCTCGGTCAGGCTATAGAAGTAGTCGGCGAGGTGAGAGTCTGGGGATGCAGATGGCGGTACACGGTTGAGATAATGAGGTCAAGATGAAGAGAAGTTGAAGAACGAAAGATGCTGAATGGACGAAGCCGAAGAATGCAAGAAAAAGCAAGGGCGACTGGTCTGGAGCACGGTGAGCTTTCCAATTAACGCGGCCGACGCTTGGCCACCGCGGAAAGTCGTGTGGCGGGGAAGGCACGACCAGGCATGGCGCCTATGGGGCGAAGGTGGTTCTGGCAGGGAAGGAACGCGATGGACACGCGCTCACTTAACGATGTCGCGAGCACTTACAGCGTGAGCCAATGAGAAGGCGCCATTTTGACCAAGCTCCTGCCTTTTGCGGGTCGCCGCCATCGCAAGGCGTCTCCGGCCAGGGCACTGTACTGCATGCAATCTACGATTCTGGAAAGGGAGGTTCGAATTAAAGACGAGATAAGCCCAATGACGGCTGAAATGAGGGAGGGCGGACAATTCCCTGCCAAAGAGTGAAAGGGCGAGAAAGCAGCTCGCTGAGCGTCGAGTCAACAAGCTTAGTCATTTTCTAGGTAGCGGTCCATCGCGACTTCCCGAAACGCTGTTTGGTTTGGGCAAGCACAATCGCACCGCGTTGCCCCACTTTTATTTCTCGCCCGCGTTTATTGGCGGTGAGCCGATAAGATAAAAAAAAAAAAAACTGGCAGAAGGGTGCGGGAGCAAATTTTAGGTGCAACGGCCTGAAATCTAATAGCGAAAAAATAGAGGCATCGCCAAGCGACAGACGTCGGTCTTTTCACAACGACCAACGAGGTGCATTCCCACGCCCTCGCACCGACGATCACATACGAAAGCCGATACACCATATAGCGACATCCGAAGCGACTCTTCTTATCGAAATACCTGCCACAGCCATTCGCCGGCACACTCGCTTCGCCCGCGGCCGCCGTCAAGATGGTTGAGAAGAAGCATGGCAAGGGCCGTCTGGACAAGTGGTACAAGCTGGCCAAGGAGAAGGGCTACCGAGCCCGTGCCGCCTTCAAGCTGATTCAGCTCAACAAGAAATATGGCTTCCTCGAGAACAGCAAGGTCGTCCTCGATCTGTGTGCTGCGCCAGGTGTATGTTTCGTCTATGCCCTGTTTGTATCATGTGCATTTGCGTTTTCTGTTTACCTGCTAACAAAGTAGTCCTGGTGTCAAGTGGCCGTCGAGACCATGCCTGCCAACGGCATCATCATCGGTGTCGATCTGTCACCCATCAAGCCGATCCCCAAGGTCATCACCTTCCAGAGCGACATCACGACCGAAAAGTGCCGCGCAACGATCCGGCAGCACCTCAAGAACTGGAAAGCCGACACTGTCCTGCACGATGGTGCCCCCAATGTCGGCACGGCCTGGATTCAGGATTCGTTCAACCAGTCCGAGCTGGTGCTGCAGTCGATGAAGCTGGCGACGGAGTTTCTGGTCGAGGGCGGCACCTTTGTCACCAAGGTCTTCCGCTCCAAGGACTACAACTCGCTGCTGTGGGTCTTCAACCAGCTGTTTGCCAAGGTCGAGGCCACCAAGCCGCCGTCGTCGCGCAACGTGTCGGCCGAGATTTTCGTCGTGTGCCGCGGCTTCAAGGCGCCCAAGCGCATTGACCCGCGCTTCCTCGACCCCAAGGCCGTCTTTGCCGAGCTGGCCGACCCGACGCCCAACAACGAGGCGCGCGTGTTCAACCCCGAGGTCAAGAAGCGCAAACGCGACGGCTACGAGGAGGGCAACTACACGCTGTACAAGGAGATGCCGGCGAGCGAGTTCATCCAGACTACGGACCCCATTGCCGTGCTGGGCCAGTACAACACCCTGACGTTTGACCAGCCCAAGAACGGCGACGTGGCGCTGGCCGCGCTGGCCAAAATGGTTGAGACGACGGACGAGATCCGGCGGCTGTGCACGGATCTGCGCGTGCTGAGCCGGCGGGACTTTAAGATGCTGCTCAGCTGGCGTCTGCGGGTGCGCGAGCGGTTTGGATTCCCGACGAAGAAGACGGCCGCCAAGCCGCTGTCGGAAGAGACGGCGGCCGTTGACGACATGGACGAGGAGACCAAGATCGAGAAGGACCTGCAGGAGATGCGGGACCGCGCCAACTCCAAGACGAAGCGCAAGAAGCGGCGCGACAACGAGCAGAAGCAAAAGGAGATTGTGCGCATGCAGCTCAACATGACGGCGCCCATGGACATTGGCATGGAGCAGGCCGACGCCATGGGCGAGGGCGCGCTGTTCGGTCTCAAGAAGATGGACAAGACGACGGCCCTGCAGCGGATTGCGCGGGGCAAGATGGCGACGATCAACCCCGAAAAGGCGGTGACCGCGGCGGAGCACGACGACAGCGACAGCGGCATCGGCTCGTCGGCGGAGACGGACGAGGACGAGGACGACGAGGACGACGAGGAGGACCGCCTCGAGCGGGAGCTGGACGGCCAGTACGACCAGTACCAGGAGCGCCGGGCCGCTGTGGACGCCAAGCACAGAGCCAAGAAGGCACGCGAGCATGGCGACGACGCCGAGTGGGAGGGTGTCTCGGCGGGCGAGAGCGACATTGAGGACAGCGACGGCGACCTCGAAGAGGACAGCAGCGATGACGACGGCGACGAGGGCGCGACCACCGCTGCGACCAAGTCTCTCCTGACGGACCTCGACAACAGCACACCCAACAAGAGCGGTCTGTCCAAACGCGCCCAGGACTTCTTCAGCCGGTCCGAGTTTACCGATATTATGGGTGACGTAGACGAGCTCGAGGAGGAGGAGGAGGAGGAAGACGATGACGACGACGAAGTCGAGGAGGAGCAGGATGGCGAGTACGAAGAGGTGCAAAATGCAGAGGAGGTGGAGGAGATTGAGATTGACGAGAACGATGAGGACGAGGACGAGGACGACATTATGCCTACGAAGCAGGAGGTCGGCTCGGACAGCGAGGACGACGGCAACTTTGAGGTAGTCAAGCGCAGGCCGGTCGGCGACGAGGACGACTGGGAGGACGAGGACAGGCGCCGCGCTACCGCCGACGACAGCGTGGGCGTGGACATTATCACGGCCGAGATGATGACGCTCGCGCACGATCTGGCGCTAGGCCGCAAGACCAAGCACGACGTCGTCGACGACCTGTACAACCGCCGCGCGTTCCGTGACAAGGACGGCCTGCCCGACTGGTTCCTCGACGACGAGTCCAAGCACGACAAGGTGCAGCGGCCCATTACCAAAGCGGCTGCCGACGCCATCAAGGAGAAGATGCGTATGCTGAACGCGCGGCCGATCAAGAAGGTGCGCGAGGCGCAGGCGCGCAAGAAGTTCAAGGCGGCGCAGAAGCTCGAGAAGCTCAAGAAGAAGTCGGAGATGCTGCTAGCGGACGAGGGCATGACCGAAAAGGAAAAGGGCGACTCCATCAGCAAGATGCTCAGCAAGGCCGCCAAGAAGAAGCCCCATATCCCCAAGAAGGTGGTCGTGGCGCGGGGCTCCAACCGAGGCATCCAGGGCCGACCCAAGGGCGTCAAGGGCCGCTACAAGATTGTCGACCCGCGCATGAAGAAGGACACGAGAGGTCTGAAGCGTGCGGCCCAGCGGGGCAACAAGAGACGCAAGTAGATGCGGCGCGGCCGCGTTTGTATTTGCCGGGTATCTAGATTTTCTATAGCATACGTATTTGTGCATTTTTTCCGGCGTTGGCATTTTGCACTCCTTTTTTTCCCCATAGACTCAAAAAGTTGCTCCTTGTCTCCTACTATTGTTCTTTGCTTTGGTATACCGCTTTGACGAAGGACGTCAAAGGCAACAATGGCCCTGTGAATTCCATATCGTACCTGGCGTTGTTAGCGTGTCAGCGGGTGTTGGCCACAGTCTGGCAGGACCGTTCGTGGAGAGAACCATACCAGTAGTTGACGGCAACGCAGATGCCTTCGTCGGACGCGGTTTGCGACACTTTGTGGTACCACATTGCCGGAAGGTAGAGCATGTCCCCTGGATTCAGCGTCACCCGCATCGGCTCAGCCAAACCGGAATATGGCGTTGTGTTGGCGCTGGGTGCGTCTGGGTCCCAGACGGCAAACGGGACACGATTGTTAGGGCCGTCAGCCCCCTCTGGAGCCAGCGTCAGCCCGCCGTCGCTCCGCGCATAACTGTACTGCGGCAGATACTGCTCGTTGACACAGGGCTGGCACAGCGGCGGCAGCAAGACAAAGTGCTTCTGGCCGAGGATCTGCACGTAGATGTTCTCGTAGTTGTCGCGGTGCATGGCCGTGACCGAGTGTGAGTTGCCAATCCACAGATTGATGGCTTCAGGCGCACGCTGCAATGCAATCCGCGCAAACGGAATGTCCTTCTGGACGTGTGCAAAGACAGAGGCATACTCGTGCCTCAGATTGTCGTTTTCTACCGGATGGCGTCAACATGGCGGGCCCCCTTGTCTGGCATGTGGATCGATTCGAACGGCCAGCACTCACGAGTCTGCGCATAACGGGTCTCAGCTCCTTCCGGCAGCTGGCCCTTCTCCTGCCTTACGACATAGTCGACAAAGCCGACAAACGTCTGGTCCTCTTCCCACGGCTTGGCAAACACAGCATCACCGTCCGGGCCGGGCGTCGGTGCATCCGCGTATCTGGAGCAAGGGTCAGTACGAAGATCACAGGCGGACAGGCAGGGCACAGAGGACGGACCCATTCGGCGTCACGGCCACGTTGACTGTATGGTCGGCGAGCGTTTTGCGGAGAAACGGCACAGACCAAGTCTGCGCGGCAGGCCAGGCGGATGCGCCTCCCCGGATGACAAAGGGCGTGTTCCGGGCGACATAGCGCATAAACTCGAGCGGGCTGGGCTCGCTGCCCCCGTTGTCGAGCTCGTCGATTATGCTTCCATTGAGCTCAAAGTAGCTGGTGATGAGCTCGGCCACTGGATCCATGTCACGGCGTTGTGTTGGGCCGTCGAGCAGGCTGTGAATCAAGGCAACAGCGACGGCACGCGCTTTCCTGAATGGTAGTAAAAAATGGGAGCAAGTGCGCCCGTAGTGGGGCTGGGCATCGCGCCTGCCGCAGGAGCTTGCGCGAAGCATTACCTACGAGTACTTCTCCCAACGGAGATGGCTCGATGGCCTCACAACATGCTTGGCTTTCCAATGCGTTTTATCTGGGTGATTGAATACAGTACTTTAAGTCAAGGCTAGACCAGATTGCTGCTGTAAAAGGGCTCCATCGAATTTCCGACTGCCTTTGGGGCACCTTCCCTGCAACTGGGAAATGCCATTCGCACTTTCCCATCGCATTGGGATGAGAAAATCGATCGGGAAGGAGTGGCATGGCTCTTTCCTGTCGCGGCACGACTGTTCGCCTGACTCGATTGTTTACCCCTGAATCCCCATCCCATCGCCCGCCTTTTGGCCCATGCTGCATTCTTGGTCTGTTTCGTATTTTACAGCTCCTCGTCTTCACAAGTGTCTCTTTGTTCCACAACGTCCAGCGACAGCCATCTCGCTTAAACCTGCTTCTCTGCAGACTGGCAGCAAGTTCGCTCTCCGACTAGCAAATATCGTGTCGCTCGCCACCCTTGCATAAAACATTCTGCGGATGTCGCACAGCAAAGAGACGCATGCATTGGGGTCCGTGGCAAGGACGATGACGACGACAATTGCCCAGGAGCCGCCTGAGTTTGTTGTGGATACGACTCCCGGACACAGACTGGGCGGCTGTTTCACGCTCTGCCTTGGCCGTGTTTCGTTTTGAATTGGCAAGCGAGTTGAGACGAGTCTGAGCCCATCCGTCACGAGCGTCGGCGACGACTGGCAGTTCTTGCTTCTCCAGCATTCGATTGACTCTTGTGAGTTGTTCTTATTTCCTTGGACTAAATCAAGCATGTAACATCTTATTTGTGGATTGCTAGGTGGATATTCTGGCTTCAGAAGCAGCGCGTTGCCGCATTTGTCTGCCAATATATGCATCATGCCCCTCCGTTTCGTGTTTCGTGGTGTCCAGGATCCGCTCTCTTAGTGGTCAGATCCATCGTCCCGTCACACCACCCTAGTGTGCTTTGACACTATCGGGTTGTACGATGTACAATCGAAAATTACAAAACCCCATCTTTCAAACATGGTTTTCTCTGCCCGCTGCGACAGCTAACGGTTCCTGCATCCATCCTGCACGACTCTGATCATCCAGCAACAGCGGACATCCTTCGACCAACAGCGTCGAAGCCGACACGCCAAACTCCGCCAAACACAGCCATAAGTTTCTCAAATAGCACCCTTTCCCTCGTTATTGGCGAATTCCCCTCTGTCTTGCATCAAGCTGGACGACGCCAGTTCCTCATCACCGACCACCATTAGACCTACGCTCACGAATCAGTGGCAGGGGCTTTTTGGAATTCTGTTTGGGCGTTTGTGAGCTAGCGTGCGCTCTTCGGATGACCAAAAGGCACCACAATTCTCATTACCTCGAAACGCGCGGACCTACAAAGCCCGCGCGAACACGAAGGCAAGAAACCAAAGTGCGCTCAACGGCCAAGCTGCTCGCCTTTCGCAACTGTAAAAATACGTCCAACTTCCCTTGCAGTCTGCACTCCCGACAAGTCACCATCAGGTCTTTCCTCGCATTACTGTGGATCCACTGTGTCTCTTCCCTTGTTCTCAACGGCACTATCCACAATTTTTTTGGCACGATTTCAGGCCGGGCAACATCCCAGCCTACCTTCAATCGTCCCTTTCCGCTGGCCTGGGCCGTGCTGTATTATCGTTGATCACCTAGCGGGATGACGTTTTCAGTTTGTCTCTAAAACTCGCCCTTCCCTCTCTTCATGCCATGTCTGGACAACTCCTCTTCCTCGATCGCGGACCATCTGTCGAATGTACGCCTTCGTCGTCTAGACTCTTTCTTCAACTGGATGCGAACACCTGCCTTCACCACTACCGCCCTTGTCATCTACAATTCCCCAAGACGGCAATCAACCTCCGCCCTATTTCTAGCTCGTCGGCCTCTACGTCACTCTAACATTTCACCTCTTGCCACCCATGCTTCGTTTCCCATGTCGGATACCGCAAAGCCACCGGCTGTCTTCCTTTCCGCCTTCGACACACTGCAACCACCGCAGTGATGCTTTGGTATTTTCTCTACCCGCTACGGGGGTATGTCCATCGTCATGGCAGCTGAGGAGCGTGACCTTTTCCCGCGAAATGTGCCATCCGACTAACCACCTGCTACAGGACGACGAGTGCCCCAGGTCTCGTCCCCAATAATCCTTTACGACATATTCTCTCACGCTACGGTGTATATATCGCACGACATATTGCTACGATCCTCCTCATCTTTGTAGCTATCGCTACGGCTCTCATCTACCCGATCCCGTTTCTCTACGCCCCCGATTTCACCAGCGGCGCCTCAGGGCTACCGCACCACGTGTGGACCAATGCACAACCTGTGAAGACCGGCCTCATTGCCACAGAACCCAATGTTTTTATGCGCTCCATATGGGTCCACGGCAGCTACATGAAAGCCCTGGAGCGCAACGTCCTCCTCGGCGCACTGGAGCTCCAAGACGAAATCCTCGGGCCAACGAAAGGTTTTAACCCAAGGATCTTAACGAACAACGTCACTGTCCGCGATCCCCTTGCGAATCTCTCTGTTCTCGAGCGTGACACACTCCACGTCGTCAATGGCTTGACCAACCAGTCGTGGTTCTTTCATTCGCCGTTGCTCTACTGGTCGAACGACCACGACTTGATCGCAACCGACCCCAATATCCTCGCCACTGTAAACGAGCACAAGAATCAGCATACATCTCTCAACGTCACTTTGCGACACTCTGTTGTCTTCAGCGGCAAGAGATTTGAGGACCGCGCCCTGGTCGCCGCCGACGCCATTGTCATAACTCTGATTCATCTTCGCGATTCCCCTGTTGGACGGCAATGGGAACGAAAGGTGGCCGAACTTGCCACCCATGTGACTGACAAATGGGACATCTACCCCCAAGATGCCCGTAACCTGTCCAGCCAGCTCTACGAGTTTCAATTTCTCCCCATCTCGATACAGGACTCGGTCATGCTGACCTTGGCGTACTGTTTGACGTTCGTCTACGTCATCCATAACCTCTCCAAGATTCCAGCAATCAAGTCTCGACCTGGCCTTATGGTGACGTTTGTCACGCAAATATTTGTCTCGATATTGTCGAGCTTCACGGTGTGCGCTATCCTCCAAATCGACCTGTCTCGCATCCCACGCGCCGCCTACCCGATTGTAATTATCTCCATGAGTCTGGAGAATATGCTTCGACTTATCAACGCTGTCATCGCTACAAACTCGGAGGAAAGTACCAGTAGCCGAATTGGCACGGCTTTTGGGGAGACTACGCACATTGCTCTTGCTAGTGTTGTGGAGCATCTCGTGCTTCTCTGGGGCATCTCGAAGCTCGTCACAACCGGCCTTTCGGATTTTTGTGCATTTCTCGCCATTGCTATTGTGTTCGACTTCTTCTACTTTTCCACTTTCTTCCTGGCTGTCCTTAGCGTAGAGGTGCGACGGTCAGAACTTTCCGACTTCCTCGAGAAATCGTCATCAACAAAGAGAAACCAGCGGCCGCCTGGCCGGTCAATATATCCGGATGTTTTTGTCTCCCCCCAGAAATCGATTTCGCGGAAATCTTGGATGACAGCCGTTCTCCAGGGCCGCATTGACGTTTCCACGCGCATCGCCGGCACGATCATCCTGCTCGGCTTTGTCATCATTGCCCAGTGGCATTTTTTCGAGAACGAGACCATATCACACACGTTGAACCGCATGTTCACCTATGGAATAGGTTATGGTGGTAGTAAAAATAATCTGACCGACTGGAGTAGCGCATCTTCTCAGCTCCGGGGCCTCCACCAGGCCCGCAGCTTGACATCGTGGCTTCGTCTTCAAGACCACGAGACAGCACGGGAGGTCATCCGTGTCGTGAAGCCAGAGGCACACAGTTATATTGCTCGCGTGTACGAGCCTCTTGTTCTTGTCTTGAAGGGAAGCGACCGCATGCAGTCTGTCACCGAGCGCCCGTTCCTACCAGCTGTGTACGACTTTTTTCGCCACCAATCGACGCCGTTCCTGGTTGTGATTTTGGTCCTCACAGCAGCCATGCGCATCTTTTTGAATTACCTGCTTTGGGACGAGATGGCTGATATTAGTGGTGACGTCGATGCACCCAACGAGCCGACCTTGTCCGTCAAGACGTTGGACCAAGGCCATACCCTCGACGTGGCCCTCTTGGCTGCAACGTCCGACGGCCTGGTTGTTTCTGTCGGCCTGGATCGCTGGATCCGTGTCTGGAACTTGCCTCATGGTGGCGTTAACTACCCTTTGAGAAAACGCGACGCGCTCTCCGACGACCCCTTTCCAGTGCTTCTCGCCATCGACAACGACTCGACATGGCTTGCGATCTTGTCGCACGATAACGTCATGCTATGGAATCTGGAGACCAAGGAATGGGGCCCGTCCATTGCTATCGATTTATCTGGACAGAAGCCAGAAGCCTTCTTCTTCATGCCCCGCCAAAGGACTGATTTGGCTCGCTCGCTCGTTGTGGTTCGACGCAATGGCACGCTCACTGAGCTGTGGGTCGATACGGGCGAAACGCTGGACTCCGCCATTTGTAAAATCACGCTCTTGTCCGCGGTCTACTTCCAACCGCTGCATTCACCAGCGACAGGACCCTCCGATTCCGGCTGCATGGCTATCATTGCAGTCTCACAGAATGGCTGTGTCCACCGCGCCACTCCCACCCATCGCGGGTGGATCTCCGAGGAAATCAAGCAACAGACTGACAATGAGGAGCACGCCCACTCTGTCGTTGCTTTGCCGCTCTTTTCGGCCTACTTGGTCGTCAGACCACACTCGGTGGACATGGTCGACCTTGCCACGTCTGAGACGCTTCACACCTTTGTGTCCCACTTTCAGATTAAGCCTCACTCGTTGCGGTGTATTTTTTCGACGAGGAGGCATTCCAAACGAAGCTCTCCAAAGCTGAGCTACTTCAGCCTCATATATACATGTGCCGAGTCAGGGAACTGTGTCATTCAGACCTATTTGCCACAGGACGACGATGGATCCATCTTGTTCTCACAGGACGATCTGTCAGATACGTCTTCAACAGACGGTGCGCCTAGCTGCATGTGGCACGAGACGCGGCAGACCATCGAAGAGGTACCTAACCCCGGCCTTTGGGAAGCTCTACCTAATGGATGCGTTATTGGTGTCCGACAAACGTCAATCCTTGGTCAGCATAGCGGCGGAAACCGCAGCGGCGCAACTGGCTCGGAAGCGGTTATAAACAGGTCCAATATTCTCCGACGGCGAGGAGCCACGTGCACCACGTCAGCCACTTCTTCGCCTAGGCCTTCCCAAAGAAAACTTGATTACTCCAGTGGACGGGACAGCTGGGAGGCCTGGACCATTTGCACTGTTGTTGACTCGGCCAAAAGCATAATTGACACAGTTCCGGGACGCAGCAACAACGGTGATGCATCGGCTTTTACCAGGATGGCCGCCACGGCCACGGCCACAAGCACCACCAACGCGAGTAGAGACAAGAACTACATGACGCATCCGATGGCCGTGGATGAGAGCGAGCTGCTGGTTACAGAACTTGGGCCAATTGCCTGTGTGGGCGCTGGCACGATTGCGCTGGGACTTGGCGCGGCCATTAAAATCATCACGATGGGCCACGAGCGGTTCGGCAGCCCGGCCGAGATGCTTGAGGAGGCAGCTGGGCAGATGATGGAGACCAGCAGCGTGGCCAACCGACGACGCAAGAACCGGTCGAATCAGAGAGCGATGGTGACATAGGCATGGTTTGGGTGCATTTGGCTGGCGTTTAAAAAGGCGAGGCATTTGAGCGGCACGATAACTGGCAGCGCGACTTTCTTGCATATTGTAATTGTACGATTTGATACCACTGTTTATGATGACGACGCTTAAGCATTATGTTACTTTTTGGATACAGGTCTTGGAAGGCGGGTGTGTTACTGAGTGAACGGCGAGCTTCGATACCGACGGACAATGCACGCAGACACGTTTCGTGACAGAGATGTCGACATCGCTAGTTCTACAACTGACGAAGATTATACCAGATTAGGAGGGACAGGACACGAGTCAGAAGACAACGGCCTGTTCAACATTCGATGCCGACCATCGACTGAACCCAAAGTCAGCGCTGACTCGTTTGTCAGGGGTCCAGGTTGTGCCGTGCCGGTCCTTGTGGGCCTGGCCAATTAACTTACAGCGGAAGTTGATAACCCAAAGCTCCACCAGTCTCCAACTTCCTGGTTCGACTGCGGGGGACTCGGCACACCAGGAGGACCAGCCGGCAGAGGCGGTGGGCTGTATTTACGTTTTGTGGTGTGAGGAGGGCAGGATCGTCAAGGTACACGACGACAGGCTCAACTCGAACTTGAGGGACAGAAATCGATTCGAATAATAAATTGAGGCATCGCGAAATCGAGCAGTCGAGGGACAAAATAGCACGAGACACAAGTACAACGGCACACCACCGCCGCCATGATCTATCAATCGCCGTTTCCGGCGCCGCCGACGCCACGGGATGTTTCGATTTCGCAGTTTTTGGTGCGCACCAACCCGGATGACGTGCCGGCCGACAAGCCGATCATCTGCGACTTTGAGAACCCGAGCCACAAGTTGACATATGGCGAACTGCGGACGCGGGCGGCGCAGGGTGCGGCCACACTCCGCACGGCGCACGGCATGAAGGAGGGCGACGTGGTGTGTCTGTTTGGGCACAACTCGGTCAACTGGATGCTGTTGTGCCACTGTGTGCTCTGGGGCGGCGGCTGTTTTGCGGCGATCAACTCACTGGCGACGCCGTATGAGCTGGTGCACTACTTTTCGATTGCCAAGCCGAGCATCATTGCGGTCGACGCGGCACTCCTCCCGACGGTGCAAAAGGCGCTGGCAGGCGCTCCCAAGACGCCGAGCAGCGTGGCGCCCAGGATCATCGTCATTGAAGACGGGCAACACGGTCAGTTGCCGGCACCCTTGGCAGCTCTACCCAAGTTCCCGCGCGACTTCATCCGGTTCCAGCACCAGTCGGTGGCAGCGTACGACCTGGGTGGGCGCGACAACAGCACCGTCATGGCCGGCATGTGCTTCAGCTCGGGCACGTCGGGCAAGCCCAAGGGCGTGATGCTGTCGCACCACACGCTCATCGCGCAGCTGCTGAGCTCGCGCGCGACCAACCCGTTTATCAACAACGCGCACGTCAACGAGGTGTTTTACCCGCCGTTTGGCCACATCTACGGCATGGTGGCGTGCGTGCTGTTCTCGGCGTGGGTCGGGCACTACGTGGTGGCGATGAAACGGTTTGACTTTTTGCCGTACCTGCAGCGGTGCGCCGACATTCGGGCGTCGGTGCTGCGGCTGGTGCCGGCCACGGCGACGCGCATGACCAAGGACCCGGCCGTGCGGGCGCTGGACCTGACGAGCGTGCGCACGGTCATGGTGGCGGGCGCGGCGCTGTCGTCGGACACGGTGCGCACGCTGCAGCGGGACCTGCTGGACCCGCAGGCGGTGGTGCTCAACGGCTACGGCATGACAGAGGTGACCATTGCGATGCTGCGCGAGACGCAGAGCCACCGTGCGGGCAGCCTGGGGCGCATTGCGGCGGGCACAGAGATGCGGATCGTCGACGACGCCTTCCAGGACGTGCCGCGCGGCACGGACGGGCAGTGTCTGGTGCGCGGGCCGACGATGTTCATGGGCTACAAGGACAATGTGGCCGAGACGGAGGGCTCGTTCTACACAGACCCCGTGACGGGCGACCGTTGGTTCTGCACGGGCGACGTGGTGCAGATGGACGACGACGGGTTCCTGTGGATGACAGGCCGCAAGAAGGAGCTGATCAAGTTCCGGGGCAACCAGGTGCCGCCGGCCGAGCTCGAGGCGATTCTGCTGGAGCACCCTCTGGTGACGGACGCAGGCGTGTGCGGCGTGTTTGACAAGGCGCTGGACACGGAGGTGCCCGTGGGTGCGGTGACGCTGGCCCCGTCGGTGGCGGCCGCGGATCGACCCGCCGTTCTCAAGGAGGTTCGGGCGTTTATGGACGACAGGGTGTCGCCGTACAAGAAGCTGCGGGGCGGCCTGTTCCATCTGGACGCACTGCCCAAGGGCACGACAGGCAAGCTGCAACGGCGGGACATTCTGGCTGCTCTTGCGGCGGTGCAAGACAAGGCGAAGTTGTAAGGGGAGGGGCGGTCGAGAATGGGCAGGTAGCACCAAATTGTGTGCAAATGTGGTAGAGTGTTTATAGAGAGAGAGCGTATGTCAGTCTGTGTCCCGTTTTGTTTATTTATCTGATCGTTGCCAGTTTACTTGTTTCTTTTCTTCTCATGACACCACATTGGGCCGTTTATGCACTTGTCTGGTGCAGTAGCGGCGGATATACGACTCCGGTTGGCGAGGAGGTGTTTGCTCCAAATTGTCGATGCACCCAGCTGACACTCTTCCTTTACACGCAACACAGCATACTCCCATCCTTCCGAACACACACGCTCAACCACCACGACGTCGCCACCATGCAGCACGCCACAGACGCGGACATGGCCGCTAGGGCGCGCGCTTTTGTGCAGCAGCAGGCGGATGAAGCAGCCAGCAAAGGCACCACCGAGACATGGTACTGCATCACGGCCTGCGCTTTTGCGGCCTGCAACCAGGGCGGCTTCGTGGGCGACGTGTACAAGGCCGCCATTGCCTCCAGCGACCCGGACGACATCGCCCACCAGCAGCTGGTGCTCCGGCGCATCAAGGAAGCCCTGCTCAAGACGAGCGTCATCTTTGGCATCCCGCGCACCATCAACGCCTTTCGCGCGCTCGTCCGGGCCCTGCCATCACCGGCGGCCAATGAGGTCGCGTCCGTCCGCAGCCACATTGCGCGCCCTGCCGATACCGACGCGCGCGGCCTTGCGTACATGCGCAACATTTTCCGGGCGGACCTCGATCCCTTCCTCGACACCATGGACCAGTACTGGCCGGACCTGCGCACACTCGTGGTGACGACCATCTACGGCTACTACCAGTCGGACACGACGGTGCTGGGCGCCGTGGCGACGAGCCAGCTCAACATTGCAACGCTGGTGCCCATGGACGTGACGGCCGAGGTGGCGTGGCACATGCGCGGCGTGATCCGCAACGGGGGCACAAGGGACGACCTAGACTATGCCTTTGCGACGGCCATGGCGGCGTGCGAGATCTGCGATGTGCGCCTCAAAAACACGATGCCGCGGCCAGAGGACGTCGTCAACGAGGAGCGGTTGTTTTAGCGGTGGTGCCATCTTGGACGAACATGGGCAGCATCAAGTACGTACTGTTGAGGTTTAGGTTTATTTTGTTATTTTTTTGCGCTTGCTCTTTTTCTATTCAAACTATGCATGATCTACGTCCTCCGCCGGCTTAGCAAATCCACCCGCCGTCGACGCAGATGGCCGTGCCCGACACGTACGTCGACTCGTCGCTCAGCAGGTACGCAATCAGGTGGGCCACCTCCTCCGGCCGGCCCGCGCGGCCCAGCGCGTTCTCGTGCGTGCTCGACAGCACGCTCTGCCCCGTGTGGGTGGTCGCGCCGCTGGCCGTGACAATCTCGCGCGCCTTGTGGTTCATGGGCGTGTCGATGGGGCCCGGGCAGATGCAGTTGACACGCACGCCGCGGTAGCCAAACTCCTTGCAGGCCGATCGCGTCAGCCCGACCACCGCGTGCTTGCTCGCCGCGTACGCCGCGTTCTTGGCCCGGCCCGTCACGCCCGCAATCGACGACGCGTTGACAATGCTGCCGCCGTCGGCGACCACGCGCGTCTGCGCCTTGAGGCAGTGCATGAGCCCCGTGGTGTTGACGCCCAGCACAAAGTCCCACTGCTCGAGGTCCTGGTCCGCCAGCGTGTGGATGCCAATGTCCTTGGGGATCACGCCGGCCATGTTGGCGGCGCCGTCGAGCCGGCCAAACGTTTGCGTGGTCGCGTCGATCCACGCCTGCACTTGATCGTACTTGCGCACATCCACGACCCGCGTCAGCACATTGTCGGCGCCCGCGGTGGCGCGCAGCTCCGCGGCGGCCTTGTCGAGGCCGGCCTGCGAGACGTCGGCGAGGGACAGCTTGGCACCCCGGGCGGCGGCGAGCTGGGCAAACGCCAGGCCAATGCCCGAGGCAGCGCCGGTGACGGCAATGACCTTGTCCTGGAGTTGTTGGGGCGACATTATGTGGGCGAAAGTTCGTGTGCGTAGGAGTGGTGACGATGTAAGTTGACCGACCAATTCAGAGAAAAATCAAGACACTCGACGGGATAGTTTCTAAAAAGGTTGTCGTCAAAACAAAGCAAGGAAACGATCACAGAACAATGACAACAACAGTCACCCACTTGGGGCCGCCGGCACAGCTGAATCATTTATATGACCAACTACCAGTCAATGTTGGAGAAAAGTGACAAAGTGACCAAAGAGAGGGGCAGGCTTAAACGAAGGTCTCATGAGTATCCGGCTAGTCAACACGGCCAGGGAGTTCGGTTTCCGGAGCTCCTGCGCTAGTTGGCGACTTGCAAGGAAGACGGCAGAGGCAGAACTGACTCGCCTTCGGTCCTGACCTACTTAGTGTGCATGTTGGTGTCTGCAGGTGACTTTGCAAACTGGCCAATCGAGTGTTACTTCGGGATGAGACGTGCTTTGTTAGGGCCCAATCACTGATTTGCTGTATTTGCTATATTTTCTGCTTTGTTCAAACTTGTACGCCCTCTCCGCCTACAGGTGGCCGTTCTCGATAAACTTCTTGGGCATGGGCACGTACTTGGCCCGCAGATACTCGCACAGGTTCTTGGCCAGCGTGTCCAGCCCGGAGCCCGAGTTGTAGCCCCGGTCCAGGTGGTCCTTTAGCAGAAAGTGCACCGCCCGGATGTTGCCCATCTCGAACCGGTCAATGCGCCCGCCGCCGTACTCCTTGGCGCCCAGCAGCGCCTTGAACGTGTCAATCGTCAGGAACGACCGCAGCCAGTCCCACTGCTCGGCTGTCGGCACGTAGAACCCGACGTTGGCGTCCGACGCCTTGTCGCCCGACCGGCCCAGCGCCACCCAGCCGAGCGGCGCCTCGACGGTCGCGCCAAACGTCGACAGGGCCACCGGGTTGCGCGTGTCGTACGACGCCTGGGCACCGTACGTCTGCGTCTGCGGCGGCAGCGCAATGTCCACGGGCGTGCTGCGCATGGCCGCGTCGCCAAACAGCAGGTGCACGCGGTGGCGGCATGCCGACTGCGGCACGAGGGTGACAAAGTACTCGTAGTAGCTCTTGGCCGTCGACTGCCGCAGGTCGTTGGACCGCGACACGCCGGGGCACGACTGCAGCACCGTCTCGTAGAGCTTGCGCGCGAACCCGTACGGCAGACTGGGATCGAACAGCGCCGCATCCTTGGCCTGCGCAAAGATGCGCAAGTCCACCGTGGCAATCTCCTGGTTGGCCGGGTTGGCCGGCGACGTGCCGTGCACGTGGAACTTGAGCAGCGAGAACTGGCCGAGGAGCTCCTCGCCGATGGCGTGCCGCGCCTGTTCCTCCATCCAGCGGCACTTTTCCTCAATGTCCAGCCCGACCAGGTAAAAGTGCCACTCGGCCTGGTAGCCGCCGTGCGCCGTCACACCGCAGCGCGTCGTGGGCGGCGGCGGGTGGCCTGTGATGCCGCTGACGTGCACGAGATCGTCGGCCAGCGGCGCGAGCGCAATGTTGTGCAGGTCCGCCACCACGTCCGAGTTGTAGTAGAGCGGGCCCGCGATCTCGTAGACCAGCTGTGCCGTCACCGTCTCCGTGTTGACCACGCCGTTGGTGTTCTTTTCCTTTGCAATGTCAAACTCGCCGTTGGCGTGCACGTGCGCAATCGGGAAGCCCAGGTTCAGGTGCTTCTGAGCCGCCATCAGCTCCTTGAACCGGCTGTAGTAGCCGCCCGTCACAAATGCTGAGCACTCAATTATGTGGCCCGCGATCAGCGCCCCCGCCAGCTGGTCCAGGTCGCGCGCCGTCCACCCGTGCCACCACGCCGCCACGCCCACCGTCGGCGCCGCGTCCGACACCCGACCGCAGATCACAATGTCGGCGCCCCGCCGCAGCGCCTCGGCAATGCCCAGGCTGCCCAGATACGCCTGCGCGCAGATCGGCTCGTGGCCCCATTCGGCCAGTGTCTTGCCGTCCGTCAGGCTCCGGATCTCGGACGTGGCGTCCGCGGCCATCGCGAGGAACGCCTCCGTCACGTCGTCGCCCTCGACCCACGCCACCTTGAGATCCAGTCCCGCCTTCTGCACCATATCCACCACCACCTCGGCGAGCAGCTCCGTGTCGCTGGCACCGGCGTTGACTGCTAGCTTGGTGCCGTTGCGTGCGAGATCGTGCATCGCCGGCTCGAAGCACTGCAGGAATGTGCTGGCGTACTGCGCCGTCTTCATGCGTTCTTCGAGGGGCAGCTTTTTCTCGTTGGCGTCGTCGTCGTTGCCGAGCCCGTTTGCGCTCCTTTGGCGGGCCTTGCCGGCGCCGTATCCCGTCATGACATTCTCCGAGAGCCAGTCGCCGACCACGGCGTCAACGTCTGGGTCACGGGCCAGCCGGCCAATGGCAGCCACGCGGTCCGTGAAACCGCCCGAGGCGCCGCCGATGCGGACGGGGCGCTTTACTGTTGTTGCCATGTTGTCGAGTTGTTGCATAAGAATGGCAAACGAATATTAGTAACGATACGCAAAAGAGCGTGCCTGATATCCAAAAAAAAAAAAAGCCGATAAGCTCGTAATTGTTTTCCTTTGGTGGTTTGACTTCATCTACTTCATGCCCTTATTTCGTGTCCCATTCTGACAGTACAGGAAAATGTCGAGTCCAAAAAAAAAAAAATAAAAAATAAAAAAAATAAAAAAAAATAAAAGCGGTTGAACAACAACCGTATTAGCCTCTCATGTACTTCATCTTGCCTCGATGCATCATTCTGCTCGTTATCGCTGTCCACACCAGCTAGTGCGCCGTGTCAGCGTGTGGAGGTGTAGTTAATGTTGACAATGAAACGGCGCCAGGGGCCTTCCAAGGCTGCCCACAGACAACGCCTTGGTGTCCACTAACACTAACATGCCACTAAAAAAGTGACGACACGCTTGGAGACTAAAGAAAACTATCGGGAATTTGGAAAGTGCGGGGGCCCAATCTCCAAAAGGGCCATCCCGGCGATTCCCCAGTAGGCCCCAGCGATGAATCAGTTCGAAAGCGGGATCCAGCACGTCGGAGAAACAAGTCCGCCCCGGCAAGGACCTCCTCATCCTGTCCCCTAGATTGTCCGGATACATGAGTCGCTAGAACCGTGCACCCCTCTCCGGCATCCATTCCAAAGCGTTTGCCAAGGACCACGAGCTCTCGCCCATGTGCCGGCAGGAACCGATATTCGGAAAAGGCCACGAGACAGTCACATTCGCGCAAGGTCGCAGAGGGGTTGTCCACTGGCCAAGGACTTGTCCTTGGAGAGTGGCTGACACTCCAAAAACAGACCATGCGGAATTGGCTCTACACGATGAGGACAGTGGCATCGGCGGGGAATATGTGGTTGTGCCGGTCTCGTTCGATGGTTGGAGAATATGTTCGCAGGCGCCCAACTGCGTCCGCCTCATGCCATTGGCTCGTTTTGGCCAAGGGCATCACGGTCGATTAGGTTGCCAATGTCCGGATAGCGGTCCCGGAATGCCTTGCCGACTTCCCAGTTGCGAAGCTGCCGGATGTGCTCCTCGTAGACGGGGTTGATTGTAACGTCCGTGTCCGGCGCCACCGCTTTGAGCAGCACATGTGTCGGGTCGTACGGCCAGCGGATGCTAAAGCTGGTGCTGTAGACAGCAGCGAAATGGTCCAGTGTAATTTCCGGGTGGGAAATCAGGTAGTTGCGCACGGCGGGCCACGGGATGCGGTCGATCCAGGCGGCGTGGGGCGTGGAGATTTGGGTGCGTGTTGGGCGGAGCCAGGCCGGCAAGAGGTCCCAACTCGGTTTGTCCAGCAGCACCAGCCACTTGAGGAGGGAACACATAATGTAGAAGACGGCTACTTGTTTAGGCAGCGTGTCAATCTCAAAGTAGCTGCGCACAATGTCGCCGACAATGTCGCTGATGGCATCGCAGGTGCGCCTGTCCTTTTCGAGCAGGGAGCACAAGTTGGGCTTCAACCCAAAGGCCAGGGCGCCGTTCACCGACCGCTGGTGCACCTTGGACGTGATAAACCCTTGCAGGATCTGGTCGCTGAGGCACGTGGGCGGGCCGTCGGCCGGCGGGATCTCCCATGGCTTCTTGACGACCTCGGGCAGCGCGGCCGTGACCGCCCCTGACTGTCCTGACGCGGACGTCGTGTCGTCCGGTGGCGACACGCAGCTGCCAATAGAGCTTGACGTGCCCGGCGCACCGCCTGCCAATGCCGAGGCTGCAGCAGCTGCGGCAGCCGCATCGTTGGTCAGGTCAACACTCTGCGGTTGTGAGCCCATCAGGCTGAGCTGTAGGGCGGCGTTCTGGGCGCGCAGCTGCGAGTTTTCGGTCTCGAGCATGCGCAGGCGCGAGTTGAGCAGGTGGACATCGCGGGCGCGGTCGCTGAGCATCTGGGTCAAGTAGGCGACCTGCTCGTTGAGGTTAAAGATGGTCCACTTCGTCCGGTCGCGCATCGCCTGCTGAGACTTGCGGTCGCGCGCCCGCTTGCGCTGCAGCTCGATCTCCTTGGCCGACAGTGTCGTGCTGCCGGGTGTCGTGCCCGGCACTTGGCCAGAACTGTCGGCGTTGTTTGTGAGGTTGTTGTTGCTGCTGTTGTTGGTAATTTGTGCGGTAGAAGAGTTGCCGGCCGTGGGCGTATCGAGCACCGAAGAAACAGACGCTGGTGAGGTTGTAGATGCGACGGAGCCGGGAGATGTTGCAGCGACAGACGACACACTGGACGGGACGCCCGCACACATGCCCAAGTTTGGCGGTGATGACGCGGTGCCGGCCATGGGCGGTAGCACAGAGCAGCCCACGAGTGAGGCACCTAGGGTGCCAACAGAGGACGTGGCCATGTTTTACCGGACCCAGTGCCAGGCAGTCTGGACGGCCTGCCTGACTGGGACAAAGGAGGGCGTGGTCAGGGGACAACAGGCCGGTAACCGACGAGTCAGATTGCCCGGGCCGGGTATCTTGGTGTCCTCCTGTGATATGGAGAGCCAACACCCAACCACGTCGCAGACCGAAAGCTGAAATGTTCAACAATGCAATAGCGAGCGGAAGGAGCTGACTTAGGGTGGTCAGCCAAAAAGAAGGATACGGCGAGCAAGCTCGGTTCTTGGATCGCCTCTAATGATTTATTCTTGGACGAAGATGTCAATATGTGGCCATCGACAGTCGTATCAGTCGTAGCAACGTAGTCTGCGTGGTGTTGTGCAGTGAATCAGTAGAGTCGGTCAGAAGTGGAGATGGAGAGGTTTTGGAATGAAGGGGAGGAGAGGGCTGCAAAAGATAGGGGCATATGGATCAATCGAGAAGGAGGTATCGAAGGGAAGGAGCTGAGGGGAAAAGAGATAAAACGAAGCCCATGGCAGTTTCCCAAAATGTTGGACTGAGGTGTTCTTTCCCCAGATTGGTTCGTGCTTCGTCCGTTGGGAAGGCACGATTGAGCTGTGGTTAAGGTGAACCAACAGACTCAAAGCAGTGCTTTTGTTTTCTAGTGTGTTCTGGGGGCGTTCCGGGTTTGGTAGCACTTGCCCCAAGGGGAAGCAGGGTTGCAGGACGGTCTGACCCGTTTGGGGCACAAAAGGCGCTGTCATGTGTGCTGCCTTGGCGCTCGGATGGGCTAAGAGAGAGATGTTGGTTCTAAGCTGCACGTTGGTCTTTGGAACCAACATGTCATGCCAGAATTGTATGCAAGAAGTGCATGCCTTCTCTCATGCATATTCAGGTGTCTGAAACAGGCCAATTGGCTTTAAAAGCTGTGATGAAAGACGTCAACGAGGAAGCGGTGGATGGTGAGCTATGATGAAGCTCTTTTTTTTGTTAACAAAAGACACAGCGGCAATGTTTGAATTCTGAAAACAACATATCAAAATACATTTAGGAATGATTAAAAAAGTATCTTGTACTACTGTCTTTCACTAAATGTTTGTTTCCACTGCTCAATAGTGTCGACCCCAAACCCCAGACTGCAGTGGCTTGTTTTGCGCTTCCCCGGAACCAAATTAGCGCTTTGACAGTGGTAAAAGAGCAAGCTGGAGCGGGGTAGACACCTTCCCAGGCATCGAAATAGTGGGTTTCTGCAGTGCTATATCGGGGTAATGCGGGGAGCATCTGGAAAGTGGTTAGGGGGGGGGGGCATGAGCGGAATCGCCAATTGTACCGACGCCAATGCCAATGCTGGTATGAGTGGTAGAGGGAGCATTCCAGACTGGGGGCCAGCAGTCTGCGTGAATTTAATTACTGAGTTTTGATTGCGAGACGAGGTGCAGTGGACGTCGTGAGGGCATCTCAGATTAGAGCTGAGAAGTTAAGTACAGAAACATGTGCCAAAGTACTTTGAGTAGCATTCATCTACGCAGCATAATGCAAACTACGTTCAAAACGTGGCAAAGGGATGAGGGATGGCATTTCACCCACGTGGAGTCCACATGATAACCAGGCTGCCAGGTTGCAGAAGAGAGCGATCTGCACTGGCGCACCTTAAACCGACAACGGCGTTCGATGAAACCGTGGGGAGATATGGGATATATCGACGGAGTGAAGGTGGACGACGAACTTGTGAACGTAACAGCAAATCTTGAATAGTCAACGCCAGAACTCAGAATGGACGCTGTAAATCCTCGCCTCCTTGCGTTACAAAAATCAAAACCCGCTGTCCCCAAACGAACGAGACATCGCGGGTCAACACATTTGCGGAACGAGATGTACCAAGAAACGAAAAGAATATTTCGTCTCTTTCTTGCTCTAGTATTTTCTCGCTCTTTGGAACCAGTTTCCGTTAACTGACGTTGCTGCTCTTCTCCTCTCGATGCTCCTCGGTAACACCAAACACACCGCGCTACTGATTCGTTTCATGATGAAGAGGCATCTTGCTTTGCTTCACTGCCTTCTGCCGTCTTGGGTTTGCAGAGTATTATTCTATTGGGACTATGTACGGATGCCGTAACACACGGCTAAATCTGCTACTCATGCAAGAAAATAGTAAGAAAACGTAGAGCGTAAAGGACAATGGCAAACATAAAAAAAGACTTTTTTGTACAGTTTTGGGTTTCGGCCTGGCAGAGGACTGGCAACGAAGAGACAGCGAGCTCCCGTCTACAGCCGGCTCGCCTTCCACCGGGGTGCCCGCTTCTCGCTGAAGGCAGCCAGGCCCTCGAGGATGTTCTCGCCCTTTTGCAGCTCGGCAAACTCGCGCTCCAGGGTAATCTCGACGGCGCGCTCGACGGGCGCCGTCTCCCAGCCCTGGCGGATGCCCGCGCGCGAGCAGATGATGGCGTCCGGGCTGTGCTGGGCAATGGCCTCGGCGTAGCGCACGGCCTCGGCGACGACCTGGTCCTTGGGCACGACCTTGTTGACGACGCCCCAGGCCTGCATCTCCTGGGCCGACACGTTGCGGCCCGTCAGGGCCATTTCGGTGGCGCGCTGCAGGCCGACGGTGCGGATCAGGCGCGGCAGGGCGCCGCCAATGGCGGCAATGCCGCGCTTGACCTCGGGCAGGGCAAAGTAGGCGTCGTCAGCGGCGACCACCAGGTCGCAGTTGACAATGAACTCGCAGCCACCGCCCATGGCCAGGCCGTTGACGGCGGCAATGACGGGCTTCTTGCCGAGACGGCGCGACAGCGGCTTGAAGGCCGGGGCGTTGCCCATGCGCTTGCTGGGGTCGGCATCGGGGGCCATGGAGCGGTTCCATTCCTTGAGATCCGCGCCGGCCGAGAAGGCGCGGCCGGTGCCGGTGATGATGGCGACGCTGAGGTTGGGCTCGTCGTCGAACCACGTCCAGACCTCGTTCATTTCGATCTGCCCAATGGTCGGCATGGCGTTGAGGTCGCGCGGGCGGTCCATGCGGACGAGGAGGACGCGGGGCGCTGGGAAGGAGAGTTTGAGGAAGACGGGCGTCGCCGGCGGTGGCGTGGTTGTGGGATAGGACGCCATTGTGAGAGGTGGTGAGGAAGTGAGGAAGTGAGGTCGTTGAGAGAGGAAGATGGCATGCGAGAATGGAAAGAATAAGAGGAGACGAGGTTTCGATCGTGCGGCCGTGGATGCTATGCTGATGCCGATGTCGCGAGCCCGATCTGGGAAGTAAAGAAGTGGAATAACAAGACAAAAAAAAGAAGAAAAAGGCAGATTTGGACAAGCCAACCAGGGAGCGCACAACGCGTGGGTGAGAATGATGTAGAGCAAGGAAGCGCAACCACCACAATTGACGCTCGGCTTGTGACGATGCGATGTGTGGGCGCCGGCGGGTCGGTTATGGTTGTATTGCGCCGTCTGCGGGAAGGAACACAAAACGGCGGACGATGAACAGGTTACCCAGAATAGCAAGGCCTGCAAGACAGAAGGAAAGAACCCCAATCCCCAAGCCCATGGATGGTGAACCGGCAAGACCCACCCACTACTGTAGCTGTTCTCTGACCCCACTGAGTTTCTGGTGGACCGGGTCGCTGCTTTCCTAGAAAGAGCCCCAAGTGACAAGTCCACTGAGAGGCAGGCGCGGAAATCGATACACGCGCTGTGATGAATCATTTCCTCGATTGCTTTCGGGGATTTGGAGAGCATCAACGGACAATCGGTACTTGTCGGTTCGATGGTCGACAGCGAGCGGAAAGGTGCTAACGTCTCGACGGCAGAGGATAGTATGGGCATTGCCCGATGTGGTAAGACTTAGGACTTAGATGCTGTAATTACTATGTACCTGCTACTGGTAAGGATGATATGCTAGGATGCTGAAATGTCATTGAAAGATCATCTCCTGAATATCTTCGTCTTTTCAATCGGACTCTACGGTTCCGACCCTGTTGACAGCTGTCCCCGACACCACTTTGTTGAAGCTGAGTTGGCAACGTGTGATGTGATTTATTGCCGATTTGCAGCGCCCAACAGCTAATTGCCTAATGCGGTAATCGATTCGTTATCGACCATCAGGGACTGAACTGACAAACCATCTTTAACATTGCGACAGGCCGCGTTGTCCGCATGCCACTGGTTATTTGGTTCTGCGTATTGTAATGCTGTTTCTTGAAATAATTTTATTTTGCTTCTTGTCCAACGCAATACGCTGCATTCACATGGTCCTATCTAGTCGTAACAGTACTATGTACATGGTTTTGGCCTCTTCTTCTGCCAGCTCGTCTTCGCTTACAGCCGGCTCTTCTCCTGCTTGATCTTGGCGTAGCCGTTGGACAGGGCCACGCGGCCGTCCTCGACAACGACCGTCTCAAAGGCAATGTTGTCGTAGCCGCCCTCGCTGCCCACCACCCACATGCGCGTCTCCAGCTGGTCGCCCGGGTAGACGACGCTCTTGAAGCGGGCGCCAAACGACTTGAAGCGCGCCGGGTCCGAGTTGCCGAGCGCGCGCAGCACGCCGTGCGCGGCAATGTTCCACGTGCCGAGGCCCTGCATGATGGCGCCCTTGAAGCCGCCGCCGCGGCCAAACGCGTCGTCGGCGTGCAGCGGGTTGTAGTCGCCGCAGAGGCGGTAGAGCAAGGCCGTCTCCTTGGTGGTCTGGAAGCGCGCGACGGCGTCGGGCCCGCGGTCCTGGGGCATGGTGACGGGGACCTTGGCCGGGCCGCGGGGGCCGCCGTAGCCGCCCTGCTGGATGCCAAAGGCCATGGACGTCATTTTGACGTACACGGTCCCCGTCTTGGCGTCGAGCAGCGTGTACTCGTTGTCGGCAATCATGTTGCCGCCCTTGTCGTAGACGCCGAGGACCGTTTGGTGGATCTCGAGGTCGAGGCCGTCGGAGCTCACGGGCAGCGGGCGCACAATCTCGATGCCGCGCTCGCCGTCGACCGAGTTCTGGACGTCAAAGGGCGGCACGCCGGGGACGTCCGCGGAGATCATCTTCTTGACAAAGTCAAAGACGTCCTGGTCGGTCTGCTTGAAGCCCAGGTTGATCGGGAACGTCGGGAACGCGGCGAACTTGGGGTGCAGCTCGTACAAAAAGTGCAGCTCGTCGGCCTGGACGCCAATGGCGTTGGCAAAGAGCAGGACATCGCGACGGTTGTAGCTGCACTTGATGACCGGGTACTTGTAGCCAACCGCCTTGCGGAAGTCGACGTTGTCGTAGCGCCCGGAGGCGTTCTTGACGGGCTTGTCAGACATTGTGAGGGTGGACAGGCTGTGGAGGTGAGAGAAAGGGAAGAGGAAGAGGACTATACAATAATGTTCAGAACAACATCGTCGATGTCGCTGAAGGCCACTGCAACGCTACCTCGCTCCAGCGACAGGGGCTAACAGACCGGAACTAAGGCCTGGCGTCTGGCAAGGCCAGGCCCACCGCCCATGGCAATGACCGAGGCAGTTGCCACTGAGAAATGGTTTTGGGTCCTTCAGGGGTTCATTACAGGTCTTCAAAACGCACTAACAGTCTTTCAACCATAGGCGAAACGGTTACAGTCACGATATTAAACTACTGATTATTTACACATTTCATTCGATCTTGTCTACCATCTCCTCCTCACGTTTTACCTTCTGGAGCATATGTCCTCCCCACCGCACTGTACGCCGCCGTCCGCAGTGCGTCTTCGGCCGCCACCAGCTCAACCGGTAGGGCCACGTGACGCGACCGCATAAATATGCCGACGCTCTTGCCGAAGCCGCCGACAATGCAGTTGCTCACGCCGTCCTATAGCAAGCTGCGCACCAAAATGTGCACGGCCCGCAGCTTGGGGAACTCACAGCGTTCAATCTCGTACTCGGGCCGCCAGTCGTCGCCCAGCAGCGCCTGCGCACGCCCGCTCGTCAAGAACGCCTGAAACCACGGGTAGCCGGCGTCGTCGCGCACCCAGGCGCGAATGTTGGCGTTGCCTCCCTTGTCACCTGACCGAGCAGAGACGAGGTCGCCAAAGGGGCGGATGACCGTGCCCTTGTAGTCCGGCATGGTGACTGTCGGCCCGTAATTGGGCTGCACGGCAGCCTTGTCGGCGCACAGAGCGGCATCCCTCGCGGGCGCGTCCATGAGGTGGCCACGCCAGCAAAGTTGCCGCCCGTCGACATGGGCCCATCGCGGGGCTCGCATCCGTGCACCGGCCGCACACCACAATGTCCGCGCCCGCCAGCGCCGCCACCAAGCCTGCCTGGCCCTTGTACGCATTGGCCGTCAGCATTTTGGCGATGGCTTTGGAGCGAAGCGAGACGCCAGGGGGAGGTGCTAAATGTCGACACCCAGCTGGCCCGTGGGCACTTGCTGAGTGACGTTGTCCCCCGTCACCCACGCAATCCGCACCGACGTGATGCCCGGGCTGCGGAAGTATGTGTCCGCCGCCTCGGCCAGGGCCTGCGGGTGGAGTGCGCCGCCGTCGCCGATGGCGCCGGAGCAGTTGACAATACGAATGGCGCGTTTCATTCTGGGCTATGTGTACAGGACGAGATGCCGCATATCCGTAGAGTGTACGGATGTAGAGCTACGTTTCCTGGATCGTTTATATCAACCTCCAGATGGCCTTGTCCCGGCATTCACGGGCGCCCCCGTGCCGGCGACCGGGCTCTGCAAGGGCCACCTGACTCGGTAGGAGTGTCATGGGATTTGCGTTTGGGTTCTATTCGAGGACGAGCGAGGCCGGCCTGCCACACCGGATTTGCATCACCGGATTGCATCACCGGATTGCATCACCGGCGGGGAGGAGGACGTTACTGAGCAATGATTTGTACGCCCAAAGAGGAAACTGTTAGAACAGGAAAACACCCTTGGGTAGCATGGTCTGCATGGTCTTCAAGGACTGACAGGGAGGCCACGGGTCTGCCACGGGGACGGTGCGCACAGGGCACGTCTACACCACTGGCAACTGCCATAGCTGTCCCCAAGATCGCTGCCAATGAGCCCCAGTGCCGAGGATCTGGATATGGATATGGAAATGCACTGACCAAATTGTCCTCTAACAAACCAATTGAATCACTGCTCCCACTGATACAAATACAACGAACACGCACGGTTGAAGCTTCTTGGCCATCGACCTAGCCGCAATTCGCCGGTACTTGATTATTTATGAGCCGGTTTCTGGGGACCCTTTTCCGGGCCAAGTCAACAAAGCCAAGGCTAGACTTGCCGTCCGTAAAGAGGCGGCATGGAAAAGCGCCAATGAAGCATCAAGCCACCGAAATGCAAGGGCGGGAAGACAGCGCAAATGGATGCGGAGACGACGGCGATTTGGGGACCGTAAATGGTATCCAGAACGGCGCCCAGGACGGGCTCTTTCCCCAAACTGAATCATCGCGCAGGAAAAGGCTCATCCGCCCCTCCCTCACACTACAGACAGGGCTGCCTGCCGCGCTAAGCACTAGCTCTTCCTTGGATTTTTATTTCTGCTGTTGCTGTCCACAAATGCTCCCTGGCAGCTTCCCTCTCCCCATTTTCGCTGTCTCCTCTTTACGGAAGGAGGCCCTTGCTTTCTTCGCTCTGTTACCCACTGCGGAGAACGATACGACATCACTATTGCTGCATCTGTCTTACGGAATTCGCTGGAATTGATTTAGTGCGTGGCAGCGTGGGTGAGACGGAGAGAGACGGCGGAGGTAAGGACCTCGCCTGCTCGCAAGACGTGCTGCAGCAACGTGAACGAGCCTTTGCGAGATGCCTGCCCACAAAAGATAGACTCCGGGTGGCGTCTCTCCACCCGCCGCTCCTGCCCCCTCAGAGTAGTGCGACTGCCCGTCGATGCCGGCCGCAACTTCCCTCGCGCCTCTCCACCCTCTTTTTCCCCCCCGTCGCCTTCCACCGTCGATGCTAACCACCCACTCGCGCCTGCCTTCACAATACATCGTAGCCCCCCTCTGCGCATGCTGCTCGGAAACGGGCAAGTCTTGCGCACAGTCGCAGCCACTGCCCAGCCGGCGGCCACGCCTTCCCCCGTCTTTTCCTTCTTTTTAGCTTCCCGTCGTTCGAGCCTTCCCATAGCGCCATCTGGGTGGGCATCACGTTTGAGAAAGAACTTGGCCCTTTTCACTTGACCCTTTGTCTCCATTTTGTGGAATCTCTCCTCCTCTTGGCTTTCTCATCACCGTCCAACTCTCTTTGTGTACATCCACCACGCGTATCTTGTTTCCGCTCATCGCATACTCCAAAGACCCTGCTCATACTCCGTATCTACCGACCCACGGAGCGTATCGTCGTCAGCGCCCCGACTAGACCGGGTTTACGAGGATCTCAGCCCCCCGGTTCGCTCTTGTTTTTTATTTTTAATTTAATTACTACTCTCGCACAATTGGGGTCCAGCACGCCGTCGCTTGGGTCGTGTCATTGTGTTGCCTCGATCAGAAACTGGTGCGTAGCGTGCTTATGTGGGTTTACCAGAGGCGACCCTGGCCTTGCCGAGCTTGCCTTTGACCTGTCGACTTTTTTCGATACTATTTTTTGCTGGGCATTTCTCCTCCTTATGTGACATCTCCAACAAATCGAGACGAGAGACTTGGGACGAATTCGGATTGCAGCTCGCCATCGGGCCAGACTTTTAGTAAGTTCCCCGTTGCACTCACGTTCGCGTTTTTGGGACACCTTTTCTCCATCTTCCTGGAGATCGTCTTTACATCTTTTGGCCCTTCTTCTCGAACTTATTTTCCCAGTTTTGGAGCGTGCGTGTCGGATGATCACGTCGAGAGAAGTCGGATCACCGTCTTGTTTTTGAGCGACGGAAAGTGCAGCTTTATTTTTGCCTCTTATCTCGGTTGTTGGCATCGTCGATTTTTGCTTGATTCTTTTTTGTTCTCTTGTGCTATTGTCATCTCCTTGCACCAGCCTCCTATCGCCAAAATGCGCATCTACTCCTCCGGGACGATCGACGTCCCTTACGATGTCAACCTCACAGAGCTCCTCCACACAACCGGGCGGCCGCTGCCCGAGTCACATCTGATCGCCGCCGACAACCTGACAAACCGCAGCATATCCCTCGGCGAGCTGCGTGACCGGGCCGGCCGTCTCGCGCGGGGTCTGCACGACAACCTCGTCCCCGAGGATCAGGCCCGGTGGGCCATTATCCTGCCCAACAGCGTCGACTTCCTCGAGCTCTTCCACGCCATTCTGTGGACCGGCGGTATCGTGGCCCCCATCAACTGGGCTCTGAAGGACACCGAGATCGGCCACGGCCTCGCCGTCAGCCGCCCGACCTACATTGTCGCCTACGGCGCCATCCTCGACACCGTCAACCGGGCCATCCGGATCGCCGAGCGCGCGCTTGAGGACGCCGGCACACCTTGGGCCACGCGGCCCATTGTGCTGACCGCCGTCACGCCCCGGCCCGGTCTGATGCACCTGGACCGCGATTTCCTGGCGCCGGTCGGCCACCGCCTGCCCATCCCGCACCACAAGGACACGTCGTCGCGCGTGGCCACGATCCACCTGTCATCCGGCACCACGGGCAAGCCCAAGGGCGTCGAGCTGACCCACCGCAACTACGTGGCCAACGTGCTGCAGCTGTTCAAGCACGACCCGGAGCAGTTCCACTCAGGCGTGCGCACGGTGGCCATCACGCCGTGGGCACACATTGGCATGACCACGATGCCGCTCTTCAACGCGCCCTACATGGGCCTTTTCCACCACGCCATGCCCCAGTACGACTTTGACAAATTTGCCGCCATTGTCGACTCGTGCAAGGCCACCACCTTCCAGGGCCCGCCCAGTATCGTGCTGCAGCTGGCGCGCGCCGACATCTACGACCGCTACGACTTTTCGCACGCCGAGACCATGACGGTGGGCGGCGCCAACTTCAAGCCGGACGTGCTGGAGCCGCTGCTCAAGAAGGCCCCCTGGAAGCTCGTGCAGGTCTACGGCATGACCGAGGCCGCGGGCTACGTGGCCTTCCAGAAACTCAAGGAGGAAGTGCCCGAGGGCGTCGTGGGTTACATGCTGCCCGGCATTGAGGCCTGCCTCAAGAAGCCGGGCACCGACGAGGACGTGCCCGAGGGCGGTGCCGGCGAGCTGTGGCTGCGCGGACCCAACATTACGCGCGGCTACCTGTTCAACTCGGACGCCACGCGCTCGGCGTTCCCGGCTCCCGGCTGGTACAACACGGGCGATGTGTGCAAGATTGACACGCTGGGCCGCATCAGCATTGTCGGCCGCACCAAGGAGCTCATCAAGTACAAGGGCTTCCAGGTGTCGCCGGCCGAGCTCGAGACGTACATCAACTCGCACCCGGCCGTGTCCGAGGGCGGCGTGGCGGCGACGTGGGACGAGAGCCAGCTGACGGAGCTGCCCACGGCGTGGGTGGTGCTGACCGACGAGGCGGCGCGGACGCCGGTCACGGCCAAAGCAGCGCTCAAGGACATCCACGCCAGCATCGACAGCCAGGTCAGCGGCTACAAGAAGCTGCGGGGCGGCGTGTGGCAGATTGCAGCGCTGCCCAAGAACCCGACGGGCAAGATCCTGCGCAAGCAGATGGAGCAGATGCGCGACGGGCCATGCTCGCTGGACAAGCCGATTTCGAAGCTGTAGCTTGTTTGTCTGTGGTGGCGCCTCCTTGATCATTAATACGAAATTCAGCGTCTTGGATACCTCTGTACATAGTAGTAGATTGCTAGCATTCTTTTCGTATTTTGTCCTATTTCCTTTCTTTCACGTCCCTCTGATAATGAAACATGTCCTCTGCATCTCGTCGTTCAAATTGAAAAGCCTTTCGTTGTCATGCAAGAGAAAACCTCTCTCAACGTATCTTGGCGCTTGTGCGTGTTGGACGCCATGGGCACCCCACAAATTCTCCAATTCTCCGCTCAAAGAGACAAGCTGTGCCTGAACATGATCAAGCGCAGGCTGTGCGAGGTGTGGTGTCCGGCAAAACATCCCCGAATCCACAGACTGGGTGGAGTTTGACGTGGTCTACCCCAGACGACGCCCCTCCTCTCGTCTCCCCTCTGGTTGTGTTTGTCCTCTCCCATCTCTGAGAAGGCCGTATAAGACTGTCCTTGTCCCCTGGAGGGATTGAATCCCTTTCTCTGGTTTCTTTTTGGCCCTATGGTCCTTGTTCGCATGCGTCACAGAACAACTTCTACACTTACAATCATTTGCCGTCATCATGACGAAGCTTGTGTTTGCCATCCTGCCCACTGTTGGCGGCAAGGTTCGCGATGAGGTACGTTGTCTCGTCTTCCATATCTACGTAATCTTTTTTTGTTACAGCCCACTCACCGCCCCAGTACATTGCCAAGTTGGCCGCCACGTCGGCCTACGCCAAGGCCCACGAGCCCGGCGTCCTCACGTACGCCGTCTGCCTGCCCCGCGACGAGGCCGACCAAAAGACCATTTACATGATCGAGGCCTACGCCGACCAGGCCGCCTTGGACGCCCACATGCAGATCGACCTCGTCAAGGACATGATTGCGTGGATGGGCGGGCCCGCGCCGGTGCTGGAGGGCGCCCCCACCGTCCTCGTGATCGACGTGCTCGACAAGGTCGACCACGTCGACGGCGACGCTGGCAAGTTTGGCCTCTTTGCGCGGCCCGCGGGCGTGGCGGCCGCCGCCGACCCGTACATTGTTGTCGGCGCGCTCGCGTACAAGGACGCCGCGCTGGCCGACAAGTCGCTGGCGTACTGGGCCGACGTGGTGGCGACGACCAAGGCGGACGAGCCGGGCTCCCTGGTGTACGCGCTGGCGCGCAGCGCGGCGGAGCCGGCCAAGCTGTATACGTTGGAGGCGTACGAGAACGAGGCATACTTGTGGGAGACGCACGCCAAGAGCGCGGCGGTGCAGAAGAATGTGGCCGACACCAAGGACTGGCGGGCCGGGCTGACGCACTACTTTCTGAAGCAGGTGCATGGCTTCCTGGCGCGGTCCTAGACGTCGGCGTTGCGCTGGCATCGTCGTACCGCCTTGTCGACCCTGATTTGTTGACTAAACTTTTGTACATAGAGCATGAACCAAAAGAACTTGCTGCCCTTATCGTCTTGGTTGGTGTTTCGTACACGACGCACAAAGCACCATGACTGGCAATAAGCGAGTCAAGACAAGGACTGAATCATTTGACGCTAGGATAATGATTCACCGGTGTTTGGGATTAGCACTGATACAGTTGTGGCAGGCGTTGTGCAGATGTTGGTGTCAAGCAATTGGAGACTTGCGGGTCTCCTAGTCAATAAACGGCAGCTTCCAGTTGTGTTGTCGTCAGCCAAGGGCTGCGGCTGATGGACGAAACAAAATAATGGGAGTATTAATGTTAATAAAAACAAACGAGGTCGGCTGACGGGACATGCCGAATCCAATACCCAGCCGTGTCTAGACGAGGCTGTTGTCGCCAGGCTCGCGCGGCTCAGAAGGTCATGATCGGCGGATTTCTGGCTTGGATTGGTCCGCCGTGGGTCTTGAATATGACGTTGGATATTGGTTCGGTTCGTCATTGTGCCGTTATCGTCACGTCGCCGGTGCATGGCTGCCTCGTGGCTTGCGGGTCAGGGCAGGAATTGGATGGTTCGCATAATTGCGTAAGACGTATGTCGTACACATAAATACGAAATACTGGCTGTAACCTTCCTCCGGTCACTGAAACGGAAATGATGGTCGATTTGGTGTTTGGGAGAAGAAACCAGAATTCCGAAAAAAAGACGTAAATAAATTAATAAAAGTAACAAAACAAAAATGAAAAGGGAAAAAGAGACACGATGCGAAATGGAAATCGTTTGCAGCGCCCTTACAATCCGACGCGTCTCATAAGTGGAAAATTAGCTGGACTGCAGAACACTGGATGTTGTCTTGAAAAGTGCCGTTGCAAAACGCGCAGAATGACACGGCAAATTCTCCACCCTTCCTGCCGGCACCGGCCGACGTCATTTAGCGGGGAAGGCCAACCAGCGCGGCAACTGAACAATTACCCGACGCGGCAATCGCGAATTTGCCCTTTTCGGACCGCCACCGCCAGTTCAAAGGCCGATGACAACAAGTACGGAAGGAGCAAAGGCCTCACAGGCGCATCACAAGGAAGACACATACGACGTGCTCACAGCAGCGCCGAATTTAGGAAGAAACAACCCAGACGATGCCGGCGGTGCCGAAGGCCGACCTATTTGTATCTTGTAGAATGATAACTAATCAGTTTACTAGCAAGCCGTCGGACCAAAGCAGTAAATGTCACTCCGGGCAGTAATTGCCCAAATCAACGACAACCCAAGTACGACTTACAGTGGCTCGACTCGTGCCTTCCTCGACGCGAGATAGAGAGCTCCTCGCGGAAAGAGCCCAGAACGGGAAAGAACTAGGGCCAAACACGCCAACTGGACCACTGGACCACCGGCCAATTGCACCTGCCCCGCCTTTCGCGACTGCCTCTCAGCGGCGATTGTCCGGCATCGCTCGATTGGCTCCGATTCGAAAGAGTTGGAAGGAGTCTCCTTCAAATAACGACACCATCCAAGTTCCTCATCTGTTTCTCTCTCGTTATTTTTTGTTTCTCGCTGTTTTATTACACAACGTTCCCCATTCCCATGCTTCTGGCTCGCCTTGTCCCCCGGATTTCGAACATTTTCCGTGCATTCCCTTCCGCCCCGGCCATTTCTTCGGCGACGTTCTACCGACCCCTTTTCAGTCCAGTCCTCACTCCCGCAGCAATACGAACAATTCCAGGAGCGAGAGCGTTCTCTTCTACAGCCATTGTCGCCGCCATGAAGCTCCTCTACCCCACCTCCCTCAAGCTCGACGTGCAGAGCCTCGAGGGCTTCTCCGTCAAGCTGTACCCCTACGACGTCACCAAGCCGTTCCCCGACGAGCATGTCGACGCCGAGATTCTCGTGACGTGGACCAACACGGCCGCCAACTTGAAGGACGGTGCCCAGCGCCTGACCAAGCTGCGCTGGATCCAGTCGCTGGCCGCCGGCCCCAACGACGTGCTCAACGCCGGCTTTGATGCTTCCAAGATTCCCGTGACGACCGGGTCGGGCCTGCACGACCACACCGTCGCCGAGCACACGCTGGGCCTGCTGCTGGTGGCGGCGCGCCGTTTCGACGAGATGCGCGACTACCAGCTGCAGGGCAAGTGGCCGGGCCACCTGGGCGGCGCGCAGCCCGACCGCCCGGCCGGCAAGTTCACGACGCTGCGCGACGCCAACGTTGTTGTGTGGGGCTTTGGCAACATTGCCAAGCGGCTGACGCCGCTGCTGGTGGCGCTGGGTGCGCACGTCAAGGGCGTGGCGCGCTCGGCGGGCGTGCGCGACGGCATCGAGGTCGTCGGCGAGGACCAGCTGCCGGCGGTGCTCCCCACGACGGACGCGCTCGTGATGATCCTGCCCGGCAGCGACTCGACGCGCAACGCGCTGAGCGCCGAGCGCATCAAGCTGCTGCCCGCGCACGCGTGGGTTGTCAACGTGGGCCGCGGCACGAGCGTCGACGAGGCGGCACTGGCAAAGGCGCTCAACGAGGGCCGGCTGGGCGGTGCGGCGCTGGACGTGTTTGAGACGGAGCCATTGCCGGAGGCGAGCGAGCTGTGGAAGGCCAAGAACCTGGTGGTGTCGCCGCACGCGGCGGGCGGCCGGCCGCAGGGCGCAGAGGCGCTGATTGCCGACAACCTGCGACGGTTCCGGGCCGGGCAGCCGCTGAAGAATGTGATATAGACGGTGGACGGCGTGAGTATATAGACAAAGGAGAAGATGATAAAGATAAAATGATAAGTGACAAAACATATACATTACGATTGATACATTACAGACTACATGGCATGCATTAGCGATGGTGGAGTTAAACACTCCCACTACGTCAGGACAGCCAACAGCATGCCCGCGACGGCAAGCGACCACAACGCCCAAGCCCCCTGTGACTTGCTCTTCGACGTGCCCGCCGACGCCGACGCTGACGTTGACGTGGACGCCGATGTGGTCCCAGACACAAAGCACCCTGTCGCCGTACCCGCAGGCACTGTGCTCAGCACCTGCAGCGGCACCGACGCCGACGACGCGGACGCCGCCACCACGAGCCAGTCCGACGGGATGGCCACGACACCGTCCACCCCCTCGATCCCCGCGCACGCATTCGCACAGGCGGCCGTGCTCGCACTCTCGCTCGTCAGGTTGGTCGACTCGCCAAACAGCCGCGAAAAGCAGTTGTCGACGCACGACAGGCTGCCGCACGGCACGTACGCACCCGGAGCGAACACGGTCGAGAACAGCTGGCTGCGGCCGGTGGCGTTGGCCAGGACGAACGCGGGCGACAACGGCGCCGACGACGCGCCGCCAAAGACCGACCCGTCGGCCTGCAGCACCTGCATGCGCAGGGCGAAGCGACGGCCCGAGCCGTCCACCGACGGCGGCACCGTAAACGGCACGTGCACGTCGGCAAACTGGATGCGGTCGCTGTACACGGTGATGCCGGGGATGTCGCAGAGGGGTCTATTTTGTGTGAGATAGCCTAAGAAGTCATTGTCAGTATGCGAAACAGCAGAGACGTGTCACGGGTACGGGGCATGCTCTCGACCCTGTTACGTACACTCGGACGTCGCGTTCGACACGGACGTAGTGTCGCGGCCGACGACGGCCAGAAACACTTCCAGGGCGCGCACGGCGCTGGTGTCGCTGTTTCCGGAACCACGCAGAGTGCCGGCTGCAATGGTGGCCGTGCTGGGCACGCCGGCCGTGACGGTCGCGGGGACGGCAAAGAAGGCGGATGTGGACGCGGGGGCGGACGAAGAGGCAGACAAGGAGGCCGAGAAAACGGATACAGGCACGGCGTCAACCATGACTGCGGAGGCCCACCAGTCGGGCCAATACAAATATGGACCGTCGTGAAGCAAAGGAGGCGAGTGTGAAGTCGACCGTGTTCAATTGTGCGCGTTGGGCGATTTGATCACAAACAAGAAATGTTGACATACAGAACCGCGTCGCCAGCAGCACGATGTGCAGTGCGTCCCGCGCCTAATTTCCCGTCGAGTCAGGTCACATCGTCCGCTTGTAACTGCATCGACCCCAAGACTGCGCAGAGCTGTGATGACCCCCGGTACAGACGGCATCTCACTGCTCGCCAGTGACAGTAGTCCCCACCTTTCAGTGAGCGTCAATTGTGACCAAAACTGCAGCACCAGTAGTCGTCATCACAGTCGTTGAAAACAAGAGACGTTGGTTGAAGAGTTTGGCAGTCACGATGTTCATTTTGCGAGAAGTAGGAGTAAGCAACTCGTTCTTTTGGAGACCGCTTATCTTTTTTCCTCTTTCTTTTTTTTTTTTTTCGTTGCACTCTTTTGTGATTATAAAGATTTTAATTGGGAAGTGTTTTTTTTTGCCAAGCGTTGTAATTTATTTGTTTTATTACGTCTAAACACTGTTATTTACGAATCGTATATTTCTTTTGCCATAAATGTGCACAAAATCCACGTTAACCTCGACTATTCCAAGCATCAAATACAACTTCAAGGCACAACAGTTCTGGGGCATCTCGAAATAGCACATTGTGAGGCGAGCCTATGCAGGTACTCAGCTTCCTCTGTTGAAACAATTTCTTGAATAATTATCCAAGGATTTATCTTAAGACAGCCTAGCAAGTCAAGGTTTTGGCGACCGATAAAAACTACTGGTACTACCAACATTGTGAAACTAGTATGACGAAGGGTTCCCTTTTCAAGGTCAACACTGCACGCTCGAACGGTGGAACGGTTTATGCCCTCAGAAACGCATAAATCATGTCTCCTCGCGGTGCAACTGCACTTCCACGAATAGCAATGACTGACGCGAAAGGTCCACCAAAGGTGTCTAAACTTGGCAAAACTTGACCTCGCTACCGATACCCTTTGGAGAGCGCTCTGACTGGCAGGGGAGAGACGGGCTGATAGAAGCTGGTACCTGATAGTCCCCATAGACGCAACCTCTTTACTTGGAGCAGAGACACGGCATTTGTTGACTGGCGATGCTTGAAATACTTGGCAGGTTTGATTTTACTATGGGGAAGCTTGCAGGCCGGGAACTTGTATTGTTGACGAATATTGGCGCGTGAAGAACAACTTGATGTGCTCGGCCGTTGTACAAAGTATGAGGGAGACGTGTGACGGAGTATTCAAAGGTAACAACGTGAAGGGACGATGAACGATACTGGAGAACAGCGCCCAAATACCCAACAATCAGCAGAAAAATGAATAATAAACAATAATAATAAACAACAATCGACAGCAAAGCCAGCAAAACCGAATGCACGTCGATGAACCTCATTTTGCAATTTCATGTCGCTTTACTGCATAGTACTCTCTTTTCCCTTCATCATATTGTCTTTTTGCTGGCAGCTGTTTGTCGCCGAGCGAGGTGGCCGCCTTACAGACAGGGGTCAGGTCCTGGCCTGGGGATCGTCTTGAGGGTTTCAAGCCGTTTCAGAGCCTCAACAGGACCCCGAAGCCCACACTGCAACCAGGAAAATGGCGTTTCCGACTCCTTTCGCACCTTTCTCGGGTCCGTCGTTGTCTTTAGTCCCCTGTCGATCTGCTTCAATGCCTCTTTTTTTTATGTATTTATGTATTTAGCGCATTCGCATTGGCAGTCGATCAAACAACATTCAACCAAAGTCGTGTCTGCGCCGCCTCTGGCACCCACGACGCGCTGGCTCCAGTACGACGTCAAATCAGGATGCAACGAGACAGAAGGCGGTCTTCTTTGGGTGCTTGCGATTGGTGTAGCCAACTTTTCTCTGCACTTTCGTGCCCAGTTGGCATTTTCTCAAACTGTCGACGACGCAGGGAAAAGGGGAGTTATAGCATCTGAAATTCATAAAGATATAACAGAAGAGCAAAGAATTGCAATTGGGATAGAAAAGGGAAAATTGGGACAATAACGAGAGAAAGAAACGAAAGTCGAAAAGTAAGAGCTCGTACTGAGCAGAAATAGTGAAGGAAAGGAAACATATGTACTTCGTTCGTAGGCAAATGCACGTTTACCGACAGGCTTACCAACAGACTCAAATGCTACCGACGCTGTAACAAACCACCGCCTACACAAACCCTGTCGTCATCGTCACTGATGCATCGTAATCGAATACTGTTCGTAGTCAAGTTTTGAACCTGTCAGCCAACCTGCCCAAAATAGCCAGGTGAGGCAGCCGCCTGCACATTTCTGTACATCTCCTGGCCTCCTGGCCTCCTCGCCTCCCCTCCTGGCCTCCTGGTCATGGTCGGCCTCCACCCCAGAGCCGTGGAAAGCACCTGGCCGAACCCTGAGCGACCCTGGTCCGTTTCGAGGAGAACCGAGACGACTTTTTCTGTAGATGCCCTGTTTTTGAGTGTCTGTGTACTCCGTAGTGTCGTCTATGCACGTTTGTGGTATGCAGGTTGTTTGTGTGCACACTTTATTGAAATAGGCGGTGCTCGCAGTCTCGACACTCTGCACATCTCGTCTCGTCTCTTCTCCCCTCCCCCGTTCTCCCTCTCTCCCTCCTTTCTTTCTCATCTTTTGATCATTTACCCGACTATCGACATGATACGAACCGTCTAAACAGCTGTTTTTTGAAAACAGGTTGCCGGTCAACATCTTCTCTTCTTCTTGTCCACTCTTCCCTTCTCATCATCTCTGGTAGACTTTTTTCATACGCCTTTTGACCTTCAACTGTTTTCTTTTAATTCTATTTTTCGCTTTTCTTTTTTCTGTTACTTCATTTTTTACTCTCGTTGCTCACCTCTCCGCTTATTCGTTGCTGTCTTCTTTCGTTACTCGTTTTTACATGTCCTCTCATAATGTATGTTTTACGTGATCTCCTCGGCGGCGTGGCGGGCACGCTCGGCGACTTGGGTGCCGGCGCCGGCGCTCTCGTCTCGGGCCTCTTGCCTGGCGATTCAACTGCACCGACGAGTTCAGCAGCGGCTGCTGAGGCTTCTGTGGCTGCAACGACGACCAGCGCTGTAACGGCAGCGCCAACCGAAACCGAAGCCGCTACGACAACTGCTGCGGCAGCGACGACAACGGCCGAGCAAAAAACAACGGCGACCGCACGGGCCCCGGCGACGACTGCTGCATCGGGCGCTTCAGGTACTGACTCTGGGGTCACGGGCAACTCAGCCAGCGGCGGTGACGATACGTCCGACACCGGCAACAGCAACAACGGCAGCGGCTCCAAGGATAACAACAATGGAAAGGGCGACGGTAACAATACCAACAACAACAACAGCGGCAACGCTAACGCCAACGGCAACGGAAACGGCAATGACAACGGTAATGCCAACAACAACGGCAACGTCAGTAACAACAACAATGATACCGCCAAAGGCGGCGCGGCCGCGACGACGTCGACTACTAGCACCGCTGCTGCTCCGACTGCCGCGGCAACAACGTCCACGTCCGACACGGCTGCCCTGCCGACTACCAACGGCGGCGCCATTGTTGTGACGCCGACGACAAGGTAGGCCAGGCCTTGACCGCCTCTCTGCGCAAAGTAGAAGTACATGTGCCTCTTGCTGACAACCATAGCCCTTCGGCCACGCCCACGTCGACGACGACCTCCTTCATTACGAGCAACGCCGTCGTCACCGTGTCTGTCGCGCCTTCGAGCAACGCAGGCACCACCACTCTGGTCGTCGACACGACGACGACGACGCCGACCCTGTCCGGGACCGCCGAGACCGCCGCGACCCAGTTCCCCATGTCGGCCATCGCCGCCACGTCCACCCCGACACTGGGCCTCGCGTCCGACAGCACGTCCTCGGGCGGCGGCATGAGCAAGCCCGCCATGGCCCTGGCCATTACGGCGCCCATTGTCGGCGTGGCGCTGGCCGGCCTGGGCATTATGATGTTCCGGCGGCGTGTGTCGCGGCGGCGCAACCGGGACTCGATGCCGTACGACGAGGAGTTTGAGAGTCTCAAGAAGAAGCACGAGGAGAAGTTTGACGTGGGACACAACTATTAAGGAAGTCGAACAGTAAGAAAATGCGAAGCATTTTTGTACCGTCTCTGTCATTCCTTTTCTTCCATTTGTCTTCCTTCGCCCCTCACCTCCTCACGAATTTATTTGATTTCTCCAATCTGCTAGCGGTTGAATTTGTGCCTTTTTGGTTTATTTTCTTTTGTCATTTTTCTAATTTGTTTTGGACGAAAAAGATGGATATACAAATACATCAGAGCCCCCATAGTCATGCTTCTCCTTCATCAAATACACTGTCTCCTAACGGGAGGAGCCATATTGCATCTGCACATACCCAGCGAAATAACGAAATCAACTCGTATCGTTAAATACTGTGACTATGACGAGGCATGAGCACGGTTGGATCCGCTGTAGAAGCTGACAATCGTACAGTGGGTCGACAAAAGTGACGCGCCTAAACCAAAACGTATTTTGTGATAAAACTGCCTTTGGCTGCACATTACATCCATATAGTATAAAGAAAAACTCTAAGAAAAGCCTCACTATAATATCCTTTAATTTGTGATTCTATTGATGTTGTTTTCAATAGATTTCAATATTAAACTGTTACGTGGTGGGAAAAGTAAAACTATGTGTTATTTTTAACTCTGTGTTATTTTTAACACATTTTCTCGAGTTACTTCACTAAAAGTGAAATTTAAAAATAGTTAAAAAAATAATTTAAAGAGTACATATTTATTTTCAGCCATTTCTTTAATTATAAAAAAGACTACTTGTCGATTGGACCTTTGGGTAAAAATTGAGAGTTCATACAAAAGTGTGCAAAAGTGCGATTTTTGGTGTGATTTTGGAATGGTTGCGTCAGTTTTGTCGAGTCACTGTAGCCATTCTTAACCTGACCTCTCATCGTAACTTTCAGAGCGTATGTTACGCAACCCACGACGCTTTGGCCGCTTTCTCACCGGCAAAAACTCCTGTCGATCCCTCGGACGGGCAGTTGCATTGTGGTACTTTTGCAAAAGGTCACTGGTGGCAGACGGCAGATGCAAAGGATTCCCACGAGATAACACAGCCATCGGTCGATCGCCGTCTGAAATAAATTCCATGTGGCATCTTTTGTCGACTGTTTCCCGTCTGTGGCGCAAGAGTACTTACTTCAGAAATCACCCCATTCACTCCATTCACCCATTCACCCCACAAAACGGCGGCGGCCCGGTTCTGTTAAATGTACAACACTACAACATAATGTGCCGTAAAATAACGCGGGTTAATGCGTCTGAGCTCTGCCGTCTTTTCTTTTCTTTGTCCCGCGTCTGCACGGCCAATTTATCTCTCCGCATTCTTTTATTTCGGACCCGACTGCTTGGAACGGTGGTTTGACAAAAGACTTGGTTCATCACGATGGCAACCCAAGTATGATCGTATGAGGCTGTGGTCATCAACATAACTCAAACTCAACTTGTACGTTGCAAGGACGCCAACGTCGACACTCTCCTATTTGAGACCTAACTAGAGGCGCTTTCTCACAGTAACTAAACGCCCGGGTAGCACAGTGGTAGCTGCGCCTGCCTAGTAAGCAGGAGGTCCGCGGTTCGATCCCGCGTCTGGGCAACATTAGTTTTATTTTTGCGTCTTGCGAGAAAACGGAGGTTAGATGTTTCTTGTTTTTCTTTTTGTTCTTTTCCTTCTTCGTCTTTTTTTTTTTTTTTTTTTTTTTTTTTTTTTTGTTTTCTTCGATATTTCCCCCCTTAATCCCGTCACACCGCATCTTCTTTCATCTCCGATCCCATACCAACGCTCGCCGATCTTGAGCGCATCACGCTCGCCCCTATCGACAGGATCGCTCGCGAGTACTGGATCGAGGGCGCCGGCGAGAATGTTACTGTGTGCGAGGTCCGGCGTGGCGAGCATGTGTCTGGGGCACTGGCGCTGGCTGCCGACTTTGTGTGGGTGGGCCGGCAAGCGCTGTGAGGGCTCGCCTGCGGTGGGCAGACTGGTGTCGACCGAATTCTGGCGATTCTACGCAAGGAGTTGATGCACCGTATGGGTCTGACCATCCGTGCCAGGCTCAATGCCATCAAACCCCCGTGCCTACAGCTGGTGGGCGCAGGGGCGAGTGCGGAGATGCAAGGGACTGGCACGGAATATAATGAGCCAGACGATATTGATGACGACAACGGCATGTTTGTTTCTGCCAGATACCGTGGAGGGTTTTGGGACTTTGCACGTGGGATAGGCCACCAAGATCGTCAAAATCGATGCCAAATAAGAAAACGAGCATGGGTGCCACAAGAACGTGAGATACATTCTAGTTGGTGCCTCCCTTTTTAGAGTTCCCCGTGCATGCATTAATTCTCCAGCAGCTTGCTAGTCTTTTCTCTTCAACAGACGATTGGCTGCCCTTCATTCCCACCTCATTCCCGCCTGTCTCACCGTCCCTCGTCAGTCACACAAAGTGTGAACGGTGAGCACGAGGCACAATGACATTCCGATACGGAGTGCACAAAGTGGTAACGGTGTGAGCACGAGGCGCAATGGCATTCCAATACGGAGTGCAGTGAAGAAGATGAATCCAATCAACACAGAGTACGGCACTTCATAGCATCCGAGGGATAGGACGAGGACGTGGGTGACACAGGAATAAGACGAACAGTGGAGACACGGACATGACTCGCCATTTGGACATGCCAGCCTGCTTGAGCATGCAGGATCTTCAGAACTGCGTCTGTGCACTTCCGCGTGCATTATGCAGCCGTACTAGATCCCGATCCAGTGGTTCTTTGTGCTTTCGTGTGCAACCTGCAGCAGATCGAGTCAAGCCATGGCCGTGGGCCAGGTTCGATGCATACGCATACAGCATCCGAGGGATCATCCAAGCATGACTCGCCAATACTTGCCCTTTTGCACCCATCATGCCCATAATTGTAGATGGCGTGAGATTGAGGGCGTCTAGGACATGTCGGCCATCGTAAGGGAGTGACCAGGTTGAGCCCGGGCTGTGAGCCGGAGCAGTCGCCGACCTAGACGACCGTCCACACACACCTCATGGCAAGACAAAGTGGATAACTCTGCCAGCCCTCACTCATCCGGCGGAGATTGGATATACACCATCTCGGTGGCACCACGGTACGGGACGAGAGAAACAAACTGGGGATATTTCAGTGGTATTGTAGGTATGTGATATTTGTTTCATCGCTGCTGTTGATGTTGTTCGTTTTAGTTGCAGCCTTACCACTCGCTCGGGCGCTTACCGTTTATTGCATTCTTTGTGGATATGCGCCACTGGGGAAATTATGTGTTTGCAAAAGAAACAAAACGTCTGCTTCAGTCACACGGTGGGTAATGGTTCATCGGCACGCACAGAAAGAGAGTGGTGTAGAGTGAAATATGAGTCCAAAGTCCAAGGGAGATGCAAAAGATGAAAAGAATACAAAGTGAAACAGGCAGATATGTAAGGCGACGCGATTGCCTTGCTGGCCAAGTCGGCATCATCTCCCTCGGACCTTTCTCTCTTCCTACATTGCCATTGGATACCAGGTCACGGTGTCCGGTGGGTGCGGAAGTCGATGCAACCTGTTCCAGGTTTTCAACTTGGTCCGTAGCCAACGATCTCTGTATACCACACCTCCACTCCCCTGGATCTACCACCCACACGTTCGGTGAATGAGAGACATTGAGAGGGAAACAAGTGTTTTGTGGGAGTACAGAAGTCTGTGCGAAATTGCCACTTCCTCTCGTAGAGACAGTTGGCAAACAGACCACAGAGGGCCATCGCCAGAGACCCGACGGATTGTTTACTGTCAGCATTCTCGGTTTACTCGTCACAAGCCTCTTCCCAGGGCGAGAGTTGTTGGTGTCTTCCTTCCACATCCCCAAGTATAAAGTCCACGCTTGTCGCTCTCTCTCCTGTCACCGTTTTACTTCTCCTCACCAAGCTCCCAGCCTCCATCAGCTCAGCACATTCAGTCTACCCTCGATTCATCTACTTATACATACCGTACTCCATTCACATCCACTCTACTTCCACTCATCAACATGAAGCTCCACGCCCTCGCTCTTGCCGCCATCTTTGCCACGGCCATGGCGTCCCCTACTGCCGAGTCCTCGGGCGACGGCTGGGGCAATGGCGGCGACGGCGGCGACGGCGGCGATGGCGGCAACGGCGGCGGCGGCGGCGGCGGTGGTGGCGGCGGCGGCGGCGGCGGCGGCGGCGGCGGCGGTAGTGCCAACTACGAGGCTTGCCCATCTGGCCTCATTGGCTCCTACCCGCAGTGCTGCACGGTGGACATCCTCAACGTCCTTGACCTAAACTGCAAGCCGGGTAAGAAACGACGGAGGCAAATCAGAATGAGGCAAAACAAAACGAGAACATATGACTGACATGAATAGTCCCTATCGTCCCGACGTCGGCTGCTGAATTCGAAGCCGCCTGCGCTTCCGTTGGCGGCGTGCCCGAGTGCTGCACCGTTCCCCTTGTATGTCTTCCCTATCCTTTCCTTCTCAGAAGAGCCTGTTCATCTACCTCGTTTTGTCTGTATACACGTCTTTCTAACGGATTAGGCCACTCTTGGTGTGCTCTGCGAGGTTCCTCCTGGCACTGCGTAAGTGGCGCTGTCAGACGTCATCGTCAACCATTGTTGCGGGTTCTCTCCGTCCCAGAATGGTGGTCCGTGGCGATGAAGAATGGTGCGCAATTGGCCCGGGGTGCAAGACAACGATGGCAACGATTGGGATGCACTCCTCTTTCTTTTCTCGTGAAAGCACTCGAAGCTTATCGTCTTTTTTTCCCTATCTTTCTTTTTATTCTTCTCGTTCTTCACAAGTATACGATTGTTTAGAAAATCTAATATGTCTCCTACACGAATGCTTTCGTATTTATTTTCAGTTTTTTTTGCAGCATAGCTGCCATAATATACAGAATAACTGCAGTACGAAATAAATCACCCAGACTTTCACCTCATTCGTCGTTGTAAGTGAGGCTGAGTGGGTCCGATGACGTAACAGGTGCCAACAGTGCCGAGACGGGGCGGGGCTGCCAGGTCAGGAACCAGCCAGGACCCCTTTTGTTAGCATCAGGCACCAGGAACAGGATCTCGCATCCCAGATCACAGCCCATCACAGTCCATCACAGCCCATCACAACCATCACAACCATCACAACCACAATCACAGTTCCTGAGCAATAACCGCCCATCTCATTACGTCATGGCCCCCCACAATGGCCTCGTGCACGCCAAGGAGTACGACATCAAGGACAGCAACGTCGAGCTGATTGGCACCGACATTGACCACCGCGTCAAGTACGCCTCGGCCGCCACGGAGCCCGCCTGGAACAACGGCGTCGTCGGCGTGCAGCCGGGCCTCTTTGTCTGGCGCATCGAGGACTTCCAGGTGGTGCCGGTGCCGGCGCGCGGCGTCGGTCTCTTCTACGACGGCGACAGCTACATTGTGCTGCACTCGTACCAAGTCGGCCGCGACACGCGCACCCCTACGCTCGGCCACGAAATCTTCTTTTGGCTCGGCAGCTACACGTCCCAGGACGAGGCCGGCACCGCCGCGTACAAGACGGTCGAGCTCGACGAGTTTCTGCACGGCGCCGCCACGCAGCACCGCGAGCTGCAGGCGAGCCCGTCCGCCGCCTTCCTGGCGGTCTTCCCGCAGCGCCTGACCATCCGCCGCGGCGGCGTGGCCACGGGCTTCACCCACGTCGAGGAACCTGCTGAGGCCACGCCCTCCAAGAAGACGATGCTGCTGCGCGTTTTCAAGCAGCCGGGCGCCCGCACCGACGGCGGCATTGTCGTGCACGAGGTGCCCGCGCAGCCGACCAGCCTCGACGACGACGACGTCTTTGTCCTCGACGCCGCCGGCAGCGACGCCCTCTACGTGTGGCAGGGCCGCCGGTGCAGCCCCATGGAAAAGGCCAAGGCCGCCGAGGTCGCCCAGGACCTGCTGACGCCCGCACACACGGGCGGCGTGCAGGTGCTCGCCCAGGACGAGGGCCGGGCCGGCGTGGTGCTCCGTCTCCTCGCACAGGAGGCACAGGGCGGCGGCAGCCTCGAGTCGAGCGCCCGTGCGGCGACGTCGTTCCGGTCCGACCGGCCGGTGGCCTCGACGCGGTCGAACCAGCCCCCGCGCCCCCAAAAGCTGTGGCGCCTCAGCGACGCCTCGGGCCAGCTCTCGTTTGACCTCGTGCGCGACGGCGCCGCGTCGCTGCGCGACTTTGACGGCCGCGACGTCTTCTTGTGGGACGACGCCGGCCGCGAAGTGTGGGTCTGGGAAGGCCGGGGCGCGAGCGCGGCCGAGCGCGCCCAGTGGCTGCGTGTGGCCCAGGCGTACGTGCGGCAGCTGGCGGCGGGGGGCGACGAGGGGTATCTGACGCCCGTCGCCAAGGTGCGCGAGGGCTACGAGAGCCCGGCGTTTCTGCAGTCGCTGCAGGCCGCGGCGTAGATGGAGAGGACAAGGGGGGTTTACGAGAATCACACATTGTGGACAGGCTTGTATTGGGAACATTGGTCGTTGTGAAAGAACAAATTTTATTTTTATAGGAAAACTCTTGCAGGCGACAAACACTCGCCCAAAATAAATCAACAAATGGCCAGCATTTGCACTACGTCTTACATGTTGCAACAGTCACACTCGTCGCTGTGGAAGACGTCCGCTGTCTGCTCATTGTCCATAAACAAAGACGGATAACGGTAGTTGATCACAAAGCCGACGGCAAGGAACACGAGAAAGAGCGGCGGGTTCATAATTAGGACCAGCACCGTGCCCAGGCCAAGGAGAGTCATGACCACGCAGAATGTGAGCAGCACCCAAATCCACCACAGGAGGAGGCAGAGGGAGACACAGCACAAAATGGCCGAGGCAAGGAACTGGAACATGGCTGTGAATGGTGGACAAGGGGAGTGTGAGTGTTTGTCTGTTGCTGTTTGTTCCTTGAATGTGTCTGATAACAATGCAGCAATGGGTAAAAGCAATATTGGGCAGTGCTGTCAGAGATTCAAGGAACGGCTGTCGTTGTGGTTGTTTTTGAAAAAGAGAAAGGGAAACGTTTGTGGTATTTTGGAGCGGCGGCCGATATTTATACCTTTGCCCTAAGCGCCATGCTCGTTTTTGCGGTTCATGGACAAAGGTGCTGGACAATGGATTATTTCGCACGAACAAGATGATCGTGATTGTTGTCTTTGTCCGAAGTTAAGAATGCTCCCAAATCTATTTCTACAACTTAGACAGTGAACAACATTCATGCTGTGGACGAATGGCTGTGGCAATTCCCTGAGTCGTGTCAATTGCAATTGTGAACAGCTGTTGTATAAAAACCACCCATATTTCATGATCATGAGGCGTGGATATGAACAACATTTACGTCGCATATTCCAGCAACGAGAATCGATACACACACACTTACACACACACACACACATACACATCTCAGGCGCATCTCTTCCTTCAACACAATGCAAAGGGGATCCGTCAATATAGCGATTCGTGCAAACAACCTGCAGATCATAACCGGTCGTTCTTCCCATAGATACGGCAACACCCGCGGCGCCGAGAGCGCGCGGATGAGGGAGGCTGCCTCGGATGGTGACGCTCCTAAGCGATCCTATCCTGACACTGGCATCGATGCCGGCAGTTTTCAGGGAAACGGCGTCCTAAGGCGGATAACCGATGTAACCGAAACTTCATCTACTTCGGAAGCTTCGTATGTGGCTCAATCCGAGGCCCAATACGCCGAGGCTGAGTACGACGACCAGTACGACCAGTACGACGGCCAGTACGGTGACCAGAATCCATTTCAAGAAGAACCAGGGCCACAGGTCCACAGCCCGACCTTAGATCGGACTCAACGGTGGGAAGAGAGCGACGGCCACCACTCCGGCCGACACTCCGGCCACCCTCCTAACCGACGGTATAGCCAAAGCTCGTACCCACTACAGGACCCACGCCAGCCATACAGACACCATGGCGCTGCGTGCGAGGTTCCCAATGAACATCGGGATGCATACGGAAATTATAGGTCGCCATTTTCCGGCCAACCGGCTATGACAAACCCCCATGGAACATTTGTCCGCGGAGGCACGTATACGTCTCCGCTGACACAGCCTCTACGCATACGCGACGATCCTCGCTTCAATATAGGAATGGATACTTCCATTCCGGGCATTGATAGACAATTCGCCTCCTTAGGCCTGTCAGACGACTTACGCTACGATCAACGACCCAGCCAAAGCCGTTTCCATCATCGCCCCCCGCCAGGCTTCTCCTGCCGAGGCGACGTCTATCCCGCGCCGCGAACATTGCATCGTGAGCTGGAACCGAGTGGCTTTTATAACGACGATACGCCTATTCCGGTCAAGAGCGACGATGGGACCGATAATTGCAGTATACTGTGCGAAGACTCCATCTCCTGCGTTGGTAGACATCGCCGTGCACATCGCAAGAGCTCGAGTAAGTCCCAGCCAAAGCCCCGACACAAGGATCATGACCGTAATTCAGACCCTACTGCTCGGCCACGTTCAAGAGAGCGACGCGTACCCCGTCCGGCTCCGGCAGAAGAATGCAACCTTCCGCGTGCTCCGACGCCACCTCCTTTCGAAGACCCGGAGTCTGCAGCGGCCGAACGGACGTACTACGGCCAGCATGCAAACCTCGCTGGCCGCCACTATTGACGTGGGAGATGAGCGTACTTATCGTAGATGCTCGAGCCTAGGCAATCGATATAGTCAGCTGCTGTTATCAGTTACCGGTATCTGTGCAGCTTCTGTGCAGCTTCTCTCCTCTCTTTTGTTTTCTTTGTTGTTTCTTATTTGCATTTGGAGATAAATATAAAATAAGCCACATTTTCATCTTTAGGGACCACCGTACTATCATGCAAGTGACCGTAGCATCCAGCTAGTAAAATGTGCGCCGGCCATTTCTCTCTTTAGAGCTTGCACGCCTCACAACGCAGACTGAGAAATTGTCTTTTCCCCACGACAGCCAAGTCGCTTCAAGCCGCCAAGACCGCCGTAGAGTGATCGACATCGCGTTCCGCGAGTGTTTACTTGTCGTATTGCCGTATGCCTTACCCAGCGAAATCGAGCGAAGACTGCTCCGTATTTTCTGGGAGCCAACGCCGTCGAGCGTCCGATGTCCAGCATACAGCGCCCAGCATCTCGCAGGACGACGAACGCCTCACAGCGTCTGTCTTGAACGTGTCTCTTCGTTTCAATCGTCAGGTGTCTGTAAAACGAGCTGTTATCAACACAGCAGCTGGGCCTTTGCCCAGCAGTGTCGCTTTCTGAGGGAAGCTGACTGTTTCTTTCTGCTCTTGGCACGCCAACTGCTACAGCGGCGCACAAACACACCTCGTCATGTGCCCGTGTCCACCAGCTTCAAGACGGTCCAGAGTGGCCCGAGATATCGAGTCAGTCGTGTAAGCCGACGTGCGTGGCCGAGTTTGTGTGTACTGCAGAGTATGTAGAAAGCGACGGAAGTAGAACGTCGTCGACGAGACCCGGCCTCTTTTGTGCCATGTCATTGTAATCCCAGCCGTTCCCTGGCCTCACTTGAGACGCTGTCGAGTTTGAGTTGCGTTTGACATGCAGCTAAAACCCACTAAATCTGAGGCACAATCCGTGCGGCCGGATGGGGTCCACTTTTCTCCTTAAGGTTTTCCACTAAGAGGCCCGAACCCCTGGCGGGCCTGGCCAGGCCTAAATGAGGAGCCAGACAGAAGGAGCGAACTGCCAAAAAGGCCCCTCAGGAAGAACGAAAGGAGCTAACATCAACTTAGCCATTCTCCGTTGCTTTCTTTTTCCTCCCACGACGACACCTTGCATCGCACTCCACGGACAGCCAACATGCCGTAATTGCACAGGGCGGCTCTGAAGGCGCGCAGCCTCAACCGGGCCAGAAGTCGCTTCCACTGCCGATATTGACGGGGTATTCGTTCTGTAACGCCACTGATCTTGTCTATTTTAGTTTTGTTTTATTTTATTGTCGTGCCATTCTTCAGACCATTGCTCTGTCGTCAGCGCACTCCGTCAGTCCTTTGCTTGTTTGTGATAGTCCCTCCTCACTGCCTGTCATGCGACCAATGGAACTCTGTTAACAGTTTCGTTTCGGGCAGGCAAAGGATCTGCTTCAAATTGAGACTCGACTCTCTGTTCTTCGGTCTGCTTAGACGTCTTTGTAGAGACAGCGACTCGCCGATAATGACATCTGGAGCAACTCGTACGTAAGCCGACACGTCAGAAGGGAGAACCGTAGATGAAAACAACTAAAGTAGAAGAACGGTACAGACACAGGCTACGATTGATCGGCTGCTACAAACAAACAAACATGGCCAACTCCGCGGACCAGCCTTGTGTCTTTGGAGCAGTCTTTGCCCCTCTGTCCTCCTCGCTTGGCATCTGAACAAATCTCACGATCCCATCTAGACGTTGTCAGGGTTGCAGGTCATCCCTTTCAATTAAAAGTCTCCTCGTTCCTTGTTTGAACATGTTTCTCCTTTATTTTGTGTTCCCCCTACTATTTTGTGTTTCTCTTTTCCCCCTTGCTCTTGGCTCACGCGCAATGGACTGTCGCCACGACAAAGGTCGGTCGACGAAAGAGTGAAGGCCAAGGAAGGAGTCGAGCTAACATGTTTCCAAACGTTTCTTGTGAAGGTGGAAGTGAAAAGGAGGTCGTGGTCAGGATGGGGCTGCGACTCGTGGCTTGGTGGTGGTCATAAACACACGAATGAAAAATAAATAAAAAAATTAGACGCCGAGAAAACGCCTTAGCCACACAGTCATGTTTCGTCCGGGGAAGGGGGTCAATGAGGCCTCGCCATTTTCCTCTTTTATTTCTATTTCTCTTCACAATTCGTCTTCAAGCCTTTTTTTCTCTCCTATGACGAGTCGTCGCCCAAGTGGGTGGTCGGAAGGGGCTCTCGGCGCGGGCTTGTCATCTCGTTTCAAAGTCCCCACCCACGGGCGACCCCGTAACGTGCACAAACACGGCTGCGTCCAACACAGGTTGGCGAAGACGTCGTAAGTTAGCAACGCCCAGAAACCCCTGCTGGCCGCTTCAGACATCAGACAAGGGCCATCGGTTTGCGATGCCGGGTCTTTTGCAGGTGTCCCTTTGCTGGTGAAGTCCCCCTCTCTGAACCGGCAGATCCGCTCAATTCATCCGCCTTTCTATGCTTTGCAGGGGTGGCCCTTTTTTTGTGTCGGATTGTGTCTTTATATTTATGCCGTTTCCCATCCCACTGACCCGTGTCCTTTCTCTCTTTTTTTCCTCTTCCTTCTGTAGGTCCATCTTAGTTTTCTTATTGTCGTGTACTTTTTCTCTCCCTTGTACTTTCTTCTTTTTTTTCCATTTCACTTCATTATTCAAGAGGCTAGTCCTTTAATATCCATCATCACCAACTTGCAGCGCGAGTCGCCTTTCAATCTTTACACCTTTTTGTTTCGTTCTCCCATTCTTGTTTTTTTTTCCCCTCAAAAACTTCATTTTTTTCCATATCCAAAATGCAGTTCTCTACGCTCGCCCTTTCTGCCCTTCTGGGTCTGGTCTCTGCCCAGCAGACGTCCGTCACGGTTGTTGAGGTCTCCGCCAAGAACAACTCCCTTACTTACTCGCCCGACAACATCAAGGTCGCCGCCGGCTCCATGGTCCAGTTCCAGTTCCTCGCGGGCAACCACACCGTCACGCAGTCCACGTTCGATCAGCCGTGCCAGCCCATCGCGTCCTTCAGCAACGTCACCGGCTTCCACTCGGGCTTCGTCCCCGTCGCCGCCAGCGCCAACACGGGCAACATCCCGACCTACACCATCATGGTCAACGACACCAAGCCCATCTGGATCTACTGTGGCCAGGCCAAGCACTGCGAGAACGGCATGAGCATGGTCATCAACGAGAAGTAGGCTCCCGCCCGTTCCCCCCCCCCTTTTCCAAGCCGACGTCTTGCTAACAAAACTAGCACTGCCGACAATACCAAGTCGCTCGCGGTGTACCGCACGAATGCCATGAAGGCCACAACGGTCGTTCCCGGTGGCGCCAACAGCGGCAGCTCCGGCACCACGTCGTCCTCGGGCACGGCCTCCAGCGGCGTCACCACCAGCGCCGCCAACCTGGTCTCTGTTCCCCAGTTCGCCGCCGGCCTCATCGCCGTTGCCGGCACCTTCTTCCTGCTGTAAAGCAGTGGTGGACGGCAAAAACTGGGTTGCTGATGCGGGTTGTGCGTGTGCCCATAATGATGGTTTCTTGACTTCTTCCTCGGGTCCCCTGGCTTGGTGTACTATGAGTTTTCTTTTTTTCCTCCCCATCTTAGACTTTTTTCGTGTGATTAAGCGGAGCTGGGGTCCGGACCAGAAAAGAGGAGGACGAGCTTTCCTTTTGTCCCTTTTCTTCGTTTCGTTCAGTGTACAAGGGAGACGTTCACGACGTGTAGTTTACATACCTCTTTTTAACTGCGTTTTATTGAAAAAAAATATTGAAGTTTTGGAATAAGAACCCATGGTCGAAATGCATTGCAACGAAACGTGTGATTTCGCAACGAAAACGGAACCTGTACGAAACGAGGAATCGGCTTTCCCAACGGTCACTCCCCTTCTTTCGTAGGCACTTCGCGGTAGGCCCGGCCTTCCTGTGCAACCTTGCACAGCGGCTTCACTTCGCCCTCCCAACCCGGCTCCCGCTTCAGCTTGCCCACGTAGTGGTACTTGTGGCTCTTGGTGAAGAAATCCACCCAGTGCTGCACCGCGTCGTGCACCCGCTTCACGGCGTCCTTGCGCTCCTGGACCTTCTTCGCCGCCAGCTCCGCCGGTGTCCAGTGGCTGTCCACCTCGGGGTTGTCCAGCGGCAAGAACATGTCCTCGACGCCGCGCAAGTCGCCGTTGCGATCGTCGGCAAAGCAGCCCGTGACAAACCCACGGCTGGCGTCGACGCCCGCAAAGTAGTGGTACGACCCGCCGGGGCCGTAAATGTGGCGGCCGGCCGAGACGTCAAAGACGTTGCCGTCGATCGAGAGGTATATGGGCTTTTCGACAACCGAGCCGTCGTATTCGGCGAGTTCCTCGAGTGTAAAGTAACGTGGGCCGTTCTGCACAAAGTACAAATGGACACGCCATGGTTAGCATCGTTTGCTAGGCAGACAGAACGGCGCTCCCGGAGTAAGGATGCACACCGAGTAAGGACCGTGGTCGCCTCCTACATATTGCATCTTCCACCACGAGAGCTTGAGATAGTTGGGTCTGTGCTGCATGCCCCACAAGAAGGACTCGCCGCCGGACACGAGGTAGCTGAGGCCGCACGACGCCAGCAGCAAAAAGGTCAGCACGCGGAAGATGTCGAGGTACGGGCTGTACTCGTCCTCTTCGTCCACGCGCGGCCGCTTCTTGCCCTTGGTCTTGCGCTTCGGCTGCGTCGACGGCGTCGTCGTCGTCGGTGGCGGTGTGACTGGTTTGCCGTTGTTTCCGTCGTCGTCCTCGTCCGTCAGGTCGGTTACGTCGACCACGCGCGGCTCAAGCGGAAACCTCCGCTGGCGAGCAGCGTTGTCGGCCATTGTGTATTGAAGGTGAGACTCGATTGGCACGTACAAATCGAAAGTTGATCAGATGCAAAACGGCGAATGTAATATTGGCGATAACCACTAGGACGACGCAAGTCGAGAAAGAGACAATGTCGAGAAGAAAGCCGAGAAGGCAGTCGAAGAACTAACAATGGTCCAGCTCCATGGACATCCGGAGCTCAGTGTGTGGGGTGATTCTAGTTGCCAGATTTCACGCGGCTGGATCGGACAGGCTGCGACACGAGATATGGTAAAAGTCTACGACAACGGCAGCGAGCATAAAGAAAAGGCAACTTTGGCCAGAAATAGAGTACTTGCTGCATCTGGACCAATGCGGGACCGCATTACGAGCTCCGACGGCACCAAAGGCAAGCGCGACCCTGATGGAGCTTTCCCCAACTGCAGTTCCGTGTTCCTAAAGCAATCAGGGCCCACAAATGCACTAGCCACGATGCAGCCACAACAGTTGTAGCAGCTCCACTTTTATCCAAGGCTGTCACCCTAACTATCGCGTCGCCAGAGCAACAAGCCACCAAAAAGCGCGACCCGTAATAAACACAACGCACAACTACGCCAAATGCACAGAGCAAATGCCACAACGGCTGGGACAAATTAATATCGCGGAGACAAAGCGACAGAGCGTGTGTATCCCAGATCTCACATCACGAACGCCCAATTGCATTCTTCACGCCTTCGACGAACGGCACATCGACAACGCCGTCGACATCGACATCGACAATCGACTAAAAAATCAAATCGAATCAACAAACAAGACAAACACAACACACTCGACAAAATCAACAACCTCTGGCATACTACGACGCATCGAGCACACACAATGGACTTCCACGGGAGCCGTTCCGGCTCACCAACACCGCTCCAGGTGATATCGCCTGAGCGCGTCAACAACCAACAACCAGGAAGCCACAACAACAACAACAGCCATCCGTTCGACTCCAGCGTCGCCTCCGTCACCGACAAGATCAGCCAGTTCAACTCGCTCGCGATGCAGTCCAAGCACCTCGAACGCAAGACGGCCGACGCGGCCTTGAAGCGTGCCATGGTCGGGCGGGAAGAGGCCGAGACGGACATGCGTCGGTACCGCGACGAGGCACGGCAGCTGCGCAAGCAGGTGGACGAGGGCCGGCAGCGCGAGCAGCGCGTCAGCGAGCGGCTGGAGGCGGTGATGGAGAACTACGGGCGGGCCAAGGAGACGCACGCACACACGCAGGCGCTGTGGGAAAAGGAAATCCGGCGGGCGCGCAAGGAGACGTTCAAGTCGCAGAGCGCCATTGTCAAGCTGCAGGAAGAGCTCAAGGCGGCCCGGGCCAGCAGCAAGGCGGCCGAGGAGGCGCTGGTGCACGAAAAGGAGCGCAGCAAGGCCCGCGAGCAGGAGGCGTTCCAGGCGCGCTACGAGCTGGTGGGGTGCCAGGAGGCGCTGGAGCAGACGCTGCAAAAGGTCAAGATGCTGGAGCAGGAGCGGGACGCGTTCCGCAGCCTGGCCACGTCCGATGAGGATGTGGCACGGATTGCCTCGGAGGGTCGCCTGCCGCTGCCGCCACCCGATGCGGAGGAGGAGGCCGAGGAGGCGGAAGAGGAGGCTGAAGAGGAGGCCAACGAAGACACCAACGACGACAGCATGGACGAGACCGAGGACGGCCTGACGATGACGAAGCAGCGGTCGAGCCGGCGCAAGACAAAGAGCAAGAAGGCGGCCCGTGCGTCGTCCGTCACACTGCTGGACATCCGGTCGTCCGCCACCAGCGAAGCCGAGATCAGCGAACTGACGCGGCTGTGGCAGTGGGAGAAGCAGCGTGCCGACCGGTCCTCGGCGCTCGTGGAGTACCTCGAGGCCGAGTGCCATCTGCGCGCGTGCTCGTGCATGAAGAAGCGCCCGCGCACCAGCATCCTCGACTCTGCGCGCAAGCGGCCCAACCTCGATATTGGCGACGCTGGCGATCGCATCATTCTTAGTGAGAAGGCTGCCATCGCCTCGCCGACCGCCAAGATCCGGGCCGCCATGAAGCCTTCGCCGACAAAGACGCTGCAGAGCGGCCTCCACGTCAACCTCAGCCCCGAACGCCGCGGCGGCGGAGAGGCGAATGCGATGACGGACGAAAACGAAAACAGCACAGACAGCCACGGCCCGTCTCCGGAGGGGAAGAAGGCCGCTCGGCTGGGCACGACCATTTTCGTGCCCGAAGAGGGCGTGTTCCGCACCGTCTCGCAGCAGATTGCCCAGGAGATGGAGGAGGCCGTTGCAGCAGCGGCAGTGGCCACGATGGCTGCGATGCCAGAGGTGCCGGGCGCCGAGGAGGTGCCGCAGCAGGAAGCCGAACAGCAGCCTGCGCAGGAGACTGAGCAGGAGACTGAGCAGGAGACTGAGCAGGAGACCGCCCATGAGGCATTGCAAGAGACGGTGCAGGAGCCAGAGGCTGCACCGAGAGTCGCAGCTGAGGAAGTCGCCGTGCCGACACAAGCCACCACGCAAGAGAACCGCCACCCCTTTCACGACATGCGCGACGCCGATGTCCAGGACGCCGATACCACACTGGGCGACGTGACGACCGACTCGGCCGACTACACCGTCGAAACGACCACAGAGCAGTCCATGTACGCGCGCACGCCCTCTGTGGAGCCGCCCTCGTATGCCCAACAGCGCACCTCGCTTCTGTCTCTGCTCGATGCACCGCACCGCCAAGAAGCCGAGCAGCCGGTCAACTTTCACGTGCCCACCACGCCGGGACCTTTGCCGACGGAGGCTCCCGCACACAATGCGAATGTGGATGTTCATATGGATGACGCCCAAGAGGCACCCCGTGCTGCCACGTCACTGCTGGTTGCGAGCACCTCGATGCGCGTTGCCGAAACGGACATGAACAGTGCGGCACCGCCGCCTGTGAGAGTCGTCAGCGAAGAGTCGACTGTGGTCGAGGAAGAGCGGGACGTCGCGCGCGTCTCGGACGTGACCGAAGTGGCCTATGCCCGGAGCCACAGCAGCCAATCCAGCCGCTCCGACAGCTCCAATCTCTCTAATCACTCCCATCACTCCCATCAATCCAGTCAATCTGGGCGGTCCCGGCAACGGCGCCCAGCATCGGCACAGCTGCAGTACGAAGACCGCGACGCGACACCTGTCGCACAGCCGCAGCGGTACGAGACGCCGGCCATGGATGAGTCGCTCAACAGCCGCTCGGTGCGCCCGCACACAGTGGCTGCGACCAACGTGTTCACGCACAAGACGACAACCACCAAGGTGCCGCTGCGCGAGGAGACGACCGACCCCAGCCTGGCCCAGCGCATCATGGCGGCCCAGCGCACACCCGCCAGCAAGATCCTGCCCGCAGCGTCGTCGTCCTCGTCCTCGGCCGTCTACAGCGACGGCGAGGCCACCGCGACGGCAGAGGGCCCGAGCTTCGACATCCACAACCCGGCCCTGACGCCCACGATGTCGCGCGAGGAGTGCCTGGCCCAGATTCGAGAGCGCCGCGGACGGGCCCGCAGTGCCGCCGGGGGCTCGTCGTCGTCGGCCTCGTCCACACGCACCACGTCGTCTTCGTCGGCCGCAGCGACGACAACAACAACAACGACGACGACCATGACGACGGCAGCCCCCGGTGGCATCCGCCGTCCGATTACGCCCGGTAAGGAGCGTCGTGAAGTCAGTGCGCCCGTCCGGCGCGTGGCCAGTGTGCGCCGGGTGCGGCCATAGAGGACCGGCCTACCGCAAGAGCAAAGATGAGCGTGGCAGATTGTGGGCGTGTCATGTCATTAATGTCATTTTCGGCGCTGCATTTTCCCCTACGGTATTCACGTTTTGGCCAGGCGTTTTGCAGCATTGTTCGGCGTTTCTTCAGATTTTTTTTACTTTTTTAGTTGGATTGTATTCATGCGCCCGCGTTTTATGCCTAGACGTTTTCACGACAAACGTATTGCTCTAATATTTGACATTGCGAGTTTGTTCCTTTTCTGTCTTATGTCTACTTTTGCTCGTTTACGAATCGATTTTGAGTGACTCTTGGATTCAGCACCCGACATTCCTCGTCGTTCATTTTTGCATCAACAGCCTTCAAGCGAGCACCGCCAGCCTCACCGATCCCATTCCTAGACGGCCATCCCATTACATGAAAGATTATTCAGTGTCCAATTCTTATTTACGGCATTGTCCAAAACGGTCACAAAACGGTCACCTTTAATTTTTATTTAGTAATATAATACGCCTGTCAAGACCATTCAAAACGAAGGGCATTGTCATGATTCGCGAAACGACCGGAACAGGGCAAACTGATTTTCAAACAAACCCAAGAACTCCTTTTGTTTTTACTTCTCCCTTGCTTGCTTATGATACGCAAGGTTGTTAATTATAGAATTTGTGGTGATGCTCCATCGGCTTGTTTGATGGCCAGCGCATCGATCTATGCCTTCTGGGGGCCAGGGTTGGATGGCCCTTGCATGTTTCTTGTGGGCGTCTTGCCGCCCTGACTGTCGTCAAGGTTGGACAGCAGAGAAAAAGGGTATCTGGCGACAATGGAGAGCAATTTTATTTACAGTTTGGTCGTCAAACTTTTTTTTCTTCTCCCTTCTTCTGTTCCATGTATTTGGGTGTCCTCGTCCAGGGCAATCCCTCACGATCGCCCTGCTTCCCCGCGGCATCATCATGCGTTTCTGCTGTTTGTGAGCGATGCGGGGGCCGAGGGGGGCATCCGTAAATCAGTAAGGAATTTCTCAAACAAGGGCATTCCTCTTTTGATAAGTGGGCGACTCGGGGCCAGTAGCGAACGGCACGGACAAGCATGGCATCAATTTTGTGGCTTTTTGAGGATGGTTTCTGTTTTGATTCTCGGATCGCCTCCAGCGCGTTTTGCTGTCAAGGCCGTCTCCATCGGACACCACAGAGCATCCATCCCTGGGTCAAACAGAAAAGCCACAAGGACAAAAGGACGGTGTCGGATGTTTCCCTCAAAAAGCAAATATTGTCTTTGAAACAGATCCCCATCGGTTGGTTTCCCCCTTGTCGGCCTGCGCCCTTTCTTCGCCCCCGTCTGGAAGGCATATGTCGCTCGTATCTGTTTCTATGTTTGTTAGAGAACGGCATGTGGGAGCGGCGAAACGGGCCTTTCCGCCGGTGCGTCTTAGTTGGTCTTGACATGGTCACAAGAAACTACAAACAACAGCAACCACATGGCCCGTCGACAGCAAACCCAAACACCTCTGCGCGACTTGGAGAGCCACACAACTTCTCTTCACGCGGAACGCCCGAAACACAGTCACCAAGAAGAAAACAGCTGTTGCACCCGCTCATTCTGTTCTGCAAAGTAGCGGTGACGGCCGTACGCAGGCACATGACGACACGAGACCACGCGGACAAAACTGGAAACTGGGACACCGAGAGTGTTGCCGCGTTGTCGAACGTGACAGATCGTTTTATGTTGTGCTTGTGCCTACATCTCGTTCTTTTACACCGCCCCTCTGCCTCCTCCTTGTATCATATCGGGACAAGGGTCGAGATCATAAAAAAGGGCCGGATGTCGAAACAGACGGAGCAGGCCCAAAAACAATACAAAAGCAAAACGAGAAACATTATGTGCTCTCAAACTCTCTCTTCTGGACTCGTCGGGGTTCAACAACCAAGAGTACGTACGGATGTGAAAACGACAGTTAAAAAAATGTGACAGACGCAATTGCTTGGTTCGCGAGGGAGGGAGCTGAGATGGGCTTGTGCTTGGTGGATGTTGCACGGCAGACGGCAGAGGTCGAAAGGGAGAGACGGAAGAGGCTGGGAGGGTGTGACGAATAAAACGAGAGGGACAGAGGGCGTCTGAAAAAGGGAGAGGGCAGAAAAAGACAGAAAGAGAAGCGACAAGGAAAGGAGCCGAGACGCAATAAGCCGGGAGAGGACGAACCGAAGAGGCACACAGAGTCTAAAGTCTAAACAAAACGCCAGCCAGAGATGGGTCCGAGACGGGGCGCCACCAGATCGAGTCTCCGTGCTCCCCGGTAGTGCTTTGGAGTTTGATTGGGTCGCGGGTGTGTATGTCCTTTGTTTTCGGGTTGTCTTGGCCCTATAATGTCATGATATTTACGTTTTCGGACCCGAGCGATGGTGCGGAAGATGGAGGGGATAAAAAGAAGAAGAAAAACCAAGTCGGAGACTACAGCATCCATAGAAACATTGCCGTCTTTTTCGGACTCTCGATGTGATGTCCGGAATCGACAGCGGACAGACAAGAATCAGGAGAGTTGGCGTACGAAACGGTATGCATCGACCCTCTTCCGCCGCGGACCAAGGCATTCCTGCCATGCAAGGACGCGCCTTTCGTTTGTGTTCCTGTGTGCAGTTGCGTGCGTGTCGGCGTGCGTGCCTTTGTGTCTTGTTGTCGTTGGGTGCACTTGTGTTCTGTGTTTTGTGATGGGCCTTTTATTACGAGCTGTTCTTCCTTGGTCTCGCCTGACCTCCTGCACGGAGCCGGGCGCCGACATGTGACGAGCCAGTCGGATAGCCGCCTTTTGGGCTTGTGGTGTTGCATCATGCAGTGGTCATCGTGGTAGCGGAGGCTGCTCAGGCGGCCTCGACTGGGTTCTGTGACTGAGTTATTGGGTTGAGTTTTGTGCAGAGTACTGATTTTGACTTGTCTTGGATGGCTTTTTTTTCCTTTTAAAACTCTCAAATTCTCAACTTTGTAACTCTCTTAAACTCTCTTAACCTTCTTAACACCCACCGCTACTGCCTCATACAATTGCTTCCCGGTGGCTGATCCTTGATCTGGCTCGCGGTTCTGCCCTCCATTCTATACCCCGTCTGCCGTGATTTAATATGTGCGTTATTAAGGTGCTTGTTCACTTGATGCGGGGGCGAGCCGCCGCTTTGGCGACAAGGGAAATGCAGGTCATATCCCCCATAAAACAATAGACTGAAAAACTGGGATGCGTTGGGGTGCTGTCGTGATATTAAAACGCATGACAATGTGCGAGTACGTCGTACCGTATGGGAGGGTGTTCATGCCATCCCGCACCAAGCCCGGACAAGGGTCTGTGCACGGTTTATGCACCGGGAGAGGGCAAACGAATGGACGCCGAAGAGAGTGCAGAGGACCAGGGCAGAGAGGAGGAGGACGAAAAAGGAGGGGATGCAGTGCAGTGTTGTCGTTTTGCTGGCAGCTTTACAGCATAATTACGACGTATTCTGTACGAAATATGTGATTGTTGGATGTGCTGGACTGGGCTTGGCATTTGTGTCCCCAACGGCCTGTTCTGTATTCTGATCGGCAAAGAGCGTTGTAATGGACGCAAAGCGATCCCGAATCACCGTCTATGCGGGCTGTCAAATACGATGGGGCCTTGCGTCGCCAGCCCAAGGAGCCAAGTCATTTTACCATCACGGGTGCTTGTCGATCATACTCGCCTGTTTTGTAGTTTATGTACGTCGAGCGTCGAACGTCGAACGTCGAACGTCGTACATCGTACATACTTGGATGATAGTATTCCGGTTGCGTCTTCGTGTTGGCGGCTGACCAGAAATGGCCAACAGGGCTGACCAGAGGGAGAAGGGCTTCCCGTTGCTGTCCCGCCCTTGTTCTTGTCCCGGGGAATGTGAGGGACTATGAGCAAAGGACAACAGAAGGAGAACGGGCGCTTGCGTACAAATTAATACCGCATCGTCGTATACGGTCTGGTTTGAAGGATATGCGAAAACACATACCATGTCGTCGGCAAAGGACTTCGCCACTTGCAAGTCCAGCTGGTTCGGTATACGAGTTTTGTTTGGCGCATAGGGCGATGTGCATGGGGCATGGTGCATGGCGCATGGACCAGGCTAGGGGGACGTCTGCCCCGGGAAATGGAGGGTGGTTCATTAAAACAAAAAAGATGCATAAAACGATGCTCCCTCGCCGGACATTTTGGGATGCTTGTAAAGGTGTACTCCTCTTGGCCTCCACTCTGGGCTCTGCAAGCAAGCGATATGAAATTGAAGTGGTCCACACAACGTACCTCCGCACTTTTGTTAACGTCCGTCGAGTGAGAGAAGTTTGGTGTCGTGATAGCACAGGGGCTTGCAAAAACGGGACCAAGGAAGAAAATGCATAATGATCGGCTTCACAGTCCCGAGCGCACAGATATGGACGAACGGGTGTCACGGCCTCTTTGAATTTATTTCAAAGTGATTCGGGTGTATATCCTGGTCGGCGATGTTGACGCGCAGAAAAGAAAGGACCTTGAAATAACAAAGAAAAAAAAAAAAAAAAAAACGAAAAAAAAAGAAGCAAGGCTCCCAAAAGCGACCGACGAGCAAACGAGAGCCCGAGATTGTGCAAAGGACGGCGGCAGCCAGATACAGATCATGCAAGGGAGCATGTGAAGCGAGAAAAAAGAAGACGAAAGGGAGAAACGACAAAAATAGCAGCATACAACGGACAAAAAAAAGAATCAAAACCAAGTCAAGTCAATACCAGCAAGTGTTAATTACAAGGAAAGCAAAGGAGGCTTCCGTTCCCATCGTCCTCATGTTGCACATGAACACGCACGAGAGAGACTCCAACGGCAGACAGCAATATGGCGCGATGAGGCTGCGCCACAAAAGGCCAGACCCGGTCGCACACGGCGTGTTTGTGGACAAATATGGGTAGAATGATTTACCCAGAAACAGATGTGAGGGTGACGATGTTTTGGATGTTTTACCGTAGGGCAGATATCTGGTGCCTTGTACCCTGCACGGGGGACTTTTGAGGTGGATGACTATACTGTACAAAGTCGAAATGGCATCGATTGGGCCAAAAAAAAGGAGAGAATAAAACGATTGCACCTGCAACAAGACACTTGCCGTCGTCCGTCATGCACAATTGATAATTGATTCGACAGCACAGAGGCACAACGCAGCGTGCACAGAAGCCGGCTATGGCGCAAAATCCTTGGTTCCTGCGGGGAAGCGCCTGCATGTCTTTGTCGTGTCTTTGTCCTTTGCTCTTCGCCGTCCTTGATTCCCACCTTGATTCCCACCTTTGTATTTTTACTATTTCGGCCGAGCCATCCTTGTCACCGAACTTCGGCATCCTGCATGATAAGGTCGTCTTTTTCTTGTTGCCGAGTACGACTACCCAGAACTGCTTTTCGGAAGCCCTGCAGAACGAGCGGCAGACACTACGGCATGCTTCCAGTACTGGAAAAAAGGATGGAAAGTTCAGACGGCCCTTGTGGAGCACAGAGGACAAGTCTTGACTACGACGCGAGTCTGTACACGATGCAGGACATGTAAAACGGAGCAGAGATGGCGATGAAGAGGTGGCGGTGTGCGGCGTTGCGTGGAACGAAAAGGACGTTAGTAAAACAAGGAGTTCATTCCCGGAACATAAAAGACACCGTGGTCGATCAGGACACCGAAAGAGCCACAGTCGCTCGTCCAGGTCTTGATGAAAAGCTCCGCGAGAGGCGCCGTGGCGTTGCATCACGGCCACATCTGTTTTTCCTCAGTACGGGGACGTTGCTACCGTTCCCCGCCAGCACTGCTACGCTGGGGATGCATTGCTGTGTGCTGCGACGTGCGCACCGCGTCACAGTTGCATCGTATTGCCGGCCAGGGGTGGGGAGGGGGGCACCTGGCCCGGTTCCCGAGTTTGTCAGAATCCCAGCGAAACCAAAGAGCCAACAAAACCGATGGGGGGATTTAGATAGTGCCTTATTTCACTTCTGGTTTGCGTGTCTGCTTCGTACGACCAGGCTCCCGAACACGTCGTTCCATTCGCTGGCTCGACTTGTATGGACAACCAAAGAAGTTGCTGTCAAGCGCGGCAAACCAGGCAATGATGGACAAAATAGGACGACCAGGCTTGCTTACCACTGGCTCATATTCGCAGGCGGGCGCCATCTTGATATTGGGTCCAAAGGAGGTAGATCGTACAAGATAAAGAAGAGGAAAAAGGAAAGGAAAAAGGAAAGGAAGAAAAAGAAACAAGTAGAAAAACAAGACCGTCTCCGCCATCGACGGCGTGCAAAGCACACCAAGGCGAACAGGCGGGCTCTTGTGACGACCAGAAGTGAAACAATATTGTCCACCCACTGACACAGAAACAAGACGAAGCCACAGCTAGTCCGTTTCGGGCCGTGCAGACTTGCGGAGGAATAGCACGTTTGCTGTTTTATCTGCAAACGAGGGCAAAACGGCTCGTGGTCGAGTTTCTGTTTCTGGTTCTGTTTTTGTCTCTGTTTTTGTTTCTGTTTTGTTTTTCTTTTTATTTATTCTTTCGTCTCCTCTTTCTTTTTACCTCTCATCTCGGCACCACTCCTTTGGTTGTGTGGCTCTGGCCTCGTGGCGGCTGGCCCTTGACCAGGGGTACTATGGCGTGTCGAGGATGTCGAAATGGACCAAATGGACGACATGCAGGACAGGCATCGCATGCCCTCGTCGTATCACACCGAAAATGGGGCACGAGGTGAGCTACGTCCAACAGGTGTGCGGCCCTTTGCCGCCAAGGCCTTTAATTTTACCAGGAAAGTTATCTGCCCGTCTTTTCGTGTCTGGACCGTCATGAGCGTGGTACCGTCAGTGGCGCTTTTGGCGTCCACTATCACCTGTGGCAAAAGCGTGGCCGCCACAAGATCAGGCCAGTATAGGGCAAGCGCCTTGTAGCGGATCGGCCGAGTGCCAGGCCTGCTTTGAGGATGTTTGCGTCGTACTCCTTCTCTACATCGTATTTTCTTTGGCCGTGTTTGTTATCCTCACTTTCTCCTTTCTGCTCCACATTGTCCACATTATCACATTGTCCACCTTTCCACTTCACCGTTGACGCTAGCACCTGAGAACTGAGACATGGTCCTCCGGTGGATTCTCTCCCTTGGTTTACGACGTACCCGTTTCCGTATCCTTTCTCCCCGGAATCTCCCACCGCTGGGCGCAGGCCAGACGCCGCCTTACATTGTAATTACGCCTTTGGAGCATTCCTGGCCTCCCTTGTCGTGTAGTTTGGCGCATTTATGCATCCGGAGTACATATACGATTTATACATATATATATGGTATTTACCGTGCATCCTTTCCGCCTTTCCGCCTTCCACCTTTCCGGCATACAACACAGGCACATATCCCTTCAGATGCATGCAATCCATATTATTCCACTGGGAGGTCGTACTCCGTCTTGACTCCGGACTCCGTATATTGCTTTTCAGCTTGTCATACCCTTTGCTGTCCCGCTTTGCTGTCCTTGGCGCAGAGGGCCACTACCGAGAGCGGCTCAGTATGTTATGGTATTACGGCAGATCTGCCTAGCAGGGCACAGGGCACTTTTGCAACCCTCCATCACAACCGTCTTCAGCCAAACGGGCCAAACGCGGATCGGGACTTGATCTAGGCCAGCTGACTTGAACATATTATTGGACCTCATATGGAATATCCATCTTCATCGGTATGAAGGCAAAGTATGAGAAGAAAGAAAGAAAGAAAAACCTCCGTAGTGCCATAAAACCGGAGCACAGGCGATGGGCCTCAGATGGAGGACGCCGCTGATCCCTGTGTGTCGTATTGCACTGACACGGAGGTATGAGGCAAGTATGTACCTTGTAGAGGGAAATGTGCAGTGTATGTGGACCAACCAGGTCCCAATCCATGCACGCTGATTGCAACTGTCACGGTCTTGCGCTCGTCCAGCGTTCGTCCAGCAATCTGTCTTGGGTCCCGGTCTACGCCGCTGCGTTGCTACCCTTCCCAGCTTTTTCGCTCGGATTCTACCTCGTTTTTCTCTGGAGCAGGATGGGGACGTTCTGATTCCTCCCATGACTTTCCTTTGTGCTGGTGCTTGGTATTCAATGCAATAATGCATTGCGACCCGGCGACGTCGTGTTGTTGCTCGCCATTTTATCGTCTTCAATGTCTCCTGTTCACGGTCGACTTGTCGCAGCATGTTGCATCCTCGCTGGAGCACTGGTCAGCCCTCGAATTGTAGACAACGAAAACAATCTTCCGTCGTACATCTCTTCATTGGGCATTCTCGGGCAACGGGACATGGATCATGGATGCCGGCTGGGGCTGTCACTGACCACACTTCCACATTGGGAAATCACAGGGGGGATCGTCGCCGAAAACAAAATAAGCGATGTCCTTGTGGTGACGTGAAAGTCGGGAAGATAATAAAATAATAAAAATAAATAAAATAAATAAAAAGCTCAGCTGCAAAATACACGCTTGGCAGCCAATATTACTACAGTCTCATTCTCCTCTGCCGGCTTGTCTTCTTGGTCTCCTCCTATTGCTCCCCTCCCTCCTTTACGACGTAATTACGTCTTGTTCGTCGTCAATGCGTTCCGCATCCTCATTCGCTCTCTCACAATAAGCTTTCAATAAGCTTTTTTATTTTTTATTTATTTTATTTTTTTCAGCCGGCCACCTGTCAAACCCGCCCATCACCTCCACGTCATTTCGTCACCAACCTTTCTTATGACACTTTTCTTTTGGAGGGTGGCCGGCTTTTGGTTAAAGCACTGCCTGTGCGTGCGCAAGTCCCCAGGCAATCCTTCACTACGGTTGCAACCCCTTGTATCAAGCAATCCCGCCAACATGGGACAGACCCACGACAGCAAAAAGAAACTACGGAGAGCCTGAAGGGCATAAAGCGTCTGATATAGGGAGGGATAGGAGCTGGACAGGCCGGACAGGAATGAATGGGTGTGGACCATCCACTGTATTTTCCGTCACTTAAACCGCACATGTTTCCCTGCTCGTACGCTGTACATTTGACGAGGAAACAGAAACCAACGAAACCAAGCAAACCTCCACAGGTCAGAAGAGCATGGATGTGCGCGGGGAAAAAAGGCAGCAAAATGCGTCTTACATCACGGCTCGTGTTCCGAGAAACAAGAACAACGCCAACAAGTGCGCTTAACACCTGACGTCGCAGTTGCATGCCTACGTTCCATTGACAGCCCAAAAAGTAAAAGGACACGGAGGAATACCCGGAGTTTTGTTGGCATGGAGCGTGTGTTAGTGGTGGGGGGATTGTAGACTGCGGTCTGTGTGTTTGTATGGTACTTAATCATGTGCCTATATGTGTGCAACTGTCTGTGTGCCTCTTCCAATTGTGCATGTCCAGTTCATGCTAGCCCATCTCGTCTCCTGCCCATCGGTGATGGAGAGAACAGAAGGACAGCGAGTGCATCGCCTCAAAATATGTCTTGTGATGCAACGTACTCAATCTCTCTGGCCGCGCGAGTCGTCCACCGGGACGGTCCAGCACAATGGGCCCTGCTCACTGACCCTGCTGCACTGACCCTGCTGAGCGGCAGCGAACGCAGAGAAAGGCAATGCGCAGGTGCTATCCACAGTTATGCGTGGAAATGCGCTCCGTAGTGGTGGTAGTTGTCAGTACGGGCTGATCTTATTTTATCTTTTTATTTTTGTACATGTACGGAAGAATCCTTTCCCGCCCGCTCTGCATTCTGGTTCGCCTGCCCCAGGCGGAACCAGAGGAGCCAGGGAGCGAGGAGCCAGAGAACCAGAGAGCCAGAGAGCCAGAGAGCTAGAGAGCCAGACTCTTGACAGTGTCGCCCTTGTCGCCCGTCCTCCGAGCCTCCTCCCGTCCCTCCCCAAACTTGACAGAAGTGGAGAGGCCCTGCGACAGGGATCAGGGGTTGACAAGCAGCGGGAGTCCGCGTTCAGAAACCAGGCCCGGCGCTCGAAACACGTTGTAAGGAGGCTGGAGGGAAAGAGGAGGGCGGGCACTGGGTGACAGGGGTCTGGGGTTGACGCAGGGGAAGGACGACGTCGTCACGTCAAGACATCGAAAAAGCAAAAAGAGAAAGGAAGTGGTTCTGTAAATGTCGAGACGCTCCGTCTCCACGCTCCGTCTCTACGCTCCATACTTGAGCCACAGCTTCACGGGCCAGAAATAGAACGACGGATACATTGGGAAGGATGCCAACTCCCGCAAGAAAATCAAAAAGGAGTAAAACAAAAGGAAGGGAGACGGGGGACGAGTAAAACAAACGAAAAGACGCTTCAAAACTGAAGACAACTCACACCCGATCGACAGATGCTGATCATTACCCATCCTCTTCTCCTTGGCCGTTGTCTGTCTCTTTCCCCTCTTTTCTTCGTCTCGGAGCACTCCGTCAAACACGCTAGAGCTAGAGTCGAGCGAACGGTCCGGCCCCTGGCTTCTTCCACTTTCCTCATGAGCGATTCTCCATCACTGCCACCCCCCCGTCGTTCAAAAACGTGAGCAAGTCGCTCGATGGGCCGAGGGTGTATTTCCACTTTCCGACTGGTCTGTCCTGCACGTTTTCCAACCTTGGGGAGTTGCTGTTTCCATGTTCTGTCCGGTTCCCTGTTCCCTTTTCCTATTTCTTGTCTTTTTGTCGCCTCAGCCGGATCGTCTGGGAGACGAAAGATAGCTCCACACACACACACACACACACACACACACACTGATTGTTGGCGGCATGCATGACCTGCATAGATGGAAAATGGGTCTCGAATGTGGACGGGACCAAGTCTTATGGCGTTGCACTTGTGAAAAAACGACAGTGGAATGGTACTCCATACATCGTATGAAAACGGAATAACGACACAACAGTACATTTGATGTTTGGTATCCAGTCCACGATCCAACCCAATCTCTGTGCGTTGTGTCACAGGTCCGAGCCAACCAAAACTCACGTCCCAAAACCCAGGGTGCAGGCGTGTGCGGCGCATCTATCGGATCGCAGGCGGCAAAACTGCGGCGGCTCGTTCCTCCTCGTATGTTGTGCTGTATTCTGCAATTCGTACGCCGAGCTGTTATTTGATTGTGGGTGTGCCATTTTGCCCAGTCCACCAATCTCGTTTAGCACCTCTCTCACCTCACCCTCGCTCCGTGCTCCATGTCCTCGCATGATGGATGGCAGCTCTCGGCCCGTGCTGCTGTCTATCTTCTTTCTTCGTATTTGTCTATTTCCTCAAACCCCTCCCGCCCTTTCTCCATCCTCCGTCCTCCATCCTGTCCTCACTCGGGAGAGGGTTGCATACGACGTGCTCTGCCTCCTGCGCCATCCTGCATGCATAGCATCGCTCCTGCATCCCTACTGCATCCTCACCCGGCACGCCAACGAACGCTTCGGCGTCGATGCCTGCAAACCGACGAACCATAATTTGTGCAAGTGTACATCGTACGATGCTTTTTTCTCGCTTGTCACCTCTTCCTCACCTTCCCCCTATCTGTGTATATTACCTGCTGATGTCGGCGTCCGGATGCTGTCAGCAAACCCCCTTTCGATCTTGTCCCAGTCCCTTCTGATCCTGGTTTACCCACTCACACTCGGACCCGTAGACGCAGTAACCGCTGCAGAGCAGAAATCGCACTTTCACGGTGAGGGTTTTGCATGTGCCGGTTCTCTTTACCCATTCTCTTCAGCAAAACGGCCAGACTCCTCGTCTCTTTTTTACCTTGGGAGTCTCCCGCAAATATTGCCTTCCCTTTTTTGCTTTGGCAAATGCACTATTGCACAACCGCACTACTGCACCTCATCCATTTTCAACATTTTTCGAGCACGTACCACACACCAATGCAACAAACCCCTGCCCAACTCGCTGCTTTCCTCTGCTTTTGGTTTACCCATTTCATAACCCTTGACTTGTTCGCGTCTGTCCCGCAAAGAACCGTTTGAGCCCTGGTCGCTTACCCTTGTTGCTCTTGCTCTTGCGTCCCTTGCAGGCCCTGGCCCTCTTCTTTACCCTCACCGGTCATTCTAGCCGAGCCAGCGCGAAAGCAGGGTCTTGAGTCAAAAAAGAAAATAAAAAAGAAAAGTGAAAAAGAAAAGAAATCAGAGCCGTGGCAGACTGTGGAAGCCCGCGAACATACAGGGGGTTGACTGCAACCTTGCGAGGGGTCTGATTCTTTTTTAACCTGTTACATGTTTGTGCCCTTGCTTCCATCGTACGTCGCGTCGTCTTTTCTGTCGTCAAAATGCCATCTGCCAGACGGAATACGGAGTACTACGTCGTACACACACTAAACCAAGCACGTTGTTGAAAACAGCCACAAGCCACAAAGTGCCTTCTTGCAAGATACAGTACGTTGTACGTTTTCTTTTTGCTACCCGACCGAGTCAAGCGTTGTATGCGTAATCTGCAACCCCGTGTAGCCAGCCTCTTTTTCTTCTTTGGGACCTCTTCCGATTCATAATGGCAGCCTCTGTCTTTTTGCTGCATCTCCTAGGCCTCTTGGCAGTTCCTCCCCTTCCTCCTCCTCCGCTTCCTCCGATTCCTCCACTTCCTCTTCTTCCTAGCCACTATAGAGAACGGAGCAGTATCGTTCGCCAACTTTTCCTTTGTCTTTCTTTTCCTCTTCGCCTCCCGGCATTCTTTCTCTCGCCAACTTCCGCTTCCACTTCCACTACCGCCACCGGAACTAGAAAAATTCTCACACAATCCCTGCAAAATACGCTCATGATCATCCCCTCCCCCCGGCGCACATTGTGCTCAGTGTGCTGCGTAGCCTGCAGCCTGTAGCCTGCATCTGGTGGAGGAAAACCCATCCTCTTCGGCGGTTGCCGTGTCTTCCTTGTCTACGTTGTGTCTGTTAGCTCTTCCGATTGTAAGTCGTAATCGTAAGCGTCTCTCACTCCCGTTCGCTTATTTACTTTTTTTCTTTCCTTGCTTTTATATAAAATAATATAATTCGCCTCCCCCTCCACTCCTCCTCCTCCTCCACCTGACCCAAACGACAAGAAATGACGGTGTCGAACTGTGAAACATTGCCCTGTGCCGGGCCTGATCGACGAACCGCCTATTTCGTGTTTGCCGCTGCGCAAACTCGCAGACGGACGAGAGCCTAAAGACTGGTCTGGCAGGCGAGCAAAGCGAGGAAGGCAGGGAAGGCAAGGAAGGCAAGGCAAGGTAAGCGCAGCCCGCAGCAGAACCAGACAAGCACAAACTCTGGTAATGGGGAGCCGACATGGCGATCAAAAATAAATAAAACTACATCGAGGGCCCGGCGACGATTTGACAATTTCGAACGGCTCACGATGACCGCAGCAGAAACAAGCAGAAACACCAAAACCAGCCACGTTCCGACTGAGGCTCGGAAAACATGAGAGACACAGATCGTGAGAACACAAACAGAGAACAGAAACAGAAACGAAACCAGAGCACTCCGTAGATCGCGGCCGAGACGGCCACGTCCACACAACGAGCAACCTCGGCGCCCGTGGAGAACCAAAAGTGAGCCAGTGACAAAACAAGAGGAGACGGAGGGTGCGTTAAAAAGAAAAGAAAGAAAGCCGACCAGGGGGGAGTGTGATTGCATTCCTCGCACAAGGGAACGGCGTGTTGTTTCTGGTGTTGCGGACGTGTGGGTGTGGACAAGACGATGGGAATTAGAATAGACACGGCGGGGGGAGAAGGTAAAACGACCTGCAAAGTACAGAAACAGAAAAAGAAACAGAGAAAAAAAGAAAAAGGTTAAAAGATAAAAAAAGGAACAAGGAACAAGGAACAAAAAGGGAAACCAACAAAGGCTGACAGGGGTCCATCCATGTAGACCAAAAGGGCCTTGCCGGCAATCCTTTTTACTTTTTATATCAGACAGCCCTGCTCCAACAACAAGGAGACAAGGAGGACGAGAAGAGGACGCAAGGTTTGTTGAAGACGGCCCATCACGACGACACATGGTCACAAAAGAGGAAAAAAGAGGAAAAGAAGACAGGCAGTAACGACAAGAGTACCACCTTTGCGCAATTCCCACCTTACTAGCACTCCCTCCCACCTCAGCACTCTGCTTGTCCTCCACTCTTGACTCTGCCCCGAGAGGCCGAATTGGGGACGATTGAAAGGGGCGGCAATACAAAGTTAAGAGTCAAATGCCAAAGCCAAAGCCAGAGCCAAAAGCCAGAGCCAAAAGCCAGAGCCAAAAGCCACAAAGACAAACTTCCAGGACGAGCAATCCAAATCTGCAGCCTGGCCTGAGCTGCATGAAAAAGTAACGCAGCACAGCACACCAACTCCAATACGGACACGCACCCACTCGACAACGCAACGCAACACTGCACTGCACACCTTGCAGACACACATGTTCTCACACGCAGTCGCGCACATACAGACACAACAGACAAAAGGACAGAAGGCTGCAGGCGAAAGTCGAAAGGCGACGGCGATAGGCAGAACAACAGCCTGTCGGCATTCTACCAGCCCCAATCTCTCACTCTGTCCACCCTCTCCCGCAATTACTAACTATTTCGTGCGGTGCTCTCAGCTCAGACTGCCCTCACGTCTGTCACACTCACCCTCTCCTCGCCATTACATACACCAGCAAATAATCCTTCACGCCCACCCCGTCTCCCCCGTTTTGCTCTCCTCTCCTTGCACGCTGTGCATCCGCCGCCCCCCTTGTGCTTGCACAAAATCACGATACGCTCCCAGCAACAAAGCCGGGTAGGGACAGAGGTAAAGAAAACGAGTCGTCGTCGTCATCCACCGTTGTTGTGGGCAATGGAGGTCGGCCGGCCCTGTCTTTTGTTTCCTTGTTTCCACCTTGATTTTACTCTCTTGCATGTCCCATCTTGATTGTTTTTTCAGTCTTGTTGTGTCTTGGACCAATTCGGTTATCGAATTCTCCCACCTCCGGATATTTTGACATTTTGTTTTTTACCTTGCATATTTTACCATTTCCATTTTCCCATTATTTTCCGCATTATTTTTTCTTTCGCTCTGGCCATTACTCTGTCTATCCAAACTACTATTCGATCTGCTCATCCTCTTCGTTTTGTTGTTTCCCCTTCCTCTCTTCTCCTCCGCTCTCCTCGCCTCTCCCACGTCTCCTCCCCCCCCCTCCCTCCTCTCCCCTTCTCCGCATCGCCTCGCGATGGCCACATCGTTGCACAGCTACCCGCGGTCACCCAACTCGTCCACACGCTCGTTTGACTCCTCGTCTGTCGCCTCGCCGTCCGCCACCTCGCCGCGGCTGCTACCCGCCTTGCACGGACGATTCAACACGAGTGGCACTGGCACTGGCACCGGCAGCGGTAGCAGCAGCATCCCAAGCACAAGGTCAGGATCGCTGGCCTTGTCCGACGGGCGCCCGCCGACGCGAGGACTGGGCTTCACGGGCACACGACCACCACCAGCCTTTGCAACCATCTGGTCGGGACTACCTGGAGCAACTGCAACGCAACAAGGTGTCGGCGTCCTACCTGGCGGCGTCGCCAGCCGTCTGCCCGCCTTGCACGAGCGCGATCGCAGCCACAGCGACCAACACGACCACCAGCAGCCGCGGCCGCACGACACGCCCTACGGCTACCGGCACAGCCACGACCACCATCAGAGTCACCTGTTGTACGGCCACGAGGCGCACGAGCAGCACACGTACGACCAGCACACGTACGAGCACAAGCACCACCATCACCACCATCACCACCCAAACACCAACCCGCCACGGCCAAACGCCTTCTCGCACTCGCACTCCCATTCCCACGCGCACACCCACCCCTACTCGTATTCCAGCATGGGCCGCGGCGACTCGCTGCCGCCGACCGACTCCCTGGCCAGCACGCCGGGGCCGGGCTACATTGCCTTGCCGCCGCTGCACCATGGCGGCGGCGGTGGCGGGGGAGGCCGTGGAGGCAGCGCAACAACCACAGCAGCAGCACCCCCACCACCGCCATCAGGATCGACATCCATTGGCGGTCCTCAACATCCTCTACCACCGTCAGTACCTTATAATAGCAGCTTAGCGGCCGCCCACCACCACCAACAACAACAGCATCATCAACAACAACATCAACATCAGCAACAGCATGCAGCCAAGCGCGCGTACCGCCAGCGCCGCAAAGACCCCAGCTGCGACGCCTGCCGCGAACGCAAAGTCAAGTGCGACGCCACCGAAACGACCAGCTGCTCCGAGTGCTCCAACCGCCAGGTCAAGTGCCAGTTCACCAAGGAGACCAACCGCCGCATGTCGTCCATCAAGCAGATGCAAGACATGGAGCGCCAGCTGGACCGGCTGCGGCGCGAGAACGGCGGGCTGCGGCGCATTTTGCAGGAAAGCCGGGCGCAGGGCGGTGCCAGTGGTGGTGCCGTCGCCAGTGGAAGTGGGTCTGTGTCTGTGGCCGGGTCCGGGTCCGGAAGTGGGCCGACGCCGAAACGGGAAGGAACGGACGGCCCGATCCGGACGGACCTAGATTCGGACACACCCATGGCCGACCACAGCGCCATGGAGGACGACGACTACTACGAACACCAGCCGCGCCAGCTTTCGCACATGCCGCACCTCCAGCATCCAGCGCACAGCAGCAGTCAAATCCTCCCCTTGCTGCCGATCCCGGACATCGGTTCGAATCCACCACGGCGGCATCGGTGGACACCGCGGCTCTTGCCGTTTTCGGCTTCGACAAGACAACCACCATCCGCCTATCCCTATCCGTCCTCGACGTTTGCTGGCAGCAGCAGTGGCGGCAGCGCACCACAGCCGCTCTTTGACCTCGGACGGGCGCGCGCCAACGTGCGCATGTTTGCGCGCGGCCTCTGGGCGCCACCGGCGACTGCGCTGACACACGCATCACAGACGCAAGCGTCTCTCACGACGACGACGACGAGCAATCTTCCTGAACTGCCTCCGCGCGACATTGTCGACAACCTACTGCACGCCTACTATGCCTCGATCCATACCATGCTGCCCATGGTCCATTGGCCGACGTTCCAGCGGCAGGTGGACGAGCTGTACCGGACGGGCCCCGGCCCCGAAACGCCGCCCTCGTTTGTCGCCCTTTTCTTTGCTGTGCTAGCGGTCGGCGGTTTGTTTAGCACGTACTTTGTCGCCGCGCCCACGCCGTCATTTACCGCCGTCCACCTCGCCGAGGCCGCGCGTACTCTGATCGATCCGTGGACGATGACCGCGTCGGTGACGCCGACATTGGACGATGTCCGCACGCTGCTCCTGCTCGCCATCTTCCTCAACGAGTCCAACCTCAAGTCGGCCGCTTGGACGTGGCTGTCGAGCGCTGTGCGCATCGCCCAGGCCATGGGGCTGTATGTGGCGCCGGCCGACGGCAGCGTCGAGGGCCTGGAGTCCGAAACACGCAGCCGTGTCTGGTGGTCCCTGTACGTCGTGGACCGTACGATGGCGCTCGACGCAGGCAACCGCCCCGCGCTCATCCAGGACGACGACTGCGACGTTGCTCTGCCGACAGACGACGGTACGGGCGACCCGTCGACGCATCCGCAGACCATGCTGGCGGTCTTGGATGTCGTGCGCGCTTACACGGCCCTGGGACGACTGCTCACCGCCGCTTCGTCGTCCGTGTCTCCTGTTGCCGGAAACGACGGCAGCGGCCTGCCCCCCTCGTCGCCTCTCTCGACACCCTCGCCGTCTTCGTCCTTTGCCGTTCCAGGTGCAGGAGCAGCGTCCGCCGGTTCTGACGCACAGATCCCCGCAACCCATTTGGCCACCTTCGACCAGCACTTTGCTGCCTGTCTGCGCGTGTTCCCGGCCGTCTGCGACCCGGCCGTCAGCCACTATGCGGACGTACAGCCGCCGCTCTCTCTGCAGCTGCTCAACCCACTTGCATACCTGCTTCATGCTCGCCTCGTCCTCCATCGCTACAATTTGGCGCCGTACGCTGGGGATCCTGCCAGCCACCACCATGCGCAGCACCCACAACACAATCAAGCTTACAATCAAACTCAGAATCAAATTCAAAATCAAAATCAAAATCGACATCAACAAGCTCGTCTCACGGCCGTGGAACAGTGCACCCACACGGCGCTCGAGACGGCCACGCTCCTCCGCCGCTCGGGTCTCGCGGTGGACGGCAACCCAAGTCCGCCAAACGAACAGGCCGTGGCATGGGCCGCCAGCGCCACGTCTCTCTTGACAATGCATCTCCTCCGCTGCACTCTCTTCCTGCTGCTGACGGGCCACACCGACGCCGCCGCCTTGCTGGTGCGCGCGCTGTCTGCCATTGCCGTCGTGCACCGCGACGTGGCTGCACCCTGCGGCCGTTTTTTGGCCTTTTTCACGTCGTGCCTGGCGTTTAAGCGCGCCGAGTACACGGCGTATCTGGCACGGACAGCGCCGCCGACGCCGCACACGCCGCACACGCCGCAAACACTGCAAGGCCCACCATCGGCGCGCCAGCAAACCGTACCGCCGGCCGCTGCACCGCAGTCCTTGTACGACGTTCTGGTCCGTGACGAAGAGCTGCTCGTGTACGTGAGCGCCGACCTGCAGTCGTCGCCCGAACGTGCGTGGGTGTGGGACAGCGAGGCGGGACCGGGACCAGCACCAGCACCGACACAATCCGCTCCGAGCGACTTGCCCACCGACGCGCCGCCCTCGTCTGCCAATGCCTTGTCCCGCCCCGATGTGCGGATGGGCCTCTCGGACGAAGAGAGTCGCGACTGGGGCGGCTGGGACCGGCTCGAAAACCGCGTGCGCAGCCTGGCCTCGCTCGTCGGGCAAGGTTCCTCTTCCGCTTCCGCTTCCGCTTCCGCTTCAGCCTCGGCCTCGGCCTCGGCCTCGGCGCCAGCGTCAGCTTCAGCGTCCGGTCCACTGGCAGCCACGGTGACGGCAAATGCAATGGCCGCTGGACCGCCACCGCCCACATCCTACTCGACGACCTCGACTACCACCGGCACCACAAGCCCTGTTGCCCACTATACGCACCAGCCCGTGTCGGCCCTTTCGTCGATGCCGTCCATGGCCGCCATGCCGCCCATGCCCACGTCCATGTCCATGTCCGCGTCAGCCTCGTCCGCAGCGACATCGCCACACCCTTCGACCCTGCCGCCCCTGCAGCCCGGGCCACGGCCGCAGCTTCCACTACCAGCACAGCAGCACCAACAGCAGCCTGGCTTCGCCATGTCCGACGCGCCGGGCGGGTCGGCAGCTGCATCGCGCCGCGTGGACAGTCCTGTGCCTGCAGCGAGTGGAAGTGGCGGCAAGTCCAAGAACCAGGACCGCATCAGCATCGCCAACATCATATAGGCGGGATTGCGGTCGTCATGTTTAATCCTATCCTCTCTTACGTCCTTCGTTCGCCTCTTTGTTCGTCTCTAATAACGCCCTTATGTCTGTATTGCATATTGTATTTCTTCCCCAACTGTAGTCATATCTCCGTCTAATTGGAAACGGCCGGCTCTGGTGTCTTTGCTTCTAGCGTCTGTTATTCTTGGTCGTTTGCTTTATTACTTGTTTGTGTTGCTTTCGGACTGGAGAAAACAAAAGGTGCAAAGGGGATTTAGGATACGTCTGTATCGGATGTATTGCTTATTATATGTTTACTCCGCTTCAAGTGCTGACCTCGCATCCCGTAGTGACTGCAATACGTCGCCGTCTGAATAAAGCCTCCGAATAGAGTCATGGCGGACCAGTTGCGCAGCTCATCCGCACGTACCCACTAGCAATATCTGCTCGCTCAATTTTCTGCCCATTTTGCCCATTTGCCCCCTTGAACGGCAGATGCCGCAGGCGGGCGAGGCGGGCGCGCGCCCTGAACGACGGCTCGTCCGGGCTGCACGGTTGCTGGATATACCGAATTAACTGCGAACTGCTGCAATTACTTACAGTATCTTTACATTGTGTATTTCGTATTCATAAGGAAGGCTGGATGAACCTTCCGTATTTGGAAAGCAGCACTGTTCCGGCAGGCACGGTGGAGAGGGGACGGCTGCAAAGGAAGGCGCGATAGTGAATCGATGGCGCCTTTTGGGCAGTCGCGGCCCATGTGGATATGTCTTCGTTGTGACGAATTGGTTGAGGCGGAAAAGATCAGAGTTTAAAAACGAACAAAAACGAAGGCGGATTCAGCAATAAAGGTCGACCGCCCCCGGCAACAGTCGACACTCTTCTCGCGTCTCCTACTCTTTCAATCCAATTCACTGCCGATATACGACGAGCGCCAATTAGGCATCGAGTGATCTGCATCTCATCTTTTGACGTCTGGCGACAAGCGAAAACCTTCTGTTTTATATTTCTTCCGCATCACATCTGCAACCACTTCTCTCCTCCACTCGTTGTCAGCCACCCCTCCCCCCTCCCCCTCTCCTCCACCATGTGTCACCACACAACCCAGCCGCTGCACATGCTGCTTGCGGCCCTGCCCAAGTGCGAACACCACATGCACGTCGAGGGCTCGCTGTCGCCCGAGCTGCTCTTTGAACTCGCCCAGCGCAACGGCGTCGCCCTGCCGCCCGTGTCCGAGGACGCCGCGTTTGCGTCCGTCGAGGCCCTCTATGCCCGCTACGCCCGCTTCACGTCGCTCGACGATTTCCTGCACTACTACTACATCGGCATGTCCGTCCTGCAGACGGCTGCCGACTTTGAGGCCCTCGCCATGGCCTATTTCGAAAAGGCCCACGCCGCCAACGTGCGCCACGCCGAGATCTTCTTCGACCCGCAGGTCCACCTGGCCCGCGGCGTGTCGCTTGCCGACGTTGTGCGCGGCCTGCGTGCCGCCAGCCGCCGTGCCATGTCCGAGCTGGGCGGCATGACGAGCCTGCTGATTCCGTGCCTGTTGCGCCACCTGCCCGTCACCGACAGCGGCCAGCTCGTGGCGCAGCTGCGCGAGGGCTACTGGGCGGACGGCGACGAGGCGGCACAGGAGGCGGCGGTCGTGCAGGCGCTGGACGAGGCCTTTGACAGGGAGGCGGACGCGGATTCGCTGCGCGGCGCGCTGGCCGGGCTGGGCCTCTGCTCGTCGGAGCGCGATCTGCCGCCGACGCTGTGGCGCGATGTGTTCCGGGAAGCCAGACGGCACAGCGTGTCGGCCCCAGACGACTCGACAACAGGTTTGACAACAACACAGGCAAAACCAAAACCCGCCCGCCGCGGTGCTACCCGCATCACCGCCCACGCCGGCGAGGAGGGCCCGGCCGAGTACGTCGCCCTCGCCCTCGACCACCTGGGCGCCCAGCGCATCGACCACGGCATCGCCGCCGCCACCGACAAGGACCTCCTGGCCCGCCTGGCCGCCGACCAGATCCTGCTGACCGTGTGCCCCCTGTCCAATGTCTGCCTCAAGGCCGCGCCGTCCGTCGCCGACGTGCCCATCCGCGTCTTCTTGGACGCCGGCGTGCCTTTCTCCATCAACTCGGACGACCCGGCCTACTTTGGCGGCTACATCCAGGAGAACTACTGCGCCGTGCAGGACGCGCACAACCTGGCCGCGGCCGACTGGGCCACGATTGCGCACAATGCCGTGCGCGGCAGCTGGTGCGACGAGGCGCGGAAGACGGACATCCGGAAGGAGATTGATAGCGTCATGGCGGCCTGGGAGGCGGGCACCCTGTCTGCACCCAAGGCGTAGGTTGTGGATGGGATGGTTGTTTTGTGGTTTATGGAATTTTGTTTGCCATGGCGTCATCATTGCAAAAGGAGCATTGTTACGGAGCACGATATTTATTCAACATTTTAATATCACGACTTGTACTTTTATTTCAAGTTTGTACATCATTCAATTTATGTTTTGAGAAGGTAAAACGTACGCCTCGGCACAAATGCCTGCTTTCATCTCCTACTCCTCGGAGACTCCAGTGAGACCGCCGACAATGCCCTGCATACGGCGACCCAACAAATCGTCCGAGCTCTTGAGCTTGACCAGCTCCTTGTCGCCCTTGCTGTCCTTGGCGCGCTGCCGCCCCAGGGCCTTTTGCTTTTTGGACTTTGGCTTGCCCGCGCCGGCGGTGCTGTTGTTGTCTGGTGTCGTGGCGGCAGACGACATGGTAGTCGATGTCGACGTCGATGTCGGTGCCGTCGTGGAACCAGACGATGGCGCAGCCGGTGCTGTCATCGTGGCCTGTGCCGGCGCCGGCTCGGTCGACGCATTCGTCTTGCCGACCTTTGTCATGCGAATCATCTCCAGCGGCGCCTCGTCGCCGCTCGACTCGGTCCGCGCCGACGAGACAACGCGGCTGTGTCCGGCCGTATAGGGCGTCGTACCTGTTCCATCCGTGTCTGGCGGTTGCGTCGTTGCCGTTGCAGTCTTTGTATCGACCGACAGCGCTGCTTTCGTGGCCGGAGGCGTCGCGAGTGTCGGCGCCGCCTCGTTCTGCTCCGACGTGTTGGTCCGCGAGGTTGTGCGGCCGCGTGGCATGCGACCCCCAGCAGAAGCCGCATCGCTCCGGGCCCGCACCTCATCGGCGTGCTGGAACGCATCCTGGATCCATCCGGACGCCCGCTGGAACCACTTCCAGGCGGGCGGGTAGACGGCCGGGAACTGCAGGAAGCCGTGGCTGACGCCCGGAATCAGGACGACCTCGGCCACATCGCGATCGTCGAAGCCTTCGGTGCGCGCGTCGGATTCGCGGTACTCGACGCGGCGGCCGCCCGACGCGTAGTAGGCGGCCTTGACGCGGCGCAGGCGGCCGGCAAAGATGACCGTGTCGTCCACGAGGGGGTCGCGCTCGCCCGTCAAGAAGTAGGTCTTGGGAAAGTGGGCGAGCAGCAGATCCGGCGCCAGAATGGGCGACAACAGATAGTCCTGGGAAAAGTCGGGGCGGTTGTGGGGGCCAATGTACAAGATGATCATGGCGCGCATCATCTCGGGCGTGAGGACGCGGTCGTTAAAGTAGGAGATGGTCGACGCGGTGGCGAGCTGGGTGCTGATGGCCTGCGGGTGGTAGGACGCAGTGGGTGCTTTCGAGTCGCTGCCGCCTCTTCCGAGCGGGCTGGCGCTGGCTCCGCGGACGGTCTCCGATTCGATGCTGTCGGTTGCCGTCCCGGTCGTCAGTCCCAGCTCCCGCTTCCATTCGTTTGTCGGCGTCTGCGGCCGCGAGTACGACGACACGTTGACGTGCGAGTAGGCCGGCTTGGGCCTGCGGGCTTTGGATCGCACGAGCTCGTCGTCATCGTCGTCGTCGTCGTCGTCGTCGTTGTCGAAATCGACATTTCCGTTGCTGTTGCGATCCTTCCCCTGACTGGCGTCGTCGCTGCTTGGCACCGCCTTGGTCATGGTCAGATCCTCATCGTCCGACTCGTGCGGTGTGCCCGCGAGGTCGCTGTACTGCTTCGTCTTGCGGCGCAGCACATTGCGGTTGGTCGCGCGCGTGCGGCGGTCTCGGATCAGGGCCATTTGCTCGTCCGACATCCAGTTGCCAATGTTGACGTCCATGCAAGGGTACGTCAGCACCAGGCCATCGGGGAGAGGCAGCCGCCTTGTCGAGCGGTGGCCACCGGAGGAGGTGCCGGGTGCCGACTGCTGGGCCAGCATCAGCGTCATGGCCGTGGCCAGGTTGCCACCCGCACTGTCGCCCGTGACCACCACGCGCACAGGATCGTGGGCAGCCAGTCCGATGCACCGACCACGCGAATGGACGAGCGTCGCGTAGGCGTCGTAGCACTCGTTGAGGGCGTACGGGAACGGGTACTCGGGGGCCTTTTTGTAGTCCAAACTCAGTACGGGCAAGCCCGTCTGGACGGCCCACGAAAAGAGGCGGTCGTCGTTGCAGCGCGGGTCCATGGCGACGAAGCCGCCACCGGGGAAATCCAAAATGACGCGGTTGAGGCCGGATGCGCGCAGATGGTCGATGGATCCGTCATAGTACAGCCACGCCATGATGGGCTGGTCCTGGTAGTCGCTGGTGGCGGGGCGGGGGATGCGGACGAGGCGGGCCGGCCAGCGGGTGAGCCGTGGGTGCAGCAGCCCCTGGAAGAACCGCAGATAGGGCGTGGTGCCCTTGTTCCAGCTGACGCGGAGGTGCTCCACGGTGAGATTGCCGCGGACCTTGCGGACCTTTTCATCGGCCTTTTCGGCGGCCACCAAGTAGAAGCCCGAGAAGACAATGCTGGCCAGGTCACGGAGCCACTTGGTGCGGATCTTCATGGCGGTCCAGAAGCCGGCGTCGAGCGCGGTCAGGACCCACGTGGCACGGAAGAAGGTGGCATCGTACATGTTGGTGAGCGGGTCGGGGCTGGCGAGGCCGACGAGAGTGCTAAAATTGCGCGAGGCGTAGAGGTACAGCATGGTGAGGACGACCACCTGCCAGGCCGTCAGGCGTTTCGAGAGGAGCCGCGAGAGCGACCGGGCGCCGGGGGGTCCATTCTTGTCGCCGCGTGCGAGGTAGGTCGACCAGAAAGCGAGCACGGCGAGGACCTGCAGCCGTCGCGACTTGATGGACGGGCGGCCCAACACGTGGTCGATCATGGCGTTGTTTTGTTGGAAGTGTCGTTTATGACTGGTACTCGATGCCTTGCCGAAAAAGGCGATGGCCCGAACGTGTGGGTAAAGGTTGTGTCCGGCTGTGTACAACAAGCGACGCCGACGTTCGTCAGACCCCGATCTTGAGATATGGGAAGGGTGGGATCAGTTATTAGGTTGGGTGGATCGACAACTTCAATGGTGGGCTGACGGAGTGGCCAACGGAACAAAGAAAACGCATATGTGATGGTGAAATCAGGGACTGTGGCCCAAAACAGGACGAGATGCGATAATGAACAAAGAACGATGGAAGAAACAAGGAGAATGAAGAATCAAAGACAGGAAAAGGACGGGAAAGGACAGAAAAGAAATGGTATGCGAAATTCTCGTTGGATTCGCAAACTCCCTGGGTCTCGTCAACTGTGTTTCGTGCTATTCTGATATCCTCATCGTCTTCTGTGTCGTCGTTCGCCTTCTTCTTTCGATGCTTCCGGGATGTTCGCCAGTGTTGAGAAAAGACCGGACAAGCAATTTGGTATATTTTCCTGTTTGTTCTTTTCTGTCGTCTTCTGGGCAGCCCTTCTCTTTTGTCCTTTTTGCCCTGGTGATGTGTTTGCGTGTCCATAATGTCCTGGTTATGGCCGTTTTCTGACATGTGAAATCATGTTGGCGTTAAACAAAAGTGTTAGTCGCGGAGGGCCCGGCCTCGCACAGTGCCAGGCAGTTCTCTGCTCCCACTCTATGCGTCATGTGCGACCTCAAGAATACCAGTGGAACGCACTAATCACCATGCCCCACAGCGGTTGTGTGAGGGTGAGTGAGATTCGCTCCAAATCGTCCGCATGTGGTATTTGAAAGCGGTTTATGTACAGTGAAATGGTGGTTCGCACTGTACTCGCGCCATTTCTGACGCAGCACCCATTATTTGCCCCGTGTAGAAAGGTCGTGTTTAGCCATTATTAACCGCGAATAACCAGTGAAGTCTTGAGATGCACATAAAGGATGCCATCCTTCCAAAGTTTCCAGAAAAGTCCAAAGTCCAACGTCCAAAATAACAGCCAATGGTTTGGTTTATTTCGCTAGGCTGAAGCAAGCAAACAAAAGTATATGCAAAAAGACGAAAGTGCAACGAGAAAGCACAAAGCCAATGCAACAATCCAAATATCTCTTACCCGTGCTCGACACCATTCCAGATTGCCCCTGTTCCTGCCCCCGAGCTCCTTCTTCGTCTTGAGCATTGCCAGCATCTGCCGTTCCCTTACCGTGAGGGCCGTGGAAGCGTGTTTATCCAACCACCAGCGCTGCGTACCGTCGTGAATGTTGGTGGAGGTGCCGAGGACGCTGTGGCAGAGTCGTCGAGTTCGTATTCGTCACCGTCTTCGCGGTAGTCGCCGGTACGTTAGCAGATAGCATGCGTCTTGCCAGTCTTGCCCTGGATCGAGTGTTCTTCGTTCTGGTACGGGAGGAAGAAAAAACGGGTCAGTACTGGGAGGTAGTTTTACAACAGCAGAAACAAGGGGATCAACAAAATAAAAAACGTACGCGGAACTTAGGGTGGTTGTGCTCGGCGCGGGAGCTAGCCAAGTGGTGGTCGCGAACAAACTCCTGGGTCTTGCGGAGGGCCTCCTTGTCCATGTTCTCGAGGAAGGACATGCACAGCTTGATGTCGGAAATGAGGGCGTCGCAGCGGTTCCAGGTAAAGTCCTCGCGGACGACAACGCGCAGCATCTTGAGGCCGTCGGTGTTGGGGGCCATGGTGTAGGCGGGGACGACCCAGCCGCGGACGCGCAGCTGGTGGGCAAGGGCAAACTCGTCGTAGACGCGCTCGCTACCGTCGTCGGTCTTCTCCCTGACGTCGGGCAGGCGGAAGGCGACAAGGGGCAGACCCTCGCCCGACTTCTTGGACATGATGACAAAGCCAAGCTTCTCGAGCGAGTCGGACAGGTAGTCGGCGGTGCGGGTGAGGTTGGACATGATGGCGCGGTAGCCGTGCTTGCCGAGGCGGATCAGCTGGTAGTACTGGCCAATGACCTGGGAGGCGCCCTTGCTGAAGTTGAGGGTGAAGGACGACTGGTCGGCGCCCAGGTAGTTGATGTTGAAGACGAGCTCCTGGGGCAGGTACTCGGCGGAGCGCCAGACGACCCAGCCGACACCGGGGTAGACAAGACCGTACTTGTGGCCAGACACGTTGATGGACACAACCTTGGGCAGACGGAAGTCCCACTCGAGGCCGGGCATGACGAAGGGGGCGACGAAGCCACCGCTGGCGGCATCGACGTGGATGGGGACGTCGAGGTTGCGCTCGACCAGCAGGTCGTTGACGGCCTTGACGTCCTCGTACTCGCCGGTGTAGGTGGTGCCCAAGATGCAGCAGATGCCAATGGTGTTCTCGTCGATGAGGTCGACGACCTGCTTCGGGTCGATGACGAAGCGGTCCGGGGTGCAGTAGACGAGCTTCTCCTCAATCTCAAAGTAGCGGGTGGCCTTTTCCCAGCAGACCTGGACGGCCGAGGACATGATGATGTTGGGGTTCTCGTACGACTTGCCCTCAGCCTTGCGCTTGTTCTTCCAGCGGCGCTTCATGGCCAGGACACCGAGCATGATGGCCTCGGACGAACCGACACAAGACGTGCCGACGGCGCCAGCGCCGGACTCGGGGCCGACCGGGGCGTTGAAGAGGCGACCGATCATGGAGACACAGCGGTTCTGGATCTCAGCGGACTGGGGGTACTCTTCGTAGTCGATAAAGTTCTTGGAGAACGACTCGGTCATGAGCTTCTCGGCCTCTTCCTCCATGTAGGTGGTGACGAAAGAGGCGAGGCTAGGTTTCAATACATTAGCAGCGGATACCAACGGGGAAGGAGGGAGAACGAGAACGAGAGAACGTCAGGCAACAGAGACACCTACTTGAGCATGGGGTTGCCGTCCAGGCTGAGCTCGTCCTTGATCATGCGGTAGGCGACCTCCTTGGGCATCTCGGTCTCGGGGATCTCGTGGCGGGGCAGGTCGGCCGAGGCGAAGCGGGAGCCGTAGACAGAGGTGGTGAAGCAGTCGGCATCGTTGGCGAGCTGGAGGTGGGACTTCTTGACCTCCTTGTCGATGTGCTTGCCGGTGGTGGCATCTTCATGCTTGATCTCGGCGAGATGGACCATGATGGCGGTGGTGCGTGTTTGTTGTCTGGATTTGGAGTGATCTACGTGTCAGTACGGTTGTTGCTGCTGTGCAGTCTCTGTTTTACTGTTTTATAGACGAAAGTTAGCAAGCTGGAGCGCCGGATAGAAATGAAGGTTACTGATTTTTGGTCGCCCTGGGAAATAAACAAAATAATAACAGACAGAAACAGAGAGATTTAGAGGTCAATGGGTGATGGGGACCGTATCTTACCAGGCGAGGTGCAAAACAACACGGAAGACAAGGTGATCGGCCGTGTGAGAGTGAGGCTAATGGGGTGGTTGAGTGAGAATGGGAGAGAAACGAGGCAAAATAAGAGAATGGAGGGGGGGCGATGGGGATAAATAAAAAGAAACAAGAAGTACTAGAAGTAGAAAGTGGAAGTGAAGTGACAAGGGCGGGGGGGCAGCCCAGTTTGAAGGAAAGAAGTTGCGTTCCTGGTTTCCCAAAGCAGGACAGCTTCGTCGGGAGAGCTAAGAGAGGGGGGGTTAAAACAGATAAAGAGGAAAGAGCTACCCAGTGTAGGTGGCCATGCATGTTGGACACATTGCATGCGAGAAGCTGCATTGCTGCTCTTGCCTTTTGGGCCTTCTTTCCCCTTTCCCTTATTTCTTACGTTTCCTTACGTACTTTTGTGTCGTCTCGTCGCACCTTCCTCGTCTCACACGGCCCCCTCCCTCGCTCCTTCCCTCCCAGCCTGCATCGCACATTGCCACACGTCATACGTCCAAAGACGGCCATTTGCCATTCTTGTCTCCCAGGGTGATGCAGTCTAGACGTCCCCATTGGTACTGCTCGTTCTGGCCATTGTCGTTATGCCGTTGATTTTGTTCTTCGCTTCCTCTTTTCTTTTGGGTTTGCACTACCCCAACGACAAGATTTCTTGGCTTTTTGTCTGCTTTGGGAGCTTTTTGGGAGCTTCCTGGTCTGGCGGAGTGGAGAAGGAGGGGGGATGGGGCGGAAAGAGCGAAGTAGTGGGGCGCCGTGGCATACGGCAAGGAAGGCACGGCCAGCATTGCCAACTGAGCGCCTATGTAATTACACGTTACAGCGGCGGTCTGCGAGATCCAACGCCAGCTCGCCAGATAGTGCGAACACAGCGCCAGAACATCGGTGTGGAGCAGCTGGGCAAAAGCCACGTCGAATACGGCTGGGGCTGCCGAGGGAGACAACAATCGAGACAAATCGAGACAAATCGATACAAAATGGGCCGACGGAGAGTCGTTGCTGGCGATTGCAGACTCAGTGGTGGGTGGCGATCTCCATCCGCTCTCGTGGCAAATCGAAAACGACACCGTGACAGGGCAGACGCAAAAAGGCGTTCCTTTCTCTACTTTTAGATCTTTAGGCGAGTCGATGAGGTGGAAAAACAGTGCAGCATCGGTCAAGGTGTGGACCCTTCTGTGCCATGTGAGCTTGTGTTCCCGTATTGAGCGTCTGAGTGTGTACTTCGTACGGCGTGTGTTGTACATCCTTGCACGAGCAAAAGCTTGTTCTGAGCTCGTTTGCTTGGCCGTGCATTGGTCCAGCTAGCACGAGAGGCGGTGTCCGGTGTCCACCTGTTGTTGCCGCTTCGGTGGACAGCAGTCTCGTTTTCCTCTTTTCTCGCTTCCCGGAGTCTGTTCCGCGGGAGTGCAGAAACGAAACATTTGTCTTATCGTCTATGGATATAGCTGACTCGTAAAAAGTAATGCTATGTATTGTTTCAAGAACGAGACGTGGCCTCCAATGCAGGAGAAGAGGAGGGATGCGAGGTAGCGTCGGAGTGCAGGAGGGAGCTGGGCAAGGGGCCTGTCAGACGTAAAGCAGCAATTATGCCGTGAAGCAGCCCAGTCGCCAGGTTTCGGCGTCAGAGAATTGGAGGCCTACAATGGAGAGGCCTGAAGCAATGTGTCGTATATTGCGCATTGTCTCCAGGCTGCGGTCTGCCTCCTTCCTGTTTGTAAGATATGTCTATGGACCAGCATTGAGGTACAGGCACAGGGGAGGAAGGAGGGGCAGGAAACACGCGTTCGAAACAGACTATGCTGGCTCGGCTGGCTGGTGACATCATTGAGCCGTTTCTGGCAGGCGCCACAGCCCTGACTTGGGTGCATGTGAGTGCGTCGTCGCACACAGCGGGGTTCTGTACGAGCAGCGGTCCATGCGCTACGCCGCGACCAAAGTGCCCTGAAGGCCCCTAGCCAGCCGGTCACAATCGACGGCCAAGTGACAACCCCCCATCCCCTCCCCTCTCTCCCCTCCCACTTCAGACGAGGTCCAACGACCAACGCCCACACCAGATGGTCGCGTAACACACAACCCATCGGGACGGTCCTGTCAAAAAGGCTTGGCTTTTTTTGTATATTCGCCAGAGTCTGCGACCAGATGCGTTGGCCAAGACGGTCCTCCTTTGCTTCCATTCAGCTACGTCCGGAAGAGGGAAAGTACAACAACGGAGATGCCCATGATTCCCATGAAAACGACACGGCAGACGCGAGCGTGGACTCTTTCTGACTCCCCGTGGCCGAGACAGCGTTCCTGGTTCGACAACTCCACACGCCAGCTGCGATGCTAGTGTTCGTGGGCTAGGGAAGCTGTGCTGGGGCTGAAATGCGACGATGCACGATGGGTGTGGTATCGCAGTTGGGGGATTGGGGGTGAGTGTGGGAGAAGGTCCAATAAAAAGACCATACACGCCCACATCGTGTGATGGTGCTGAAAGGGGGGAAGCGCAATTCTCCAACATGGAACATCGGCACGACCGACTGCCCACCGTGTTGGTATCAAAGAAAACATGGGGGATAGGGGGAGGGGGGGAAGGGGGGCCTCGACCAAAATCAATCTTCACAAGAAACGTTCAACGCAGAAAGTGCTTCCTGGTAAATCGCGCAGGCTGGCCGCGAAACGAGAAATGAGGAGAGCAATGGAGAGAGGAAGCTGGCTGGGAAGAAGCTGGCTGGGAAGCTAGATTCGAGCTTGCGACCTGGTTGGTGGAGAACGGCCGCATGGATCGGCAACAAAACGATCCGTGGTGCGTTGCGGATGTGGTCGTGCCCAACGACAAAATGGAGCAACAAAGTGCAGCTCTTCTTTTGAAAACGGCTGCGTGGTGAAGGAACCTAGCCAGCCGGCGTTTGTTTGTGTAGCGGCGGATAGCCGTCATGTCTATGCTTAACATCCGTATTGCTGCTGCGCCATGGGGTCCATGCTGGTAGTTTGAATATGGCATGTCCTGTCACAGGTGATGGAAGATGCCAACCGCCATTCTTTCGTGCGGAGCAGTTGCTTTGTCGTTCTTGTATACCTAGTCCTTCACCTAGAATAATGCGCCATACGTCTCGCATCGGTGAGCAGCCTACTTGGACAAAGGAATCAAAGGACAGCACGAGGCGACGAGACCTGGTGAGATGCTGTGTCGAGCTGTTGAAAGCAGAAAAGCCTCCCACTATCCGGCGCTGCCCAGATGGCATCCGTCTCTCTCTTGGTTTTCTGTTCTCGACTGCCGCTCTTCATGTCTTTTGTTACTCAATTCCTGTCCATTATTTCCAAAGACTTTCTACGACTATTATACCTCACCCCCATCCCCCCCCCCTTTCCGGTCTATCTTCCTCGTAAGATCATGACTTAAATGAGACAAGGCAAGCTTTCAGGATTGCCATAGCTTGCCGTTCTGCCGCTGCCAAGACTTGCGTTTCTTCAAGAAGCTGTAAGCTCCAGGTGTGGGGTCAAGGCATCCGATCGACAGGGCCAATGCCGTCTGCCAAGACTGTCTCAGACGAACAAGTCGTACAGACGGAGTAACACGAGCTACATATATTCCATGGCCAAATAAAGTACTGTGCATCGTTTTCATATTGCATTTCCGAGCTATCCATTAAAGAACATGCTTTTGTTGTGAGAAACGCGACAAAATTACGTCTGCAAATCCCAAATCGAAACAACGAGGAATAAGAGATACACGATAAAGCCGCTCCAGAGAAGCTGAAGCAATGATACTAAACAACAAACACCAACGTTTGTTGTCTTCCCTGGTTTTGCTTGCAGATGCAAAAAGAGGGGACGAGAGAAACAAACAAAAAAATCATATCGAAAACAAAGCAACCATTTGCAAAAACCGCCCGCCCCGTATTTGTATAAAAAAAGACGCAACACCATATTCAGACAAGAGTGTGTGCCAATGCATAAAAAGACGAGAGAGAACAAAACAATCAAAGACAGAAGGGTCAAAGTAGACACCCATAAAAAAACAAAGTGCCGTTGGGGGTATTGAAACGACCAGAGAGTACAGAGACATTGAAAAAAAAAAAAAAAGGAAAACAAAACGGAGAAAGAAAAGCCAAACATGTAATAGAAACAAGCATAAAAATATACAAAGGTGAGGAGGGACGAGCCGGCGCTCGCCAAGAGGAGCGAGAGGGAACAGCAGGACGGTCGGCCATCAAAGTCGGGAGGTGGCGAGGTAAGGGGTCGTGGATCAAACAAAAAAGACGTGAATTACCTTTGACCGCAATATTCAGTCTTGACTCGCCCCGCGGCCGTGGTTGCGCTGTTCCCTGTGCCGCCGCGGCCATCATCAACGAGGTCGATCGGGTCACTTTCGCCGTCGACTTTGAAGTCAGGGTCGGTTTCGGCTTCCGCGTCAACATCAGCATCAGGGTCGGCGCCAGCATTGGCGTTCGCTGCAGCACATTGGCTCGCGTCGTCCTCCTGCTTGACAGCCACAACAGGGCCGTACGCACGTATGTACTGCTGCTGGTCGATTGCCCACCGCAACACGTTCAGATTAGGCATCCGTCGATGGGCCAACGTAGCCAGTATGGCTGCCGCAACACATTGCGCATGTGTGCCGTTCAGCGGAGCTTGCCATGGCTGCTGTGCCGCTGCCGCCTGAAACGCCGTCTGCTGCGCGCGATGTCGGAGCACAGGCGGCAGCACAGCACCATCGGCAATGAGAGCAACGCCGGTGCCGTCGTGAAACAAGTCGGGAACCACCATGCTTTGCGAGAGCATATCCTGAAAGCTTTCCGGGCCGTTGGACCCTGGCGGCGAAATGGGGGGTGCCGGAGAAGGAGGAGACACCGATGGGCCTGAACGAGCGGGCGAGCCGGTTTCCGGGGCTGTTTCTTGAAACGCGACATCCAGCGGCTCCTTCACACCCGCCAATCCCAACGAGGCAGCATGGGGGGCTGGCGTAAGGCTGTCCACCGTCGAGGGGTCGGAAGCACCCTACTGCTGCATCCCCTGCGGCATCATGCCGCCCAGTCCGTTCATGCCAGGGTTCATGCCCGCCCCCGGATTCATGCCCTGCGGCATGCCTTGCACCATGCCTTGCGGGAGGCCCTGCATGCCCTGCGGCAAGCCTTGGCCCAGGCCCTGCGGCATGCCCTGTGGCATACCTTGTGGCATGCCCTGAGGCATACCTTGTGGCATCCCCTGCGGCATCCCCTGCGGCATGCCTTGCGGCATGCCCTGCATGCCCTGCATGCCCGCCTGCATCTGCTGCTGTTGTTGCTGGGCCTGCTGGGCCTGCTGGGCTTGCATCACCACGGCCACCTGCTGGCGCCGCTGGTTCAGCATTTGGCTCACGAGCTGCTGCGCCTGCTGGAGACACATCTTCTGGAAGTTGGCCAGCTCCTCGGGCGGGATGTTCTTCTCGCCGCCAAACCGCTGCGCCAGGTTGCCCAGGTTGTTGTTGTAGATGCGGTTCCTGTGCTGCAGAATGAGGTTGGCCTGCTGCGACTGCTGTTGCGTCCGCTGCTGCTGCACCTGCTGCGCCTGGTTCAGCTGCTGAGGCGACAGGTTCATGCTGTTCGCCTGCGCCATCGACAGGTTCTGGCCGCCATTGAGTGACTGCTGTTGCCGCTGCAACAGGGCGTTCATCTGGTTCTGTTGCTGTTGCTGCTGAGCTTGTTGTTGCTGTTGCTGCTGCTGCTGCTGCTGTTGTTGTTGTTGTTGCTGAGCCTGTTGCTGTTGTGCCTGGTGTTGCTGCATCTGCTGTTGCATAATCTGCCGCTGGAGCTGCTGCTGCTGTTGCGGGTTCAACCCCGCCTGCTGGGCTTGCAGCGCCGCCTGCTGCTGGGCCATCATCTGCAGCACCATCGCCTGCTGCTGGGGTGTGCCCTGGATGCCCATCGCGGCAGCGCGCATTTGCACCTGCGCCGCGGCCACACGCTGCTGGTTCAGGAACTGCGCCTGCTGCTGCGGCGTCGCCATGCCGTTCTGGATGGCCTGTTGCATGCGCTGCTGTGCTTGCATCCGCTGGGCCGCGGCCATGCTGTTGTTCGCCATGTGCGGCGTGCCCATCCCCGCCGTGTTCATGTTCTGCTGCATGAGGAACTGTGCCTGCTGCGGCGTCATCATATTCGGCGTCGGGCTGCCCTGCGCAGCCATGCGCGGCGTGGCCATCTGCTGCGGTCGGTTGATCGGGGTTGCAACCTGTTGCTGCATGTTGGGCGTCGCATTTGGCATCCGGGGCGTGTTGGACGGGTGGCTCTGCTGGCTGCCACGGGCCGACATGGTGACCGACATGGGCGCGGCCATGGGCGCGTGGCTCTGCGCGACCGACGGTGGCCGCGGCGGGCTGCCTGCGATGCTCGACGTCGACGCCTGCATGGGGACGGTGCCCACCATGGGCGACGACATGTTCTGGGGCGTGCCGTTGCGCGGGACCGGCGACGACGCGACGCCCTGCTGGGCAGCCATCTGCATACGGGCCTGGAACTGGGCGGCTTGCTGCGGTGTCATGCCGTTGGGAAGACCGTTGGGGAACCCATTGACAAGGCCGTTCTGGCCCTGGCCCATGGCGGCCGCAGCGGCAGCGTTTTGCGCGGCCTTTTGGGCCGCCGCGGCGGCGTTTGGCTGGCCTGGTGTCTGGGGCTGCTGGTTCTGCATGCCCTGTGCCTGGGCCCTTGCAGCTTGCGCCGCCTGGGCTTGCTGCGCGGCATGAGCCTGGGCTTGCTGCGCGGCATGAGCCTGGGCTTGCTGTTGCGCCTGGGCCGCTTGCGCCGCCTGGGCCTGAGCTTGTGCTTGTGCCTGGGCCTGCTGGTTCTGCTGGGCCTGCTGCTTGGCAGCGGCCTGTGCAGCTTGCTTCCTCCGCTGGGCCTCCTGGCGCTGCGTCTGCTGTTCGCGTGCAGCCGCCTCGCGCGCCGCCTGCGCTTGTGCCTGGGCCTGCTGCTGCTGCCGTAGCCGCTCCTGCTCGCGCTGCTCGCGGATCTGCTGTTCCCGAAGAGCAGCCTGCTGCACGGCGGCCGCTTGCTGCTCGGCACGCTGGATGGCCAGCTGGCGCTCCCGCTCGGCCTGCTTCGCCTTCTCAATCTCCTTACGTTCTTGGTGTTCACGCTTGATCTGTTCAATCAGCTTGAAGCGTTCGAAGCGAGGCTCGAAGGCCGCAGAGCCACTCTGCAGGTCGCCATCGCCGCCAGTAGCCACGTCCTGGCCGCCCGAGGCGTCCGCACTAAGACGCTCGTCTTCGGCCAACATGTACCGTTCTTGGGTGGCGGCAAAGGCTTCGTAAGCAGCCATCTCGGCAACGGTCTGCTTTCTTCTCTTGGGTTGTGGCAGAGCCGCCTCGTGGTCGGGGTGGGCCTGCTCCTCGAGCTTGCGGCGCATGCCAGCCGCCGACGTGACCGGTTCCAGGTCCAGCTCGGGGTAGTTGGCGAGCAGGATCTCAGCCTCGAATTCGGGAATGTTGGAGCTGTCGAGCTGCATCGGTTCACGCTTCGGCTTCTTCGCGGCGGCTGTTGCCATGGGTGTTGGTGGCGGGATGTAGGTCATGCCGTTCGCGTCCCGGGTTTCCGCCGCATTGCGCGGCGTGCTTGCCATGAGGGCCATGTCGGCGTGCATGCTTTCCTGCGTCGGTTTCAAGACAACTGTGAAGATCCTTGGCTTGGGTGGCGCTTGGCTCTTCTGGGTCTCGGGGAGGCCATTGGATGCCGAACTCGTCATGTCTTTATCCTTGGTGTCGGTAGCGGAGTCCCCTGGCGACTTGTCCTTCGCCTTCTTATCAGCAGGGCTTGAAGCGTTCTTGTCTTCGGAGACGATGCTGTCCTTGGGGTATGGAACAAATCCGGATGGCGTGACGTAAGGGTCGTAGTTGTGAATGGAAGAGGGTGTCGAGTTGGTCTTTTGTTGCGCGGGGCGGTTAGCATCCTTAGTTTGCGCGACGGACTTATGGTCGTAGACCTGCACGATCAGGCATCCTTCGTAAAAGGGGACACCATTGCTTGTCAAGACACCGATCAGGTCGTGAGGAACGGTGCGCGACTTGAGGTGCTCCAAGAAAATGCGCATTGGCGATTTGTAGGGGAAAATGCCATCCTGCTGGTCGAAGCGGAAATGTGCCGCATACAGGTGGACAACGAGAGATGGAGGATTGTGGCGGAATTTCTTAAGAATGTACCGGTCGGTGATGACTGCGACGTAGATACAAGGTTAGCTAAATGGAGGAATGGGAAAGGAGCGAGACGGAGATCAATGACAGCCATCGAGGACGGCCATCAAAGCCAGCCGTCAAAGAGAGCCGCAAGCAAAAAGTGAGCCAGGGTGGCATACCATATGGTCTGGCTTCCGAGGCGGCGGATGGGTCGACCTTGGGACCAGTCACTTGGAGCGTCCCATTGACTTTGGAATCGCCCCCAGGCCCGGAGCCGGTGCCGTTTGTCTGCACCGGGGGCATACGTGGTGGCCGATTTGGAGGGCGCACGGGTGTGACTGTGATGCCGTTGGGGCCAGATGTGGATGCGCTACCGAACGCGACAGACTTGCCGGTGGCAAGGGGCTTCTTGGATGTGAGAGATGGAGATGGCGATGACCGGATGGAGCTGGTACCGCTGTTCTGGACGCCGGCCGGGGTCGGCCGTTTCGCCTTGGGGATAGTCGGCGGAGGGACGGCGGTCACCGAGATGGGCGCCATGATTGCAATGGCCTCGGTGAGCGTGTGGTAGTATCGCTGTCGAGTTGTATTTTATCAATGGATGTCGACGGGGAAGTGATGCGACCGATAGCGCGTTCCGGAAGAAAAGGCGATACCAGGTCGCGAAAAAGAAAAAAAAAAGAAGAAGAAAAGAAACGATGTCTCCGCAAAAACTCTCGCACTCCCAAGAGCCTCCTCGAATCTTAGACAAGAAACCCGGCGCAGAAATTCGCAATCATTTGTTCTGGGGTATCGACTTGTGATAGTGGTGCGCTTCGACGGACGGATGTGTGGTTGTGGATGCTCTGACGGATGCGGCTGTTGACGCGATACGAGACAGGGGATATTTTTGGCGGGATAACGAGCGGCACGTTGTAAAACGACGAGAGAGCGCTCGGAACAGCCGATGCGCGGCAGAAATGCGCAAACCAACCCCGACCACCAACGCGATTGGCCAGTACGTCCAAAGTCTTGATAACTAACGTTGTTCCGGTGATGATATCGATGATGGATATCGCTGTCGGAAGTCAGATCGGGTCGATCGATGTGACAAATAGGGACAAGGAGGTCGTTTTCCTGGCTGGTTTAGCAACAGAAGTAGGGGCCCATGGAGGCACGGGGCAGTGAATTCGTGGTTGTCAGCGAATAGTCGTGAGTCTGCCGAACAAAAATCACCGCTTTTCGGGTCGAAATAGATGGCGGTGATGGCGATGGCGATGGTCGTTGATGCCGGAATCTGGGCGCGTCGTCAGTCTGGAGAAGGTGTGGGGTTGAAGCCGAGTGCGATACACCACATGGAGCGTGGTTAAAATGGTTAGGGTGATGCACGTTCAAGCCCCCTGTGGCTGGTGGATCACGTGAATTCTTGTAGGCGGATGAGACCCAGTTCTTACGACGCATAGTTTTGTATGTAATATGTCAGTAGCCTTGTCTCCCCAGCAGAATTTGTAAAAGTACGTCAAGGAAGTTGATCAGTCAATTTTAAAGGGACTCGAATGTATGACAGTAGGTTCTTTTGTTGCTTTGCTCGATTCAAGGCCCATTTCGTAACCGTCATTCGGGTACCGACAGGGGATGTTTTGTATCACATTTCAGAGGCGGGTCCACTGAAGTCCACTGAAGTACTGCCAGCTTGTAACAGTGTCGCTGCCACGCGCCAGTGAAAAGATTGAACAGGGCCGACAAATAAAGTTGATAAATGATGAAATGTTGAGGTAAAGGTAACAGTTGCACGTCCATCTGGGTAGATATGACGCCCTGAAAACGATTGTGGTAGAATAATTACAGGAAAAGTGTATAACAAGAAGACAAGCAGTCAACCTGGAAAGAAAAGAACAGAAGAAAAAGAAAAAAGACATAGCATACGCCATAGCCTTTCACAAACTGGTATTGGAAACATTCTATCGACTCCCAGGTATTGCCTCACTTTTCCCGTTCCCTGAACCCTGTCCCAGTACCAGTGAATGTCCCCCATTTCTATTATGCTCCCTTGTATAAAATCCTTTTTTTGGTTCCCAGTGTCCCGTCGTTCACGCAATACAAATGAAGACATAAGAAAAGAGGAGAGAGACAAAAGGAAAACAGGTCGTCATAAGAGAGAGTCGAGGTCCGAGAGACAGACAGGAGATCTAGTGGAAGGCCGCAGGGGAAACGGCAAGAAAGAAATAACCCGAAAACCATGATCCAACATGCACGAAGAATGACGTAAACAAGTGAGAAAGAAACGCCGAAAATATGCTACAAAGGGGTATGGTGACGGGAAATGATATAAAAAGCCAGATACGCCTTCGTGAAATAGAAAATCATGAAAAAGAGAAACAAAGAGAGAAGAGAGAAGAGAAAGAAACAACAAAAGAAGAAGAAAAGGGGAAGAAAGTGAGGCAGTTGAGAAAGAGTTCATTGAGCGCGACTGCAGGAGCCTGCATATCGTCGCAAGAAGGGGAAGGTCGTGTCAATTGCGTTGCGTTGCATTACTCGCTCACATCGCCAGAGTCGTCCCAGGTGTTCAAGTCCATGTCACGTTGGTCCAGGTTACGAAGCGGCCAGGCCAGACCCATCTCTGACCGCACGTCGCGCTGAATCTGCGTCAAGTAGCGCTGCAGAGACCGCAGGCCATGCAAAAAGCCACGGTCGACGTCCGACGGGTGCTGCGGCGGGCACGGTCGATTCTTGACAGCGTCAGCCTCAATCACGCTGTTGGCAAAGTCGGCCATCTTGAAATCGATCTCGCGCTTGTCCCGACGGCGCTGGCGGCGGCGACGCATAATCTCGTCGCGGACGGACAGGTCTTCGTTGTCCGTGGCGAAGTCCGTAGTCGAGTCTTCAATGGCCGTATCCTCGCCGCCGGTCAACGCGCCGCTGCCATCGTCCCTGTTGCTCTGGTCGCCGTCGTAAAAGACGAGAAGACTCGCAGCGTAGAAACGGTAGCCGCGGAGGCGACGGATGATTTTCTCCAGCTGCCTGAGCTTCTCGAGCATGGTTGGGATGTGCCGCAAAATGCTAGAGAGGTCGGAGCCGTCGTACAAAAACTCCCGGATGACGCTCTTGAACTCCTGGCCTGCCTTGACGTTGCGGCCAAAGTACTTGTCGTGGTAGATGTAGTTCTCCAAAGACGCGTTCCACACCTGCATACCACAGATGCGCACACCAAGCTCACGCGATGTAGTGTTTGCGCATTTGCGCTGCTGGGAGAGCTGTTTCTTGGGGCTGGCTTCGACACCGTACTGCCGGGTGCCCATCTTGAGGTCCATGATGCATGGTCGTTTCATGCCCGCCGTAAGATCTTCCAAGAGCAAGAAGTACTCCTGCCGAGACCCGGAGTGCGTCTTTGCTTCTTTGGGGTTGATGGGCCGCGGGATTTTCCTAAACTCGGACGGGCTGCCGGCCAAGGTCATAGCAGTCGAGTTGGCTAGGAATGGCACAGGGTCTTGCACAGGGGTCGCCTCGGCTGGAGCATCCATCTCAAGCTGGTGCGACAGGTTGCTGAATCCGCGATTGCTATGCTGCGGCTTCTTAATGTCCATGGCAGAAATCGTGCTATGATTCTCGGTCTTGTCGCCAGCTTCGGCGGGATGGTTTGCGATCTCGTGACGGGCAAAGCGGTCTTCAAATGCAGCCAAGGCCATCGGAGCGTTAAAGGACGACCGGCTGGTGTTTGTCGTCGTATTCGCGGTGGTCATGTCATCAATGTCGGCCTTGTATGCAGCCTCATCAGCTCCTTCGTAGTACTTGAGGTCACCACGGGGGTCAGTCACATTCTTAGGCTTGCGCCGCAGGCCGGTGCCAGAGTAGCGACGTCTGCGGTGCAACGGCCGCAGCTGGTCGACAAAGTTCTGTGCCTCGGGCGCACTAGTACCGGTCACATCCTTTGGACTTTCGGCGTCATCGACAACAGCCTCGTCATTCAGACTCTTTACCACGGGCCCCATGTCGCTCTGCGTGAGCATCATAGACGCAGTGGGCACAGTGTCGTTCTTGAAAGGGCTGGCGAACTGGTTCTTCTGGGCAGCATCGGCGCTGGCACGGCGCTCGCGTTCGGTAACCAAGGTTGACTCGGAATTGGACGGGCGCAGGACGTGCTGCTGAAGGATCTTCCGCGGAACTGCGCGCGCCGTCTTGCCCTTTTGGTACTTTTGAACATCCACCGGCTGCTTGAGAAATGCATCGGTAAAGACCTCGTTGCGCAAGCGCTTATTCACCAGCGTGGCACCCCAGCTGTTCAAGTGACGACCTTCCAGGGTAGGACGGGTAGCAGTACTACGCGCAGGAGGCCCAGGCAGTATAAAGTCCTGCTGTTCAGCACCGCCAACTGCCCTTTGCAGGTGCTCTCTAAGCAGGTTGTTTTCGGCGGTTGTGGTAGCAGATTGGGAGCCCCGCGGCGTGTTGCTCGAAGACGCGCCGTTTGGCTGTAGAAGATGGCGAGGAAGGATGTGCTGATTATCAATGAAAGTGACTGTCGGTACCTGTGTCTGCGAGTTCTGGATGGATTGACTGATGATTCTGGTGGTCGTCGGAGCGGCAGAGGTTGCTACAGCTGCATCGTCGCGAGCGGTCGAGGACGACTCTGTGTTATTGTCCTTGGCAACAGCGCTGAGCTCGCCTTGGCCAATTTGTTTCAGTTCAGCGGCAGCCACATCGTCCTTCTTAATTGTCGACTTGCGCCGAGGCTTCTTGTGGAAGGTCACATTCAAAACACCAATATACCTATCGTAGGTCAGCATGACCATTTGGTGAAAGACCAGGGAATTTGTAACAAAGAATACTCACCTGGGCAGGAAAGGGAGCAGGTCTCTGTGGTACCGCTCAATCCGCTCGTAAAACTCATTTTCTCGGTTGGTCAGTTGCTTGCACACGGCCCGCTTGGAAAAGCGCCACAAAGTGGTATGGCCGCCGACTTGGTGTTTGTACGGGATCAGCTCGATAGCGTCTCGCGGCTGGTTAGGCTCGGGCTGAGTATCAACGTCAGGCTCCTCAAAGTACTGCGACATGGGTCGCGACGGCAACTCCACCGCCGTGTCGGCGCTGTCAGACACAACCGGCTCGGGCTCCTCGCTAGGTGTAACCGGGTGGGATGCAATTCGCGCGGCATACTGATGGTCGCTGTGAGACATTTGCCGGCGGATCTTGTTGCTAAAATCGGGAGACAGGTTCGAAGAAGGGGCGGGTGTCGGGTGAGTCACGTCGTGCTCAGTCGTCGTGCTCTCACTCCGCCATGTGCTGAAGGTTTCTCGGTTTGGCTGCAGAGCCCCGACCGAGGACGCGGGAGCGGCGATCGCTCCATTCGGTGTGCTTCCCAGTGGCGGCGTCTCTGCGCCCTCTTCGACGCTCTGATGGGGAACAAACAACGCCGATATCTTTTCTTCGCCCGAGTCGTCGCCGTCCTCGGCAGCCACCGCTGTATCGGCGCTGCCGTCCGACTTGTCACCCGATTCCCGCCGGCTATTCGTGCGTCGCTTTGTCGTCAAGGCGGCCAATGCGTTTCGCGAGTCAGTATCGGTGTCATCTGTAGAGGAGTGTGTCGCACGCGAACGGAGTGCTGAACCGGGTTGCTTCGAGATCGGAATCGCAATCGGTGGCCGGTCGCCGGATGCCCCAGATGCTGGTGCCGCGGGCAACGTCGGAGTCCGGTCCGACCGGCCTGGGGCGTCAAAGTAGTCGCGGGATGAAGACCGGTCTGCGCCTGGAGACTGAACAGAAAAGTACAGCGGTTGGTCCGGCCGCACAGAAGGATCGTTGCCAGAAACCTGCTGTTTGGCGTCACGCAGGACGACGACGAAATCGGACGATGTGGGATAGTCGTTGTGGGTGGATGTCGAGGATGCAGAAAGGATGGACGAGGAGGAGAGCTGCTGTTGGCGGCGAGGGGAAGCCGTTGGCGTCGACGGTGCCAAGGGCGGTGCCGCCACAGTTGCTATACGTGCAGTGGCCAGATTGGATGTCTGCAAGGCTTCCGCTTCAGGTTCTGTTTGGTCAGAAGGATCTAGGCCCCCATTGTGGCATTGGGCAGCCTTGCAGTCGGGTTCCGAGGAAATGGTACGGTCGTGACGAGTCGTGGTCTGTGGTAGTAGCTGCAGCTGGGGCTGTGATGTAACCGATGTGGTTGTGCTAGAATGGCGGTCGGCGTCGTCGAGATCGAGGTGGCCTGCAGGCTCTTCAAAGGACAGCTTGCGGTCGTCGATCTGGTGCCGAGGTCTGCTGCTTTCCAAGCTGCCAGTACTCGATGCGCCGAGGTGGTGATCACCGGCACTGGCACTGCTATGTGCGCCGTAGTCGGCCGGGAGTCGTTCCGCTGCCATCATTGCGGTCTGCTGCGAACTGGCCGCCCGAACAAGTTCGAAAGTGGCAAAGTTGGCAGGTATTCAGCAGCAGACGATAGAGGGGGCCGAAACCACCGTCATGGAGCGTCCTGCAATTGCTCGCCGTAGAGGGGAAAGGATGGAAATGGGAGGAAGAGAAGAAGATAAGAGAAAAAACAAAAGATAAAGAAACTACAAGAACGAGAAAAGACAGGAACAAATAATAAAAGAAAAGAATGCCCCCTTAAGCTGCACAACAGAATACGCTCAACGTTTACAAGGGCAAACACAATGGCTCGATTGTGGGTGGATTGGAGGAATGGCCTTCTTTTGGGTCGTGAGAATCGTGGACGAACACGAGCGGCGATTTGCAGATGGCGAAAATGGACTTGGGAGAAAAGGCACTGTTGACAAAGGAGGGGTGGGAAAAACAAGTGCAAAGTGCAAGTACAACTGTAAGGCCGGTGCAGGGGTGCGATAGTCGGAAAACGGTATGGATTCCTGCGGTGGGATTGGTCGCACTGGGAGGCAAGAAAAAAACAAGGGAAAGGGCGACCGTGCGGAGAAAGACGAGCCACCGTTTCGTCAGTGAGTGGTCGGTAGTTGTTACGTAACGCAACACGTGGGTCTAGTGGACGTTTGATTGCTGGCGGTGGTGACGCATCTTGTGCTGGGCACGTTGGGCAGGTGCAGACGGAGACCGATTTGGACACAGGGCGGACAGACAAGTAAAAGCAAACAAAACTGTTACGACAAGTACGATGTACAGAAGGACGACGTGGATTCAACATTCCACAAGGAAGGCGTGATGGGGCACCGCGAACGCACAAGTGCTTGTGCGGCGCCCAGACACACAAAACGGAGCAGGAGCGACCGGCGTGGTGAGGACAATCGCTCTCCCGACGCCCTACACGTTCGCAAACCTCCTACGTTGTGCAAAGCCGGAAGGAACTTTGGCTCCGACGGCCATATCCTCTAGTCTGCGCCTTCCCAGAGCCCAGTGCCTGTAACCGCAAAGACACTTGCACCTGATAAGCCGGTCGAGGTCAAGTGACGTTTTTCTCCTTGTTTGAACTCCCCTTCCCGTCTCCTCTCTCTCCGCAGTCCCACTGTGTTTGTTCGGTAGCGGTACAGCAATTACGTACGGAGGGCCAAGTACAAACGCAAGCGTTGACTACCGTCCGGGTTCGCAGTCTCCTTTTTTCCATGGATCGCTCTTTCCCCTTTTCCAGATTACTAGCCAACAGCCGTTTTAGGAAAGAACAGCCAGACTAACAGACAGCAATGGCACGACTGCTCGTAACACTGTCAGTGTCCTACGACAGGGAGAAAAGGTAATACGACATGGTTCCGTTAAGAAACAACAAAAAAAACTATATTTTTCGCACGCTGTTTTCGTGAATCTTTGAGACACGCAAGGGCAGGAAGACTGAGTCTTGGTCCGCAAGCCCTACTTTATTCAGTGCCGAAGCAATCTTTGCGCCACGGGATCACGTGCGAGGCTAGTGCAGGCGCCAAGCAAAATTTGATCTGTAATCACCGAAATAGGCATCGCGCGCTGTTCCCCAACAACAGACCATTCGGTGCTATTATCGTCTCCTTGCCAGCGGAAGCACAAAATCGCTGGCGTTGTGCGGCCCGTCTGGCCAGGCCACATCGTGGGAAATCCAATGAACGATGCGGTGTGTACAACGGTATCCTACCGCGCTCAACAATTGCCTCACTACTCGGCCCGCGGAAAGCACCCATCCATCGCAATTGGACCCAGCTGCAACCGACAAATCGTGGACTCGAAGCTCAAAAGGAGGGCAAGGAGGACACCGTATCTCTCCACCGCCCCGTCGTCATGATAAAGGAAAACAGAAAACAGTTGCATAGCACGAGCAAGGGAATGCACGAAAGAGGAGCCAGTGTGCAGAAGGGCCCAGCCGTCATGCAGCAACGCCAAAACGGTGCATCAGAAACAAGCCATGGCCAGCTCAGCGCAACGACAGCGCAGCAAGCGCAGGCCAATCAAGCCGGAACGTGCCCTTGGGATTCATCTCGTCTTGTCCATTGCGGACCACCGCCCTGGCCCAATTCCAAGCCAAACCACAGATCTGGTGTATGCGGCAGGAAGACGGCTTTTGGGTAAAAGACTAAGGCGGTGCGGCGATGTCTTATCATTGTTGCTTCTTTGTTCTTGCTTGTGGCCCACTCGGCCCTTTGTTCTTGAAGCTTTCCCCAGTCTCGGGAAGCTCGCCCGTGGTCTTGGTCACTCGCGATCATTCCACGGTACTTTTCCTTCGTCCTGTTTATTTTTGTGCTTATATTTCTTTTTTTTGTTTCATTGCAAGGCTCCCTCTTTCACCTTTTTGTGTAGCATCAGCAACCAGGCCCTGCGTGCCCTCCCTGCTCGTCATCGTTATCATGCTTCGTCTCTTGTTGCACAGAACATCTCTTGGCTGAGATATCCAAGCACAAGACGGCACGTCCCAGCAAAGCTGGTTTCGCATTTGTGCCTTTTTCCAGATCAACTTTTTTTTCTCGACGGCAATTGCTCACGGCCGGCTCGTGCTCCCTGTCGAGCCATTTATCCCGCATCGTCCTTCAGGCGGTGACATGGGGCTTGGTATGCATCTACGTGACGGATGCTCCAAGAAGATGCATCGAAGCCGACGACTTACAGCCCGTGTCCAAGGTGGCCTCGAGTTTATTCAGCTCCGTCAGTTCTCATAAAATAGTGCAATGCATCCGTTTTAACAGCCCCATATCCCGCATCCCCGACTTCTCTCGCTCTTGTTCGGCTGAGACTCGACAAAATACCAAGACATGTACCAAGACATATGCATATGAACAGGGGGATGTGATTGCAGCTCGCGCCAGAACATACGGGCAGGGTCTTCCTTTGGTCCCTTGCTCTTTTTCCTCGTCCTCTTTCATTACTTCTTCAAAATTTTCAATCCTGTGGCATCCGATTGGGTATCGAAAAAAGGATTGCATCCAGACTCGAGAAATCTCTATCCCAGTATATGTGAAATTTGTCGACTGTTTCCATATTTGCGTCGTTTCTTCGCTTCGTGCCTCACGCCCTGCTTTTGCTTGTGTTCACCGCTCCGTTTGTCATTGAATCCCTTTTTTTCTCCTTTTCCTATCGTCCAAGGAGAGCTTCTACTTTCGCCATGTGCGCTTTTTTGCGTCACCTCAATGCATCGTAGAGACATCAAAAGCAGCTGTCCTAATAATACATGCCAAGAGTCAGCAAAGGGGCAAAAACCCAACAGATAATAGACGAAACGACAAACCTCTAACGGAGACCAGGCAACAAGAGTGTACAACATACGAAGTAGACACACGATATCCACCCCATGACAAGCGTTCCGTCTTCCCCGGTGGGAACCGTGATCGAAAACAGGGGGGCAAACCAACGACTGGAACGGCCATGGCAAGAAAGACAGCCTATCCTATGGCATTTTTTTTGCGTGTGCTCTTAATTTTTGTTCTTCAAAGCCCCTTGATTGCATTCGGTTTGTTTAGATGCCAACGATCAGAGACTATGTACAGCCGTCGGTGAAGAAACGGTGTACTAAACGATGCTACGAGCCGCACGTGGGTGACTGTCGGCACTTGACGCGCCAACGCCACTTCTCAGCCTCTTACTAAGATCGCTTTAAACAACAAACTAAAGGCCAGGTATGGACGAGGCCAGATTCTCAACCACCGACAATCTACAACGTGCTCTTAAGATTGGTGATCCAAAGAGGTCTAGAAGATTGTAACTGACTTGTGAGGAAAGTAAACATTTACGTTGCTTTGTTTACAAAAATTGTCATGTTCACATCAAGTATTATTCTACTCTTGTTTTTATTTTTATTTTAATTTTCGAGAAAATGGAATATAAATTAAATATAAAAAAAAATCGATCACAAGAACCTGTGTGATTAAAATAGAATGGCAACTTGTTAAATCATGTTGATGGTTATAAGTGGCTATGTAAAGGCAAAAAAACATGATGCCACACGCACTCTGAGTCTTTACAGCTTTTGAAAGAAGTCCACAGTGCAAAAATACTAAACTTGTAATTCACAGATTGTATGTTATACAGGTGATTGAAATGCAAACATAAAGATGCCCTCCTGAAATAAATGCGCCCCTGCCTAATGATAGTATTTTGTCCATCTACACGCCGTGTTCACGTCCCTTTACATCCTGCCGGCACGCGCTTCAGCGAGCTCGGCATCCATATCCCATAAGCCCAGAAAGTCATCGAGGTTGTCCATAACGTCTTGCACAGCGTCTACAGCCGACGCGGCATCGTCGTCTCGACTGTCATCGTCGTCCCCGTGCTGTTCGGTCTCCCCGCCTCGCGTGGCGTTCTCCTTATTGTTGTCGCTGTCTGCACTGGGCACCTTATCGCCAGAGTGCGACACGACCGATTGATGGCGCGACTGCCCGGACGGTATCTGCTGCAGTTTGGACGTTTCCGCATCCGCCTCCTGGAACCGGGATGCCATAGCATCGACGGACGGACTGGTGTACAACTCAAGATCCGGCGCTGGGTCTTGTCCGTATGAAATTGCAATAGGTTGAAACTTGGCGACGCCGGTGTCGGCAGTCGCAAACTGTGCTTCGCCTGCCTGTGATCCTGCCAATATAGCTGCCCGTTGGCCCCTTGTCCGGCCGGCCATTGTTGCGTAGTGTCCCTTGAACCGGTCGACCTCTGTTGGGAGAGACTCCACGAGCATCTTGTCTTGTGGAGGAGGCGAAGCGGCTCGTTGTGGTTCCCGGAACGTTCCGTCGCGTTGTTCTATCGAGGCAGAGGCTGCGGTTCCGCCAGGAGTCTCGTCCGCGGGCGCCGCTGCTTCGTACCCGGGAAGAGAGAAGTGAACACAGCGGCCACATTTGCTGGTGCTGGCCGTTGCTTCCGATCGCCGGCGCGGCTGACGAAGAATCGACCGAGGGCCCCCTACCTTTGCGCTCCTCCGCCGAGGTGGTGGCGTTGGCGTCGGCGAGCGGAATCTCCTAAAGGACTTGATCGACACGGTCATGTCTGGCGTGGGGAGGCTGGATTGTTTCGTGTCCGGCGTAGACGGTGCGGTCCCAGAGGAATGAGCGACCGGGATGGGTAGAGATGGTAGGAACGTTTCCGTATCTTGCTCGAGGCCTTCCTTATCGATTGGTGGTAGGACAGGTGTCTCCCCCTTTGGTGAGCATGGAGACGTAGGCAGATTGGATGTGGAGGATGAGAACGAGGACGCCGCAGTATTCACGTCCGCCCATGGATTTTGACTGACAGAGATGCTCGGCCTGCCGGTTTCGTTTGCGCTCGCATCTGGTTCGTCTGCTTCGACGTCTGGAGATGGAGGATCTGGCCGGACAGCAGCCACCACTGGAACAAGAGTCTGAGTCTCTCTGGACCAAGGGCTCTGGGCTGTCACAAAACTTGTAGCCTGGCTATCGTATTGACGCTGGACAACAGGGTCGGCTGAGCTGTGAGCAACCATATCGCCGACCATGGTGTTTGATTGAGCCTTTGCCCATGGACTTTGATCCTGTGTCGCAATCCTTGCGTCCACCATCTCCGTGTCGTAGGTTACTGTCGAAAGCGTTGTCGTTTCGCCTGCCACAGAATCCGTAGCACATGTTGTTGAGGTCATGTCGGCAAAGTTGCTAGTATTTTGCTCATCCGGTATCTCGTTTGATGGCTCGGCTGGTTCTCCGTCGTGGACATCGTCGCTCGGTTCCGATGCATCAATTTCAGTTCCACTCGTGGCAGGTGGCTGAGGCTCGCTTGGCATTGGTCCATTTACCGACTTTGTGCTTTCTTGCTCTGCCGGCCGCAACGTCGTGTCATCGCCAAAGGCTGCTGATGCTTCATCCCCGACGAGGCTTGTTGTTTCAGTTGCAGTTGTCTTTTTGGAAGAAGCAGGAATTTGTGGTAATAATGGCTCAGATCCGATATGACTGCTCAAAAAGAGATCGGACGGAAGTACCGACATAGAAGGCTCGCTGTCTGATATGTGGGACACCGGCAGTTCAGTGCTGGCCAGGCTTTGACTCGGCGCGGCGTTGCAGCTGCCTCCGACAGCTTCGTCGGCGGCTGTCGTGAGGGCGTCTCGAGGCGGATCGGACGTGGGTCGTGCCAGGTCTGACGTGGGTCGTGCCAGGTCTGGCGTCTTGGGTGCGGCTGCAGCCTTTGCCGAGCTCGCTGCTCTGGTGGTTCGCGAAGCGGACGGTGAGGCGGCCAAAACATCATCATAGTTGGGTTTCAAGCGCTTTAGGTTCGTTCGCCGCAGCCAGTTGCTAGCAGCTGCCCGTTTCTTGATTTCTGGGTCTTTTTGGGTTGTGATGGTGCTCGGTGTCGTTCCTAAGTCCGTGTTCGATGCAGATGTGGCGACTGGCGCAGTAGTCTGTTTCTGGCTGCCGACACCGGGATCGGACGTCGATACTATCAAGGGCTGTTGCGTCTTGGTCGAACGAGAGACGACCTTTGTGCCAATCTTGCCCCTTCTCCCTCTCCAGGGGTTCTCCCAGCGCGTCTCTCTGCCAAACGGTCCCCTTAATGACGCTGAGAGAAGCCGAGGTCGGCGGCCTTCGAGAAAAAGCCGTGCCTGCTCTTCGAGACGTCGGCATCGTGCGCCAGGGCTGTCGTAGTACTCATCGTCGGAGCCGGACAGTAACACGTCGTCCATACCGAGTGTCGATTCGCCGCACAGCAGCTTGTCTGCAAAAATCGGGAGATGTGGCCGGTTCGACTTGTTCACAAGCGGCCGCCGGGCTGCCGTGTGGCGGCCAACTGTTGCGGCTACCTCGTCCATATCGAGCAGATGTGTTCTCGAATTGCACCAGGCTCGCTGTTGGATGGTCTTGTCATCTGTGCTGCTGTGACGGTCACATTTGGCGGTGATGTGCTGGATGCTGTTGCCGGTGGAGGCATCGAATCCTGTGACGGTTTGCCTGGGAAATTGTGAGCTTTGATCATTCCCCTGTGGGGCTGGTCGCACCTCCCTGTCGCGGTAGCAACGCGTCTAAGACGCGCTCCTTCCAAAATCAATTAACGCGTGTCACGTGGAAAGTCTGCACCGTTTCCGTCACCACAAACTCTCTTTCACACTCCAAATACGCGAAGATTGAAGAAGATGAACCTGAGCCGAGCCAGATGCAATTGTAAGGCCCAATTGCATGTTTTGGACTCGTTTGCAGGTACACGGCTTTCATTGCCTCAATGGGGCGATTGTGCTATTCATGATGTTGTGGCTGATGTGGCTGACAGTGGATTGCATGTGGCTTGAGTTTACATACACAAAAGCGGGGCAGATGTTGTCACAGCAACCACAAACATGTTGATCGATTTTCCCGATTAGGAAACCACCGTCCAGGGCACATGGACAAGACGCGCGCGCTGCGTTTTCTTCCTCCACGCCAGAATCCACAACGCCAAACGTCAACGACAGTGACTACGACAGCTGTATGCTGCAGCCCACAGCCTCTGCGATAGACTCGACAACTTCGACCTTTTTATTTTATCCTGCTTCGTTGCTTTCGACTTCCTGTTCTCTTACCGGGCATATCTTATCGCTGGCCTGCTTGGTTTGGGTTTGTGCAAATAATCGAACAGCACCATCACCAAAAGACCATAGCCGCCGACGCACGACCACCTCTTTTGCATCCACTGCTATTTTGCGCTCGCTCCCATTCTAGTGACTCCAAATATCTTCCTTTTTGCCGGTGCCGAAGGTGTCATGGCCTTGCGGTAGGACGCGTCTATTCCCCGACCATCACGATTATCACGATCTCGACTACGACGACAAACTTCACCCCCTCAGCCGACATTTTCATTTCCGCGTGACAAACATTCCCACATCATGGCGAACGCCTGGCTTGACTCTTTGTCCGAGGACTGGGTGTCCCAGGCCGGCTCGGAGCCATCGCACTCGCCCACCCATACAACAAAATTTACCAGCAAAACACACAGCACAACGCCCACCTCGCGGGGCAGCAGCGGACGTCTCTTTGGCTCAGTGCGCCACGGCCAGGACCTCTCGCCTGCCAACAGTAGCAATGTTCTCAGTGAGCGGAGCGCCAATGATATCAACATCTTTGGCTCCAATCGTCGGCCATCCCCCTCCAAGCTCTCGAACGAGTACAAAGTGCAGGACGTGCAGCAGCTGCAGTCGCGCCGCGGGCCATCACAACGATCCGTGTCTGCCTCGTCTCTCGGCTCCGTTATCCATAACACCGTCGACCACAAGCCTCACGGTGTGTCACCCGGCAAGGGTGGCGGAGACACGCCCGAGTGGCGGCGAAGGCTTGTCCAGGGCGGTTTGGCCTACGGCGAGCAACGTGATCTGTTCACATCTGCCAAGGTGGGGCTCGAAAATATGTTTAATCCACCAGGTTCAACGACACCCGACGATGTTTCTGTGGTGGTAGAAAAAGGGCCTGAGGATGATGGTGGCTACGAACCACATGACTACCATCAGCAACACACAAAAGAAGATGCACTGGCATTGGATGACGAGGAGCAGGACGAGGAGGAAGAGGGAGAAGATGACGAAGCGTTCCAAGAACGGCGGCGGATAACCCACGACATGACAATGCCGTCTAGTCCACCAGTGCATGCCGTGCCGTACGACTCGTCAGCGAATTTTGACGAGTCTGCCGCCCCACAGCTCCCCGAACAACCACACTGGCACGCCCTGGACCCGGTGATCGAAGAGTCTGCAGCCTATGAAGAGGAGCTGGGCTGTGAAGAGAATGCTGAAGAGGAAGAAGATGGGCAAGACGGAAGTGTGCAGCGCCACTTCCAGGACGCACCGAACGGGGTGGAGTCCATGCCGCCTTCCGATGGGAGCCAAATACACTATCCGGTCGATGGCGGGTCACGAGCGGTGAGTGGCCAGAGCGTGCTCCGTAACGAGAGCTTCAGCGCGATTATGATCTCACCTGAAAAGAACAAGGACGGTGCCGTCTTTGCCCCTACGGAGCTGCCTTCGGGTGAGCTCAAGAGGCGCCTGGAAAATCTTCGCTGGAATCAGATGGTGTTGGCCGATGACGTCGAGCAAGCCGCTGCCGCAGGGAACCGGGTCGTCAGCATTGGAGGAAAATCTCTCAACGTCGACAACACGGAGGAATACGACAAGATGGGCGGTTTCATCAACTTCCGGCGGGGTGGACGCTCAGCTGACGGCTCATTCCGCGACCGCATGCTGAGTCCCCCGATGGGCAATGACACGTCCGAGCTGCTGCCGGAAGAATCTCTTCAAGCAAGCACACCAAAACAGTTCGCATCCGTTCGTATCGATATCGACACTGTAGACAGCCGCCCTGGTCCCGAGGTTCCTCGTGTGCCGAATCCGAGCCCCGAAAAGCGCGGCAGCCTCTCACGGCAGCAACTGCAGCAGTCCGGTGGCGGTAGCCCGCTCAAGCTCTTTGGCCCCTACGACACATTTACAAACCAAACCTTGATGCGGCGCATCAGTCAGTTCGAAGACCAAATGTCAAACGGCTCTCGCAACTCAGCCGATCGTTCAGCAAACCTTGGCGTGGACGGTGCTTCTCATACCGAAATAGCGCAGGCATTTGTGGCAGGAATCCAGAAGTCAGAATCTCGCCAGTCGTCTGCGCAATTTGGCGCTGGAGAGCTGGACGACTTCCAATTTGGAGGCGATGACGCTTCTCATCTGCCAGCGGACCAGACTGCGGATGAAGGCACACATGCCGACCATGAGGAGAGCAAATCGACACATGCCGATGACGTGTTCTCTCCCGTGCTCACCGAAAAGAAGCAAGATAATCTTCACATTCAGCGGATGCGCCAGAGCCGCGGCGCCATGTCGAGCCGGCCGAGCACAGCTGAGAAGCGGACCGAGCCGGCGGACCCTGCTGCTTCCTTGGGCAAAATTCCTGTTTTGGCGACGCCTCGACGGGTTGCTGAAATTGGCTCGGAGGGGAAGCGCCCCCGGACATCGCCATCCAAGGACCCAACACCAAAACGGAGACGGACGCTGCACAAGTCTGATGTTGCCTTTGGCTTCGAAGCGTCACAGGCGTCCCAGACGCCGCTTGATCCGGTCCAGGCATCACATACCACCATGCAGTCCGTTATTGGGCGAAAGCGCAGAGACGCGCGTGATGGCGACGAGTTCCAACACGCCGACCCCGAAGTCCTGGCCAACCGCGACATCCTGCGGCCTCGTACGCCGACGCCGAGCCAGCGGTCCTCTGTCCTGCGGGAAAAGAATTCCGATCTCAGTGCCGACGAGAAAGGATACAACCGTACGCACGATCGCACATATGACCTGAGCAACAACGACCGCCAAGGTGACGGCTTCGGCGTTGACCATGACGCTAGAGGCTCGTCTGCAGCCTGGTCGGACAACTCAGTCAGCGGTCCCCATATGCGTGCCGATGGTCCAGGGGCCGACGGGGAACGCAAGCCCTCTATTGCGACCGAGGACTTTCTGAGCGAGGCCCAAATGATTATCAACATGTGCCGGAACCGCGGTGTCGGCGCGCAGGGCGGCCTTGCTAGTGTGGACGAGTCGGAGATGGAGACGCCCGTGGCTGCTCCGGCCTCGGAGGAGGACGAGGTGTCATTCCAGGAATCAACAAAGGAGCCCTTCTCGCGCCCACCGAGCCGTGAGGGCAAACCGGTGCCGCGTGCGGCGCGGATGCAGGAGGACCCGGAGATCCTGGCACGGCTCAAGAAGTACGAAGAACGCAGCGACCTGGGCGACATCGTGACGACTACCACTCGATCGATCAATCTTGCGCAGCATGCGATCCGGGCGGAGAAGGAGGCTGCACAGGCGGTGCAGGACAGCATTGCCATCCGCAGCCGCACGCGACTGCACGGGAGTGAGGATATCAGCGATCCGCCAAACATTCGCATCTCGATGCGCCCCCGAGACGAGTTTGGCGCTGGTGTGCACGACGACAACCCGTCCCAAGCTTCTCAAAAATCGGCCTCCTCTGGACACTCTACGGTCAGCTCGATTCCAACGGGGTCGTCTCGCGGCTCAGACACTAGGAAGACGATCGCTCCTCAGACAGTATCCCACTTGATACCCGACCAGGTCGGCAACATGATGCTCGACCGTGACCGCAACATCTGGATCAAACGGCGGAACGGAAGCGGCGGCAGCGTCCAGAACACGCAGCACATCCCCAGCCTGCGCGATGCTCCGAGCATGCATAACATTCTGCCTTCTGAAGGAAGCGAGGAGGACCCCTTTGTAGACATCCCCGATTTAAGCGTCGATGCCACAATGGAGCTGCACAACCTCAAGCCAGCGGTGGCCAGCCCTATGAAGTCTACTGGGCCCGTTCTCTTTACGAAGTCGAGCTTACCTCTGCCAAGGCCCAGCACAAGCGGCGCTTCCAATGGCACTGAGCCGACTCAGTCGCCTGTGGTTGTTGTGAGTGAGACAGACAACGACACGATTGTGGAGCACGAAATTAGTATCGACGAGGGCCGCCTTGCGCACTCGTCGTCGCCAACCCGGTCGAAGCGAAACCTCGCCATCAGCTTCTCGTCTCCGATAGCGTCGATTATTCAAGATTTTATGGTGGGGGACGACAGCGAGTCCCGAATGGACCGCAGCCCGGACGAATCCCTCCAGAATGCGGCGGCCGCATCTGCCCGTCGTGGCCGGCGAACAGTGTCTGTGAAATTTACGAGCACAGCCAGCGGTGACCATGGGAGCAGCAACAGCAGCAGTCTTCGGTCTCGCAGTGCCTCGCGTGGGCCGGCCCGGAAACTTTCGGTGGCCGGCCAGGCGTTTGTTCCGCGTCCCGTGTCGCGCATCGACGAGCGCGAGGAGGACGACACCAACCACTCGCGTGGCAACGCCTCTGCACGGAACCGGGAGCTGAGTTTGGTCGGCGAGCGTAGTGAGCTTGTGCCCGGCTCGGACGGTGAAGAGCACGGTGACGAACATTCCGAGCTTGTCTCGCAGCGCCAGACCAGTGTTAGTGTTCTAGTGACGACGCCCGGCCCGGCTCCTCGCGCGGATGACGAAGAGGTTATGGCCCAGTACGTGGGTATGCTGTCGCTGAGCCCCATGTCCGAGTTCACGATCCACCAGGAGCGGTCGCTGGCGTTGGAAGCCAGTTACGTGCTGGGCGACCGGCACCTGGTGACGGGAGACAACTCGAAAGCGGTGATGGCGCAGAGTCTCCGTAACCTTGTGAGCCGGCTGACGGAGGTGGAGCCGTTTGAGCCGTACTGGGAGGACATGGAGGAGCTGGACGTGCATGGCAAGAGCCTGGGGAGCCTGCACAAGCTGGACGAGTTCTGCCCGCAGCTGGTGTCGCTCGATGCGGCCGGCAATGCGCTCCGCAATCTATCAGGCATCCCATTGAGTGTGCGCCATCTGCGGGTGGTGGACAACCAGCTGTCGGAGCTCACGTCGTGGACGAGCCTCGCCAACCTGCAGTATCTCGACATCTCAAACAACGACATCAAGACGCTCTCGGGACTCAAGAACCTGGTGCACCTGCGCGGGCTCAAGGCCGACAACTGCGGCCTGGAGAACCTGGACGGTCTCAAGTACCACGACGCTCTGCAGACACTGCGGGCACGAGGCAACCAGATCTCCGCAGTCGACTTTGACGGCACGCGGCTGCACAAGTTGGTCGAGCTGGACCTCGACGACAATCAGATCGAGTCGGCGTTGGGCCTCGACCAGCTCGTGTCGCTTTCTACGCTCAGCCTGCGGCGCAACAGGCTTGCCGCCTTCACGACCGAGACCTACGGCGCACTGCCCCACGTGCGCACGCTGAATGTGAGCGACAATCAGCTGGCAGTGCTGGACGTGGGCGGCCTTCCGTCGCTGCGGGTGCTGTTTGCGGACCGCAACTGCCTCGTACGCGTGCGCGGCTTCTCCAAGACGCCGCGGCTGGACAGTGTATCCCTCCGCGAGCAGCAGCAGACGGAGCAGACAGGCACAGGTGGCGGCGCCAGCGACGACAGCAACAGGGCGCGCCTGGACATCTCGTCCCTGTATCACGCGTACGAGATCCGCAAGCTCTATTTGTCGGGCAACCGCCTTGAGAGCTTCGACCCGCCCGTGGACTTTTTGAATTTGCAGCTGCTGGAGCTGGCCAACTGCGGTCTGACATCGCTGCCGGTGCACCTGGGCCGCGCCGTGCCCAACCTGCGCAAGGTCAACCTCAACTTCAACGCACTCACAGACCTGGGCCCGCTGGGTGGCATCTCGCGGCTCAAAAAGGTGCTCGCGGTCGGCAACCGGCTGGCCAAGGCCTTTGCGGTCATCCAGACACTCGCGACGTTTGCGCATCTGACGGAAGTCGACCTGCGGGACAATCCGGTGACGCAAGGCTTCTACCCGCACGTGTCTGTGCCCAGCGCCACCGCGGTCAGCAGCACGACGACTGCCAGCAGCGGCCCTGATGTGGCGGACGCGGCAGCCGCGACACCCGAACCGTTCACGCTGCCGCTGGCCGACGCAGACCACGACAAGGCATACTGCAGTCGGCTGGACCTGGCCACGGGAATGCGCCGGCGGGTCTACAGCCAGGTGCTGGGAGACGCCTGTGCCACCCTCAAGACGCTCGACGGCCTGGCAGTTGACCGCGGGCTGGGTGATGTTCGTGACGAGGTGTGGCATGCGCTGAACGCCAAGGGCATTGTGAGCAACGAGGCTAAGACTGGAAGCGGAAGGCCGTCCAAGAGCGGCGGCGGCAAGACCGTCGACGATGGTGTCAAAAATGGGGCCACGGGGGAGCGTCAATGGGGTGCTGAAGACAGTTTTGCGTGAGGTGGGATTCTGCTCTGCTCTGACGAAATGAGCAAAGGCGACGACGACGGAGACGGCGCATTGTTGCGATATGCTGCATAATGAAGAGGGAGGGGATTGTGGATGCGAGCGCTTCATGTCGGTTTCCTGGGTCTCTGGTTTTTTGGTATTTGCATTCTGCATTTTGTTCATTTGGGAGTTTCTTTTTTTGGGGGAACACGGCAGGCACTGCGGCTTTCTAGACTTTCAATGATGAACAGCCTTGTCCATGACCTGCATTGAATCGTCGTGATATCTTGTTTTTGGAACTTTGTATCATTTTTATGCGGCTATTTTCTTTGCTGTGCTGCTCTCGTCTAAATGCCATAACAGAAAGTCTATGTACCTAACGTTTTGTACCATCCCATCCTGAGAATTTTTGGTTAACAATGCTTCATCGGCCAAGCATGGGCTCTTCTTCTCTTTTCCTATAAGAATTTTTTCCATTTTCCATTGTCCATTTTCGTTTTTTCTTTCTTTTCAATTGTTTCATTCTATTTTTTTTTCAAATCAAAAGCTTCTTGATCTCGGCGACCAGGTCATCTTCGGACACCAGCTGACCCCGGTCCTTCTCGTCGGCCTCGGCACCGCCGGTCCCCAAGACTTTGAGACGCACCTGGCCATTCGCCAGCTCGTCCTCGCCCAGGATGACGCCCAGCGGCACGTCCTCGGCGGCCTTGAACTGCTGGGGCAGCCGCGGCTTTGTCTTGGCGGCAAACTCGGCCTTGATGCCGGCGTCCCACAGGCGGCGTGCGACCTGCATGCGCTCCTTGAGCAGGCCGTTGAAGCTGCCGCCGCCAAAGGCCATGACGTAGACGTCCGTCTCGCGCACGCGCGACCGGCCCTCTGCCTTTTCGCGCTTGGCCTTCATGATGGTGAAGATGCGGTCGACGCCAAACGAGATGCCGACGCAGGGGATCTGCGTCTTGCCGTACATGCCGACGAGGTTGTCGTAGCGGCCGCCGGCGGCAATGCTGCCCACCTGGATCTCCTCGCCGCCCTTTTTCTTGGGCGGCTTGGTGCCACCCGCCGGTGCGGCATCCGTCTCAACGGCGGCGGCGCTCGGCTGCGCCGTGACCTCAAAGATGAGGCCGGTGTAGTAGTCGAGGCCGCGGCAGAGGGCCATGTCAAAGGACACCTTGGTGCTGGGGACGCCGAGCGCCTCGAGGAAGCCGTTGAGCAGCTCCATGTCGTCGAGGCCCTGCTGGATGTCGCTGTTGGCGCAGAGCGCGGCGTCCGCCTTGAGCAGGGCGACAATGGCGGGGATGTCGCCGCTGTGCTTGACGTAGTCGCCGATGCGGTCGGCGACGGCCGCATCGAGGCCCTTCTCGTCCACCATCTCCTTCTTGACGTCGGCCCACGGCAGCTTGTCGAGCTTGTCAACGGCGGAGCTGATGGTGCGGATCTTGTCGGCGGGCACACCGGACACGGCAAAGAGGCCGTCGAGGATCTGGCGGTGGTTGAGCTTGATGACGATGGGCTCCTGGAGGGCGTCGAAGATTTCGCAGATGACGCGCAGGATCTCGGCGTCGGGGATCATGCGGTCGTAGGTGCCGGCAATGTCAAAGTCGCACTGGTAGAACTCGCGCATGCGGCCGCGGGCCACGGCCGGCTGGTCGCGGCGGTAGACCTTGGCGATCTGATACCGCTTGATCTGCTGGACCTTGTTCATGGCCAGGAAGCGGGCAAAGGGCACGGTCAGGTCGTAGCGCAGCGCAGTCAGCTCGCCGCCCTGGTCGGCCAGGTCGTAGATGAGGCGCGAGTCCTCGCCATACTTGCCAGCAAGCACCTCCTTGAGCTCGAAGACAGGGGTATCCAAGGGGACGCCGCCGTGGCGCTTGAAGACGTCGGTGATGGTAGTGCTGGGTTGTCAGTACGGGAGGATGGATGCAAGCCGTGGTGTGAGCGAGTGTGAGCGGCTGTGTGGGCGTGGGGGACCTACAAAATCTCGTCGCGCAGAATCATGTCGGCGCCGGTCCAGTCGCGCGTGCCCTTGGGCGTCTTCAGCTGCACGGCCGGGCCCTTGGCCTTGTCCTTTCCTTCTTTGGACGCCATGCCGCTGTCTAGGTCGTGCTCGACGTCGTCGCTGAATTCTTCGCTCGCGGCACGTGTTGTGACAAGCTCTCTGCGCTGCGCCTTGGTCTTGCGCGAATGTAAAACGTTTTCTGTTCTGATTGTCGACGAGGCTGCAGTCGCGGAGAGCGGTCGGCGCGGCCAAGGATGGAGTGGGTGTCTGCGCGGGTCGACGGGGGGACAAAGAGAGTAGAGTCGAGTACCAACGGCACCAGCAGCGGGAGAGGAGAGGCGTTGCAGCGGCGGTGTCTGTCGAAGTTGTCGGAGCGACGTCTGCGAGGTCGACGGAGTGAAACGAGCAAAACTGCTGGCGATGGAGCGGCGGTTGCGTGCAATTGGCAGCCTCAACTGCATGCCGGGGTGTGCAAAGAACGGCCTGATATGTCCAGAGAGGGAGGAGTACGGAACTGGCGGGGCCGCGCGTGCGTTCAAGTGTGTCCGTTGCGATCTCGTGTGGTCGTCGTGTTTGGATCTTGAGTCACAGCCGTGTCGCAGGTTGGAAAGTATTAGCAAGCTGAGGTACTGCCCAAACGGGCAGAATTGCTGTGCCGCCACCACTGATTTTGGCAGGCACAACCCCGCCGTCCGATAGCGCCAGTGCTCTTGCCGTGGCCAGAATTTTCTGTGCTGTTCCGGGAAGGAAGGCCCAGACGGCTCCACTTTTGTCAAGATTGCCGCCTGATGTGTCAGGCATGAATCAGCCACTGAACGCCTCTACAAGCAATGAGTCAAGACGTTGTGGTGCGCATCAGGACATTGGATCGCCAGTGGCTGGCGACGTCGACGACCTTTCGGAGCACGGAGCGAGCGCAGATTGTCTACAGCGACGACAATTAGATGACGACTGCATAAACATCTGGCAAATCGACGGCATACGAACATTGTCTTACGAGCGCCCTTTTTTTTTTTCTTCATTTTTCTTTTTTTTTCTTTTCTATAATCGTCATATTTTCCGTCTCGACCTCGCCAGAGCTCTCCAACCGCGACGATGCCGCACGCGGTTACCAAGGGCACCGGCCTGCAGGCCCTGATCCTGTGTGGCCCTGGCTCGTCCTTCCCTACATTCACGGCCAACCCGGACGAGAACCCCAAAGCCCTGCTACCGATCGCGAACCGGCCGATGGTCTGGTATCCCCTCGACTTTTGTAACCGAGCAGGCATTACTGGTGCGTCTTCTACGGCTGGCGGAGGAAGACACCGATCACCGATGCCGTAGCAGTATTGGCTCTGTTCGCTAACAACGTGGCTGCGCAGACATCACACTCATCTGCCCCCCTTCGGCAAGCGAAGCGATCAAGGCGGCCCTCAGCACAAACCCGTTCCTGACAAGCCTTCCTGCGCCGTCCGTCCTGGCGCCCCCGGACCTGGATCAGACGACAGGCACGGCTGCGATCTTGCGGCTGCCCGAGGTGCGCGCGCTGGTGACGGCCGACTTTCTGGTGCTGCCGTGCGATCTGGTCTGCGAGCTCGGCGGCGAAAAGCTGCTGCAGGCCTGGATGGTCAAGGCGGCGTCCCTGGCGGACCTGCTGCAGGATCAGGGCCTGGGCCGGTATTTCTTGTCCGAGGGCGGCGCCAACGCCAATGCGAATGCGTCACCCAGTACACGGAACGGCAACGGCTTTGCGACGCACAGCGGCGGCCTGGGGGTGTGGTACGACACGCGGACGGGCATTCCGGCGGTCAAGAGCGAAGAGAAGGACTTTGTGGCGACGGTGCCGTTGTCCAAAGAGTCGTCACAGGCAGCCACCGACGCCAAGACGACAGCGACGTCAGTCGTCGCCCACCTCGAGCGCGTGGTCACAGCCATGCCGACGGACTCGCTCAACGATGTGACCGAGGCGAAAAACGGCTACCCGACGCGCCAGGGCCTGCTGCGGCGGCACCGGGGGCTGCGCATGCGCACGACGCACCGCGACGCGCACATCTACGTGTTCCCGCACTGGGTCATGGACTTTGTGCAGGCCAACGAGCACATGGACAGCATCGGCGAGGACGTGCTGGGATGGTGGGCCAAGGCGGAGTGGCAGCACGGCCTGCCCGAGAAGCTGGGCGTGGGCAAGGCGCTGCAGACGTACTGTGCGCCCGCGGGTGGTGGCAACAGCGACAGCAGCAGCAGTACGGGCGGTCACAACGGTCCCGACGGAGCTGACGGTGCTGACGGAGCTGACGGTGTTGACGGAGCCCGTCACCAGTCGTCTGCCTCGCCCGGCCGCAGTCGTGGGCAGTGGGCACGGAGCCTGACGTCTGGCGCTGGCCCGACCAGCGCGGCAGCGACGCTTGTATCGTCGGCGCCGCTCACCACGCCGGCAGCCGATCTTGAAAACGCTGGAGCAGCACAAGCATCCACGGCGGCTGCTGCCGCAGCCGACCATGACCAGCGCCAGCAGATGCCGCCCCTGCTGGCCTACGTGCACCCGTCGGCCGCCACGGCGCCGCTCATCCGCCGTGTCGACACGTCGCAGCTGCTGCTGACGGTGTCGCTGCAGCTGGCCAAGCTGCCGTCCGTCGAGGAGATGGCCTTGGCGGCGGGCGTGCCGGCCGACAGTGCGGCCGCTCTGGCGCTGGCGTCGCCGTTTGCGCACACCAAGAAGGTGGCGTACCCCGAGGGCGTCAAACCGCGGACGACGGTGACGCGGCCGGACAGCCTGGTGGCCGACAACGTGACGGTCGAGGAAAAGGTCTCCATCAAGGAGTGCGTGATTGGTGCCAACTGCCAGATCCAGGAGGGCGCGAAGCTGCACCAGTGCCTGCTGATGGAGGGCGTCGTGGTGGGCAAGGGCGCCCGCCTCACGCGGTGCATCCTGGGCAAGCGCAGCGAGATTGGTGCGCAGTCGGTGCTGGTGGACTGCGAGGTGCAGGAGAACCTGCTGGTCGAGCCCAAGAGTATGTCCCTTTTTGTTTACGTGTTTCTTTATCCTGTTTCCCCCCCCCCCCCTCACGTTTTCCTCGCGTGACCAGCGTCTACTTGCATTGCTTGACCAATTTGCTAACATACTGTCCTCGCACCCACAGCCGAAGAAAAGGACAACAACTTTATGAGCTCCGAGGGTCTTGAGGCGACGGCAGAGGAGATGGATGAGGCAATGCAGGACGTCTCCGACGACGACGTGGCTGTAGCTGGCGCGTGAGGGGCGAGCATCGGGACCCTCCCTTTGCCTTCTCACCGCTGGTTTCCCGGTTGCTCTCGTGCCTCGTGTTGCAGTGCAGTCAGTTATATATATGGCACTCTGGCTTATCAGGTTCGGGGAGAATATCTCTTTGCTGTGACGCCGGAAGTGGCAACAAGGAGCCGAGAAACAAGCACAGGTGGACTCTTGGACTCGTGAGCTGCCTTTCTTTCTCTAGCTACCATAAGAAGAGAAACAAAAAGACGCCGTGTTGCACGTTGTGCGATGACGGAACAGCGGCGATAGGTGGTCTCTGTCGACCCCGTTTCAAGTTACCCGTCGACGGCCGCCCAGCGCAAGATTTCGTCTCGCTTGCGGCTTCAATGCCTAGAGTATCGAACACCCGATGGCCGACGCACGACACAACGGTACACGAAATGACGAGAGCGGGTCTGGATGGGTGTCTGTGCAGTCACGAGGCAGGTCGGTGTCTACGACAGACGTTTCCCTCTGATCAGTATGCCATCGAAGTGAGCAGTCCAGTGAGACTGCCGTGCATGATGTGGGGGAAAGAAAATCAAAAGCGACAGAGATCCAAACGAATAGATAGATGAGCAACATAATTCAAATGAACTTCGAAATATGGACTGCAGACTGCAGACTGCAGATCGCCACAGAGGATGTATGCATAAGTCTTCAGAGTCTGCTGAGATGATCAGCCACGACGATATTCGAGGCCCTTGTTGGCCAGACTACCAACTGTTGCTTTGTCAGGACGGTTACGGATACTGAGCATTGCAAGACGAAGGACGACGGGCCAGAAAGCAGCCGTTCTGTCCATGGGTGCGCTTTCCCCGACGGAGTAAGCTGCTTCCCATGTCATTGCCATGCCACCCGCCTTTTCCTGCATGTCTCGTGTTCCTGTCTGGCCCTGTTTTATTTGCTTTTTCTTCTCTCGCGCCTATGCAATGCAATGCATGTCTCTCGTTTTCGGCATCTGCTGGCGCAAGGGACGGACGGCTGTGATTGGAGGGCAAGGACACGGGGCAAGCTAGGTGGCCCAGATGCTGCGCGGACAGGTCTTTCGCCGAAGGAGTCTCTCTCTCTGTGTCTCTCTCTTTGTCGCTCTCTTTTTTTCTGTATTTTTGCCGTCGGAGCTGTCCACGACATGCTTGTTAGTGGCTACTGAAATGGGTACAATTTGCTGTCCTGGAGTTCTGGACCCGTCGGACCGTCTTGCAGGTGTCTGGATTGTCGACAGACTAATGGAGTCACTATCGATATTGGCGGCTTGGAGCACGACGAAAAGGGTGTGGATGACGAGTCGATGGCAGCGACAGGAGGTGGACAGGAGAAGGGCCTACATGTCGACGTCCTGTCTACAAGAGGCTTATCTCGACCACAAGATAGGAGTTATTTGGTGAACTGGACTTTTTATTAGGAAAACCAACAAGGCACGAAGCCCGGGCCAGAGTGCACCTTGCTCCATTTGTATGTTATAGGCCTTACTGGGACTGCCATTTTACATTGTTTCGTTTAGATTTTGACTCTGCACTTGAGCCTCACTAACTATGCACGCCCCTGCGTCGCCAGATCCTAGACTCAATGGCAATTCGACCATCTGAGCCGGACTCCGAATGCAACCCTACCTCGTTTTGCAGTCAAGCACAAAATTATGTACATCAAAGCGAGATGCGGCCAACAGTATAAACATCTCCCTGGACGCCTCGGTCGTTTGCAGAATTTAACCAGACGTGGCCTTGGGATATCGTCTCCATTTCCCTCTTCACTTCGTTGGTCTTACTTGCCAGCGACAGAATGGCCCAATTTATCCTCTTGTACGTTTAGGTCCTGCATCCGTGAAACCCCGGGTGTGCCCGTCTTTCTCGTCCGCTTTCTCATCCACTTTTTCTTTCCACTTCTCGCTTTCTGACCGTTCTTGTCAAGGTTGTGTCTTTTTTCTGGTACAGTACATCTGCATTTGACGCTGGGCACATTTAGTATCTTTCCATACAGAATATTGCACATGAATTTTATATTGAGTCGCTTGTTTGTTTACTTTTTATATTTTTCATTTCGTCTCATACACTTACTGACCACTACTCTTGGCAACTTTCTCTTCACATTGACTGTACACTGGCCCTAACATAGCCTCGTTTAGATGGCCTCTCCCTGGGTAGCCCAGCCGTTTTCAGCATCGCGTTTCCAACTATTGAATTTAAACATGCATCGTTTCGTACGTGCCTCTGGCGGTATGTCCCTGGACTGCATCCTGCTTATACTGTACTTGAGCCCAACTGGTCTTATTATTCTTCTTCGTTTTCTTTTTCAACTTTACATCTTGCACATCCAGCGTCCTTCTTCCGTCACGATCCGTCACCATGGTCACGATCCTCGCTAGTTTTTGTCGGCGTGCGAATCGTCGCTGTGATCCATTGCCTCTCCTTTCGCTGTTCTTGGTCCAACCGTATGTAAGGCTTGCCATAGCGTCCATAGTACTGATCACGTACGACATGCGCCAATTTGGTCGATCCAAGGCTTTGTGTGGAGCATTCTTTCCGGCGGACTCAGAGGAAACTAGGTCGGCCGTCACGTACGGGACACCAGCCTTGCACGGCGACTAGTGCTTTCGATAGCCGTGCAAGGCGAAGGGTGCATCTTCACCGAAAAGCCAGAGCTAGCGAGTCAATAGCTGCTGGTGTTGGACAAGAACTACGAAGTAAAGAGTCGTTGTGTGGCGTTTACATTGCTAATGTCATTCGTATCCTCTTGCGTCTCGTGCAAGTTGTATTTTATAAACCACGAAGCCGAGTCGAATCAAACAGCCTCGCTCCCGCACGGCTGGCCATCCGTCTTCCGCGAGCTCCTGATGGAATGCCTGGCCGAGAGCGACAGACTAGGCAATGCCAGCGTAACTTGGACGCCTCACTTGGCCCGAAAGGCATATGCACAACTGTAAGATTTGCTCGCCCTCACCGGTTCGCTTAATGTTCCTAAATGGTTAATGGTCCTCCGTGTGGCGGAAGGATCGGGTGGATCGAAAGCCATCCGCACGACTGCGAGAAATGACAACGCCAACCGGCCAGATGCCACAACGAGAGAACGGTGTCGTGCTCAGAGACTGTGAAGTCGGGGGATAGGAGATTGCGATGCTGCGTCGATGTCGTATTATTTGCTTGCTTCCTACGCCGAGATGACCATCATGTAGCTGTTGCGAGCCCCGTTTTGCGCATCAACCGCCTTGCATCCTGGTTCTGCCTCTTTCGAGCTGAGTGCATCTCGTGACTCTCGCTTGTGTGTCTTGGATATCTCTTTTCTTTGTCTCTTTTGATCATTCATCTTGTCGTTCTTTCATTCTTCCATACTTATTCCTTGTTTATCTCCTTGTTTATTTCCTTATTTATTTCCTTATTTATTCCTTTCCTATGTCCATCATGTCGTCTCATCTCGTCTACCCCTCTCCAGTGAGACATGGCTTGGACCAGTGCGGCTCAACCGGCCCCTCTTCGTGATCGCCGCTCTTCCCGGTTATCCTGGTCGACAATCCTTGCTTTTATGTTTCCTTTTGTGCTTCCTTTTGGGGACGTTCTCTCTACATTGTTTCCCCCTGCTCGATGTTGCTTTCCCTTTTGGTCTCGACTGTGACTCTCGCTTCGTCTTTGGTCCTAGACAGCTGCGGCGTCTTGCTTCCTACTGCAGACTAGCGTAATGCATGTCTTATTTGAATTTTCTTTTTTTTTTAAAAAAAAATCTAGTTTTAAATCTAGTATGGATCAATGGACAATGGCCAGCCTCCTAGCCTCCGCACGACTTGCACATCCCCTCACTTTCTTCTCTCGCTTCGTTCGTCTCCTGCTCCTCCCCACCGTTCGTTTCTCAGACAGCACCAGTTTGCGTTGTCTCGGCCTCCCTTCTCTCCGCCCGCCCTCTCCAAAGCTCCCAAGGGAGACCAAGACGACGGTCTCCAGCCCACGCTTGGTTTGTGGTCGACGACATACGACGCACGGCGTTTTCCGTTGGACAATACGGCCGTCGTCCTCTGCCTCTGCCCACAAACGCCCTCCGTAGCGTCCAGAACGGGTCCGTGCCCGGCGTGGCCGTTGCCAGTGTCGAGTGAGGTGTGTCTGCAAAGGAACGTTGAGTGCAGATGTGTGTACAACCACAACCAGCAGCTCGATGCTGTCTTTCCTCCTGCTGATCCTTATTCTTGCAGGCAAGGGATGCGAAGCGTTGGTGACTTGACCTTTCCCTTTCACCTTTTGCCTCTTTTGCCTCTTTTTCCTCTTTTACCTCTTTGGCCTCTTTGGCCTTGGGATTTTCGACGCGCCTGTCCGACATTCGAAAAGGTTTAAGGAGTCTCAGTCGCGAGGACAAGATCTCGATGAAGACAGCGCAGTCTGCATCTGTAAGTTGCCACACTGAAGAACAAGGCCGAAAGACCCGTTCAGTTTGACTCCATTTCACGCAAGGGAACCTGCGGCTGTGATGCAGAAGAGGACGATGTCGTCGATGCAGCAGGATCGGAGGACAGACGAGAGAGGACGAGGTAGTACGGGATCGGAGGACAGAAGATCACTCTCGAATGGAATTGTGCCCTCCACGACTGCTCAGCACGTTGTATGCAACCTCTTAACGCTCCGCGTTCCTGTTCGTTCACGTCGGCGCTCACCTTTGGTTTGCGATTCCACCTCCCTTGTTCGCGTCTCAAGCTCACGTCCACGCCATGCTATCCGCGCTCTTCAGATATACACACCCTCCTCGTAATCGTAGCTGCTCTCCAACATCTTCGTGCTTCGTGTGAGAGGGGTGTGCCCTTTCATTCTATTGTTCTTTTGTCCTTTTGCCCATCTGTGGTTTTAGTCTTCATCATTTTTGTTCCTGGATGTCGCCCTTTTGTGCCTGGATGGCCGCCCTTTCGTTCCTGATATTCATCCCTGGAGAGCCTTGGATCGTTTCGGGATGGTCCTTTTGTTCACGCGTCTGGAATGCACTCATGTCTTTGCTATTGGTATTGTCATCAAACAAGATCCCAACAGTCCGGACGACAAATGGCTAAAAACCACTCGAGGCACTCGAAGCACGTAACGAGACTGGACGCGACGATTCGCGCCGGCTCGCGTAGGGGCGCGGACAATCATCTTTTGCGCATGATGTGCGTTTCGAAAGTCCTTTAAAGTCCCGACTCTTCACAATTTTAAAATGTACGAGCCCTTGCTTGAATAGCGCGCAAAAGCGTGTCATGAGCGCCGTCCAAGCTGGCGTTTCGGAGAATTAGAATCGTCAATTCACACGATGCGATTTCTGCAGAAGCCCTACGAAAGACGCGTCAAGAGACTCTGCAGAAGACACCGCCAGCACACTCCTTGACCAGCGTGACAAGATAGTATGACCTGCCCGCTCGTCGTCTCGTCCTTCCACTTTTCTGCCCTTTGGGCTTGTTCCCTTGGTTCTCGAGCTTGTTGGCGTCCAGTGGTTTCCTGACAAGGAAGGCAAGCTCGACGATGACGTGCCGAGCGATCATTCTGAGCATTTCTCCGACCGGGATCGTAAAAGATTTAAATTCAAAAATGGAAACCCAAAAACCCAAAACCAGGGTGCAGCACACGAAAAAGGCGGGAAAAGACGCTTGGGCCATAGGTTGCTCGGTGCTTTTTAGTTGAAGCAAGCGGACAACGGAAGTGTGGGGAAGACAAGGGGGAGGGGTGGCTGTGAAGGGACTTTCAGGACTGGCAAAGAACAAATGACCCCGGTGGTCCTGTGAGGCATCTTGCATTGTGGGTTGGGGCATCCACGTCCGTGCAGTCTCGGCCACTGCAATATGTCGATGTTTGAACGTGAAAGCAGTCATGTCGTAAACATTTGGCAAGTTGCCGAGTCGGTTAATGGCCCGTCCTCTCTTTGTGACCCTGGTCGTGGTCGTGGTCGTGGTCGATGTTTATTTTGGATGTGGACTCTGAGGCGGCAAGATCGAGATCACTGTCGATGGACTCTTGTCCATTGCAGTTGCTAGGCTGTATTCACTGGGGTCGTCATGGAAGCAGGGGTGCTGTGGAGGCCGCCAGGTTCGTAAGGCCAGGACCTTCGGACATGGTCGAGCTGAGAGCAGGGGTTGGGAGCGGGAAGGACAGCAGGGATTGTTCAAAATTGGGGAGCAGTGTCGTACTCATTACGTCGTATGTCCAAGGCTGTGACCAGGCTAAGCAGGCTCAGCAGGCTCAGCAGGCTCAACCGGCCCATCCTCGATCGTTTCGAGGCGGCTGAAGACGAGCAGGCTGACATCGGTCAGCTGTGTTTTCTTCTGTCTCCAACTGTCTTTTATTTCTTCCTTGACTGTTTCACGCTCTCGTCTCGTTACTGGGGCAATGATTACTCAATCATGACTGGGTGGTTTGCCTCGGCTGTAGTTTCTTTTTCCTTCTTTCCCCGTAGCAGAGATTGCTTGATTGGATTGGTTTGATTGAATGATTTGAATATTTGAATATTTGTCATATGGAAATGTTTGCACATCTCATCACCTGAAAGGCCGTCACAATCTTAACAGCCAAGAACTCGAGCACATGCAGCTGATGAACGGGCCATTACCGAAACCACCGAGGACCGTGTTTGCGTCACGACTTTTTCGGGCAGGATGCGCATCGCAAAAAGATGATACGTCCCAAGATGGATGCTCCCTGCGGCGCGCATCGTCTCTTTGCAGCGCTAGGTGCATCCAGTCGTCTATCTATCGTCTATCTAGTCGAGCATCGAGCCGAGCATCTAGTCGGCATCGAGTCGAACATCGAGTCGGCATCTAGTCGAGTACTTCCGCCTGCCCATCGAGTGGTGATCTGGCAGTGCAAAACGGGCAAGGCTCCATTCGCCGCGGGTTTTGTTTCCCAAACCATCGGCCGGTCTCACTTCTCACCTCGTTTTGTGCGACGATTGCCTCATGACAATTTCAAAAATACGGCTGCCGTCCACCCGAGAAAAGGACGGCACAGGAGCTGGCGTTTCGTGCTCGCGTTCTTTGTCAGCGCTACTGTTCCAAGACCAGCCATGACGGGCATCCGGAGGCACAAAAAGACCAAAAGACCAAAAAGACCAAAAAGACCAAAAAGACCAAAAAGACCAAAAAGACGATGGAGCCTGGAGGCAGAGCCACTTGCAAGCCAGCGTGCTGCTGCAGCACATTGTAAATACTGATTCATAATCGAACAAAAAAAAAAACACTGCAGGGCCCCTCCTGTGCGTAATCTTGCTCTCCGTGTCGTACGGCATGCCACCGGAAATTTGCCTCGATTGGCTATTGTGGCTGGCTGCTCGCCGCATGTCCAGCAGATCACCACCCAATGGCAGCCTCGAACCGGCGCGTCGTGATGGGGTCCCCTGGGCGGCCAACGGTCTGGCCGGCTTGGCGGGACGACAAGGACGAGATAGTTTGTACGTCGTACGGGATGCCCGTTCCTCATTGGCAGAAGGGGATCGGGAAGGGCTCGAGAAGGGCTCGAGAAGGGGCTCGGGGTTGTGTCGTCTTCACGGCCAAAGGCTCACTACACTTGGCCTTTGGTTTTGACTCGTCTTTTTCATAACACCCTCTCGTTTGACACATCACATTGCACACAGACACACACAGACACTCCCCTCAACCGGTCCCAAGAGAGCGCATGTGAATGCCGGTCCCGTACAGGACGAACCATGGCTAACTATGAATGAACTACGGCGCACCACCACTCTTATGCCCGTCCAGCCTGGCTCTGGCTGCCTGGCTGTCCAACATCTCGCCCAGCGGCACGCCCATTGGACGGCTCAGGAGTCATGTCTCGACGCGCTCCGCCGCGTCGTTTGGGGCGTCGATCGCGGAAAGGGAGGCTTTTGGTCGCTCGTCTAAAAGCGGAGCTGGTTGAGAGCGGAACAACGGCGACGAGAGACGACGCCTCATTGGGAGAGCACATCGTGCTCGTTTTGTCAAGTCACCGTCTGCCGTCTTCCGCCTCTGATCTGCGGCCTTCCCCTTCCGCTTTCCGTCTTCCGGCCTTGCGCACTTTCTTCTTCTCCGCATCCCCAGCTCTCGATTGTGGCAAATTAGAAATTAGGTCGTCGCCTGTTTTGTATTGCTACGTTGCTTGGTTTTTTTTTTTTTTTTTGCTTGACGGCCCCATTTTGGTCGCCTGCCTGTTGGTGCCCTGTGTGGACGTGGATTTACTCGTCTTGTTGCGCATGCCGAGCATGTTTCTGGATTTCCTTTTGTCTTCTTTTCTACGTGTTTTTCTTCTTCTTTTTTGGATCGTTTTTGAGATTACCTCATTGTCTTTGCCTTGTCCATGTCTTGGCAGTGAGACATTGCCTCTGAGGTCCAAGCGCCGGCATCCCAGTCAACTCCCAGAAGCCGACGATCCCTGTGAGGATCATCTCCACCTCCAACTGGACAAATCCAGCATAACGCCTGCGCGGCGAGACAGCGCCTCTGATCCAGCCCCAAATCGGGCCGCCAGATCGCCCACCAGCAGCAGAAAGTCGTCCCGAGGCGCCGCCGGCCGGCCTTTCAACCGGCCTTTTCGGCCTTGGAAGGGGAGAAAGTAGGCGCAATGTCGACAAAATGGAGGCGCCGTGGATCTCCATTCACTTTGAGAGCCTGCTGACGATCCTGTATTGCTCTGTACGGTGTACGGCCCTACGGCCAATTTCCTTTTCAGCAGCAATGGTCAACAGATATTCAGGTGATCCTCTGTCCACAGCTTGGCTCCTATCGCCCAGAGCGGCATCTTGCCCTTCCGTTTACGTTCTTTGTTTCTTTCATCGTTTGTGCAGCTCGATGGACGCGCAGAGAACCGTGCCCAACGGAAGTATTTTTGTAGCCATCAACTGGTGATGCTTCATATCTCGAAGTCGCTGATTTCGCACAACTTCGACCGGGGAAGGCGCAGAAAAACAGCGAGCCACACGCTACCGGGCGAACTTCCATGAGGGAGCATAATCAAAGCCAGCAACAGTCAGGAACAACCAGGAACAGCCAGGAACAGCCAGGAACAGTCAGGAACAGTCAGGAACAGGCCGTTCATTGGCCTAGCTGAGTGGTGACGGTTACACCTAGTGCGGCCGGCGCGATCCTGGGGCTGAACAGGAAAAGGGGACACGGCCAGGTCCCCCAACCATTCAAAAGTCAAATTGCACGTGGCGTTTCCCTTCCCCAACGTATGTGGCAGCCGCTCCAGAAATCCTGCCACGGCGGGATGGATTCAAATTCGTCCAAAGAACATCGAGGTAAAGACTGACAAATTATCCACCGAATGCCGCAACTGCCCGCTCCGAAAAGCGAACAAGACAGCCGCCAAGCACAGAGGCAGCTTTTATTTTTGCTGCAGTGGGAGCATGTCTCTCAGAGAGAAATGAGCAAACCGGGTTAATATCGGCGGAGGATGCGTCACCTTTATGGGTTCTTCCACTTGACGTCGATGGTGACTTGGCGGGGCGATGGATTGTATCGTTTCCAGGTCTGTAGCCATGATCCTGCCCGCATTATCAGACAAGCAGACAAGCAGACAAGCGGACAAGCGGACAAATGAGACCAGCTTTGCGACTTAAATACCAAGCAGAGAGTCAAACTACAGCCCTTGCCAGAAAGAAGAACAAAACATCTTCAGTGGCGAGCCCCCCCTGTTCCTGGGCAACACATTGGGTAAAACGGACAGGGGTTGGGACAGGACGGCCAAGGCCTGGGCCTGGCCTGGGCCTGGCCTGGGCCTGGCCTGATGCGCCTTGTGGTAAGGTATGTTCCGTCGAGAGTGTCTCACGCTCAGTCAGGAATACCGGCTGGGTGCAGAGGCTTCTTTTTCATATCGTCGTATCTGCTGTTTTGTTTTCTTCCATCAGACGTTTCCCCTCACTTGCTTCGTTTGCCTCATTCGACTGCAGTTCCTCTTGTTCTGTTTTATTTATTTTTATTCTTTTATTTATTTTTATTCTTTTATTTATTTTTATTCTTCCTTCTTTTTATTTTGCCTTGCATATTAATCTAGTTGCTTGCTCTATCCTTCCTAATCGAGGCTGTGGAGAACGACTGCCCCCCGTCCTGGGCTCATAATCTGCCGTTTGTCATCTTCATCTTCTTCTTTTTCCTCTGCGTGTTTCCCTTTTCTCTATATGAAGCATCATTTATCCCTCATTTTGTCTCACATTCACACTTTCTCCTCCTCGTATTGTCCTCCCCCTACTCACGCACCATCGAGGCTGGACCGTCTTGGCGGGCCAGGCTGGCTGGCTGTACTGAAACCTGGTTGCTCTTCCCGGACTAGCCATATGTACGGTCCCTTTCGTTGGGTTTTTGCAGTGCAACACATTTTGCCTGTGTAAGTACGCAGTACATTGTAATTGGGTGGCTGTTTCACGTCGATTGGTCCGACGTTACACCCGTCTTTGTCATATTCTTCTTTTTTTCTCCTTCGCTTCTTTTTGGGGAGGCTTTGTTTTGTTTTTCTTCTTCTTGGTGGTCCTCACCTGCTTCTTTAGAATTGATGGGTTATTTTTGTTCCTTTATTTTTATTTCATCTATTTTTGTCACTCTATTTTGTCCACCTATTTTGTCTCTATTTTGTCTCCTCTTGGCATTTCTTGGTCCACTACGGGACAATTCCCCAGATTTCGGCCCTATCAGTTTGAGAGTCGAGCCAATGGCCCAGGCCATGGCGGCCTTTCTATGGCCGCACTTGGCTTTGTGTTTTGCGACATAGATGCCGCCTTTGCGTGGTGCTCATCGAACGACAACATCGTGTGGCAACTGAAACGCGGGCGACGTGCATTTGATGGTTGGGGAGTTGGGGAGAAATTACGCAAAGATTTTTTTTATTTTTTATTTTTATTCTTTTTCTCGCTCAAACTCTTTCTCCTTCCTGTCTCGTCGGTGGTACATTAAAGTGGACAACGCACGAAAAATAACGCAAGCAAACAACGACAGCCCAGCCCGACACGGACGAGGACATTGGCGAGCGTTCTTTCGAGACATCAGACATATTTCTCTAGATTGTCTCTTGTCGTCCATGATAGAACGGGATACTTGTTTATCTCCTTTGGGACATCACATTGCAGTCGTACGATGTCGACGTCTGGTCAGTGTGGTGGGTGGTGCAGCAAAGCAATGATATATCCGGGTTGGGTTTAGACACGAGAAGCAGCAGCAAAGCGGAGAGGCTTCTAGACCTTTGGACTCCGGCGTTCAAACCATTCAACACTTTTTCAGACTTGCAAACCGAACGAGAGCCTATCGGGGATGCGATCCGACACCAGCACCGGCACGCTAAACTCGTCTGGGATGTTGAGAATGCAGCTCCCTTGCATATGACGCATGAGGTCCTCGTCGTCGGGGGACCGTCTGCAGAGACTCTGAACCTACACAGTATGCACGCAACGCCATTCTGCAAAGCCCGAATGCTGCCTGAAGTTATCTGAAGTGTCTGAAGCTATCTGAAGTGTCTGAAGCTATCTGAAGTGTCTGAAGCTGTCCGAAGCTGTCTGAGGCTGTCTGTTGGCCATTAGCTCCAAGCTTGTGACTGGGACAAACTTTGAGCTCGTATGGGATTACGAGATGTGCACACCCACTGACAAACAGCCAGCCACACAAAGTAGCCAATAGTGCGTAGGCAAGGGCAGACCCCGGTCAGGCACGGTCACCGGCTTGTCCAGGAACAAACACTGTAAGGGACCAGTTGTGGTCGGCGAAAGCATCAACTACGACAAGTGTTGTACAAGTGTTGTAAAGTGTTGTAAAGTGTAAAGTGTTGCTGCACGTGGAAAGAGCACTCGTTGATTTGTCCATTATACAAAATGTCCTTTACTTATATTCTGTCACAGTCAATAGCCAAAAGCTTACAGCTTCAGCTCACATTTCGCAGCTCAGTGTCATTACGAATTGTTCCACTCGCAGGTCGTCCGGTCCTCCTTCGCCAAGTGGGCGAAGGAACAAAAGGTCCGAAGGTGCAGTTGCCATTTCTCCGGGAATATGGGAGACAAGGGTTCAAAAGAGACGGCAAGAACTGCAGTTCTGGCCTACAATAGTGTCTAGTCCAGCAGTTGTTTTTGCCTCTTTTCATCTTTTTTTTCTTTCTTTTTCTTTCTTTTCTTTCTTCCTTTTCTAATCTTCTTCTTTTACTCTACGGAATGCATTGATCATACTCCTTACAGAGAATGAGCCAGCTTGGTTGGACAGACAAAGGAGCCCGAGACAGGTCGGCGGAGACAAGGAAATGGTGAGAATTGACTGGTCGATTTCGATTTTGCGGAGTGGGTCTTGCATTGTTTTGGTCCCGATGCGATGATGGGTTTATGACTTGCTGTATGATGTTGCTTATGCCTAGATTTATGACTTATGACATCGTTTTAAACAATTCAACCTTTTTGCAGCCTTTGAAACCCTGCTTAAATCTACTTTATTCACAGTTGGGCCCCATAGTACCGCGCGCAACTGTGCGGACTTTGGGGCTGTCAGGGCACGGCCAATCCATGGCGACCTCATCTGAGACATGCATTCAGCCTGGCGAGTGCCATGCCGGCCGTTGATTTGTCCAGGGCAGAACAAATTTAAAAAAAAAGGCGAGTCCACCATGGCGAGTCCACCACGGCGAGGGTGCATGGAAATGTCTCAGCTTGGCCCTGCAAGTGGCCGACCATTGCAGCTGCGGTCCGTCCTCACTGCTGGAGAACGCGCAGGCAACCTGTCGCCTGCCTGTCGCCTGTGCCTCTGGATCCTTCCCTCTGTGCAGACTGCCGCCGCAGGTTCATGCACCTGATGTTCCGACGAGATGGAGGGCATCCCTCCCCCTCCCCAAGTCCCTCGTATGTCCATCTATTTCCACTTTTGTGCATGACCCGAGCCCTGTGCCTGGCCACAAAGTCACCAGTCGCTGCGATACGACGCACCGTACGCTGAGTGGGTTGTGCCAACGCTATGCCGAGTCTGGTCGCCGGCCGGGCGTCCTTTCCTGGCCGTCGATCAGCACCGTCGTATCAGCCCAACACAGTGGCCCAAGACGACGCTGTATCTCTCACTCTGCAGCTCTGCAACTCTGCAACTCTGTCGATGCAGCTGCCTCCCCACAATATGACGGAGCCGCCGTAGGGGTTGTTCGACTGTCGGTATTGCTGTAGCATCGTGGTGGATCGCGGTGTCGTTGCCGTGTCGTCGGTCCACTTCTCTCGCGTCCTCCCGCCTCCGGTCGTCTCTCGTCCCCGACGGTCTCCTCTGTCTCTTCTGTCTTTACCATTTTTCTACTTTTGGCAGACGACAGACAGCATGACACTGCTGCCGCAATCCCCAAAAGGAAACGGCAAGGACGGCAAGGACGACTGCGCGCAGCCAATCGACCGCCATGCGAGTAAAGGGGTTGGGTAGACAGGACTGTGGTGGCGTCAATGGCAACGCCGCCCGAGACGAGCATTGGACAATGATGGAGGAACTCACATCGAAACGAGCGACGAGGTGCGCCTACAAGAGAAGCGAGATGGGCACACACACTGCGTCGACATGCTCGTCCTCGCTCGGGCATCGTTGGACGCATATGTCTATGCATATGTCTATGTACAACACAGGTCTCTTGGCATCGACAGCCAACGCAACCCCGCAGCTGTGTCGACAGGCGACAGCTCTTCTTTTATTGTCCTCCTGTACCTCTTGGCCCCTCGGCGTGAAGGCCTTCTCTGTTCTGGGTGTCGTGGCTGCACATCATAAAGAGGGGCAACTGAGACAAAATATGCAGGCGTCCGGATACGAACATCAGACGTGAGCTTGGCAAGCAGGCAAGCAGGCGGGCAGGCAAGTGTATGTGGTACAAAGGCGCTTTTGCGTATGCGGCAACTTCCACCCCAACGAGAACATGTGCAGAGTACAAGCGAGCCTCGCACAATCGAACAGGACAAACAAAGAGAGGCGTCAACGAGACGACATGGCCGGTTGCTGCATCTTCCATCTTCCACGGCGTCCCCAAAGCAACGCCAGCTCTACGAATACAGACGGCACTCCGTCGCAAGCCAGTCCCTTTTTTATTCAAACTGTATGTTGTAGTTCCAGGAACGGACACGCAGTCGCCCTCAGCGCCACACAGCGTCAAGCCACCGGGGCCGGGACAATGCAATTCGTGGCAACCACGGTAGGGCGACCTGGGCACAGGTAAAAGTACGGTATGCGAGCTCTGTACGACATGCAAAGTACAAGGTACGGAGGTAGGTGATAGGGTGAGACATGTCGGCGGAGGGGGGCACCGCAAAGGGAAAGCAGTGTGGCAATCCGATCAACGAGAAGACGATCAACGAGAAGACGAGAAGCAGTCACAATATGCAGAGGTCGAGTTCGTCTCATCTCCTTTTCTGTAGGTCTTATGAGTCGGGCACGCGTGATTATCAAGTATCACAATCTCACAATCGTCACAACCGGCATCTGTGCTTTCGCTCTCTGTCGCTCTTTTTTCTTTTTCTTATCGTTTCTTGTTTCTTGTTCCTTGTATCTTGTTTTCAAACGGAATGCTCGGTCGTCGTATTTTCTTTTTCTTTTCTTTTTCTTTCTTTCTTTCTTTTTTGATCTGCACTCATTGCATGGGCGGACCCCTCTGCTATGTTCATGTCCGCTTCTCCTCCGATGCCTTGCATGCGGATGAGGCGTCCGTAAGGAAACTGTTTCGGGTTGCCAACGCCCAACGCATGCAAGTGACGTAGCGACGATGCAGAAGGGAAGGAAAAGGCGGCGAGCCGAAGAGGAACTGTGGCAACAATTGACGAGCAAGCTCTGCGAATCGACGACGGCCATTGGAGCCCTACATTCGTGCATGCGGCATTCCTCGTTCTGCAGTCAGCTTGCGTACGGGTCGGCACCAAGTGGACTTGCGCATATTGGCTGATTAACCACCGCCGCGCTGTGGTGCAATCCTGGTAATTTACATGGCCATTTTCGGGATGGTCCCTGGCCTGGGCCCCTGTTCCTGTGCCTCTTTGCCTTTTTGTCCTACTTTTGTTTTTCTACATCGTCTTTTTTCCGTCTGCTTCTCTTCTCCTCCTTACGACGCCACGAGGATTACTTGTGGTCTAATGCAGCCACCATACCAATGGGGATTGCACTCGTACAACTCTTGCTCTCGTTTTCCGGTTCCTGTCCATGTCTCCTCGTCCATTGTCCACTGTCGTTCCTCGACACTAATGCAATAACACCCAAAAAGGAAAGCAAAGGTAACAAATTGCGCGCACACCCCAGCGGACGCAGCTGCCCATGCAAACCTTTGAACCCTTACTGCTGTGAGCAGGATTTTTCCTTGGAGGCCGAGAGGCGACATGGGGGATGAATAACAGGGACCACCTGCAAGCGCATGCGTGCAGGCATGCGTGGATGTCTGCTGTGCAGGCTTTTTGAACAGCGGCACATTGTGTCGTAGCAGAATGCAATAGTCATGTTTACTTTTTTGTATGCAGGTCATGCTCGTCCCTTGCCGTACGCAACGTCAACGACGTCATTGACTATTTTATGAATGATGAATGGTTTGCTCTTTGCAGTAATGGCCCGTAACGGGGTTGGGAAGCTGCCGTTCCCGTTGCTTTCTCGTTTTTATTTGTTTTTGAGCTCGTATCCGTCGCCCTCTTCGGGATCGTCAGCAAGATCGACCTGTGCGGCTGCCAACCTAACGGTCAAGTGGTCTCTCTCTGTATTGTGTCTGTGGATTCGTGGGCATTGCTTGCCACAATGTAATGGGCGGCAGTCGTCGGGTTCCAACGCGTTTGTGCTGATCGGTTCCTTGTTCTTCTAGACACACGTATCTTGACCAATGGCTTGCCCAATGGTTGGACCACGGCTGCCACCAGCATCCGACGCTCCGAGGCCGAAGGATGGCAGAGATTTGCAAAGAGTGCAGAGGGCATAGGGCTGTGTGCACCGGATCGATTGCGATCCCATCCGGTGGTTATCAAATTCATTTGTCTCTGGCCCGCCGGACGGTCGCCTGCTTATTGTGAACTAAAAAAGCTAAGATACGCTAACAAGCGAGCAACCTTTAGGGACGCTTCTAAACCGGTTTAGGGGACCAACGCTGTCTTGTTCGTGCTGAGCACCGGCGGTGCCTGTTCCCACCTCAATCCCTTTCAGTCATAAACACTCCATTTCCAATGCTGCTCTGACGTTGCCCTGCCCCCCATGCGCTTTTGCCACGAGGGGCATGTATAAGAAAAAAGAGAGGTGAAATAGAGTCTCATAAAACGTCCGATATCAAAAAGAGGAAGGAGAAATAAAAAAGTCAATAAAAAACAGGGAAGTAATAAACTATCAGCTCCTTGGACCTTCGGCCATTTTCTTTCTGGACCTGATTATGCACGACGTACAACGTGCAACGTACAACGTACAACGTACAACGTACAACGTACAACGTACAACGTACAACATCCCTCCCGTCTGCCACGAGTAGCGTCACATGTGACGAACCTTCGCGGAGAGGACAAAAGCGAGTAAGAAGAGGTCCCAACCTCAAACCACCTCCGTGCCCTACTTCGGCCGCTCTCCGTATACATGTTATCAAGATGTACAGCGGTTCATCTCGCGCCCAAGTACTGTTGCATCGCCGTTCTTGGAAGGGGACCAAATCCAAATGGCCTTCTTGGAAGAAATCCAGACTGCCGAGCGAGGGGGCTCCAATACTACATAAAAAACGACACACAACGTACAAACCGTCCCACCCCACCCTCAATTTTCATGGAGAGAACAGCACGATGTGAACTGCAAGCACGATCTGCATTCACGACGGACAATCTTTCCTCATTTGCTGTATTTTGTGCATTGAGGATGACGCTCTGCGAATGTGGCTCCTTTTTGTCCTTTTGTCCTTTTGTCCTTTTTGTCCGTTCTGCTTTCTGCTCTTTCTTCATTTTCATTGTTCTCTTATTTTACTGCTCACCGGGGATGAGCTCCGTCTCGCCCCGGACGACTCCACACTACCGACCAAATGGAGATATCCAACGGAGTCGAAAGGTACAGTAATCATGTGTCGTACGTGTGCTGTGAACAAAATATGAACAAACTCACTTAACCCCAATGCCCACCAAAACCACCAAAACCACCAAAACCCAAAGAACGTGGGGCCCGCACAGCCAAGGCCACCACAAAAGTCAGACCACAACAACGCAACTTTTTTTGTCCCAGCCCCGTAGTTGTACGATTGCGTTGTTGCCATTGCAGCGTGTTTTTTGACGTGCAGGGCCTGGCCCGTCCGACGAGCACTTTTTTTATACAGGCCGTCGTCACAATGCGCTCCTTCACAGGACGACGCCGATTTAGCGGGTGAGCGGATTCCATATCGGAGCGTATTCCATGTCGGAGCGTATTCCGTATTGTCATCGCCACCGTACGTGCATTCTGTATTGCTTTCGAGGGTACTCTACTCTGGACCCTGCACTCGGCACGCCACACCACACTGCATTCTGCTTTCTGCATTCTGCATTCTGCACTCTGCACTCTGCATGCAACCATACAATGCTTGCGAGCGAGTAGAGTCTAGAGTCTAGCCGTGTCTGTTGTCTGCAATCTGTCTGCAAAGTTCTTTAACAAAAATCTCATGCATCTCGTGTATGCCTTTGTCTTGCTCCTCTTGTTTAATCTTTTCGTTTTTATCTATTATCTTTTATCATTTCATTTTTTTACCTTTTTATCTTCATCTCTTTTTAGGTGTCTTAAACTTTTGCCATGCTCTTCCATGCTCTTCCTTGCTTCCTCTCATCCATCCTTTTACTCTCTCTCTCCCTCTTGCCGGTCCGGCTCACGACCCCGACCGGTTTTCATTTTTTTTCTACCATTCTTGGCATCTTGGTATCCGGCCGTGCTTTTTGTCTTGCTTTTGTCTTGCTTTGGTTTGCAGAGTTTTCGTGAAAATGCCCGCTCGCTTTCAGCACCACCCTTGGACAATTGTCTTGCCGAACCGTCCTCTACACAGCGGCACGGCATGCCGGCCACCTGTTCACGGGTCGACTGGACCTTGGTTTGCACCATGTGAGGAATCGACCTGCATCCGTTGTCGAGCTGCTTATGTCCCTTCTCAGAGTACGCAAGGACAGAGTGGGTAATTACGACGTTCAACGTACAGTGGACGCAATGGGGCTCTCCCAAAGAAGGATAGCCTGGTTCTGGACTGATGACAAGCCCGAGAAACCACCATATCAGTCCATCAGTCCATCCGTCCATCAATCCGATCAGTCCTTGTCTGATGGCGTTGCCCGCGCTCTTTCAGGGACCCGCAACTGCACCCTCAACGTCGACCTCGCTTTCTCTCCTCTTGTGGACCTTTATCGACGATGGCTCAATACTCAATACCACCTTTCGTACCATCGCAAGTTGCGCCTCTCCCTCACATATCGTGCTTGTTGTCCTTT